TGACGAGACCGCCCAGTCTTTCAAGACGGAACAGTCGGGCACGTGGATGGGAGAGAGTCAATTAACAGAAGATGGAGGATTTACCGACTTGGTGCCTTTTGAACGTTCCTCCCATGGCAAGCGAGCCATGGTACCCTACGACCAGCACCAACCCGTCACGTTGGATCCGCAAATGCTGCTGGAGGCGTTTGACTCGATGAAGACGGAGATGAAGACATTTATGATGTACCAATTCCTCCGCCGGTGTCCTCGACCGACGCTCCGCATTGTGGCCGATGCTGTGAATCCCGCACTCAAGTGTGACTTTTTGCAGCAACTGCCCCTCGAGCTAAGCTACAATATTCTCTTCTACCTCGACCTTCGCGACCTCACCCGTGCCGCCCAGGTATCGAAACACTGGCGTAATATTGTTGACCAAAACGAGACTGGCTGGAAAGAATTGTTCGATAGAGATGGCTTCACCCTCCCCCCTGGAGAACTCAGCAAGGCTATTATCCAGGGCTGGGGATGGCAGGACCCGGTTGGCATCGATGGCTACGAGCAGGACTTGAGCATGCAAAGCCGGCTAACGTCGTCGGAAAAAGAGCTTACCCAGGCTCTGAAGCAAGAGGCGGCACCAAAAGTGAGGACTTCAAAGCGCAAGCGTGGTCTTAATGCCTACAGTAGCTCGGAGCGTTCCAAGAGGCGAGCCAGCACTCAGGAGGTGGCTGCCAACCGAGACGGAAAAGCTCAAAGCGAGGCCAAGCAGCACAAGTCGGCCGGACCCCTTTCAGCCGCCGCCGCTGCCATGCAAGCCGTTCCCGACCCTCAGCTGGGCCTGCCCAGCCTACGACAGCTCCATCTTTTCAAATCCCTTTATCGCCGCCATTACATGATCCGCCACAGCTGGACCAACGGTGAGACGAAGCCGAGCCACGTAGCGTTTGCAGCTCATCCTCGACACGTTATTACCTGTCTCCAGTTCGACGATGACAAGATTATCACTGGCAGCGATGATACTCTCATCCACATCTACGACACCAAGACTGGCAAGCTCCGCAGGAAGCTCGAGGGCCATGAAGGTGGCGTCTGGGCTCTCCAGTACGAGGGCAACATTCTAGTCTCTGGTTCAACGGACAGATCGGTGCGAGTTTGGGACATTGAGCGCGGCCTATGCCAGCAGGTATTTTACGGACATACTAGCACAGTTCGCTGCCTGCAAATCCTCATGCCCACGGCGACTGGCATGGCCAAGGACGGCACTCCCGTCATGCAGCCCGAGAAGCCGTTGATCATCACAGGTTCAAGAGATAGCCAACTGCGTGTCTGGCGTCTCCCCGAGGTTGGATCACGCCGATACATCCAGACCGGCCCGCCGGCCCAGGAATCCGACTGTCCTTACTTCATCCGCGTCCTGACCGGCCACACCCACTCGGTTCGTGCCATTTCGGCTCACGGCGATATTCTGGTCAGCGGATCCTACGACAGCACCGTCCGAGTCTGGCGCATTAGCACCGGAGATGCCTTGCATGTGCTCCACGGACATTCTCAAAAGGTCTATTCGGTGGTGCTCGACCATGAGCGTAATCGGTGCATATCAGGCTCGATGGACTCTCTGGTCAAGATTTGGGATCTTGCCACGGGAGCGTGTCTCTACACGCTGGAAGGCCACAGCTTGCTGGTTGGCCTGCTGGACCTACGTGACGACCGCCTTGTCTCGGCAGCTGCAGATTCGACGCTCCGTATCTGGGATCCTCAAACCGGAAAATGCCGAAACACCCTGATGGCGCACACGGGTGCTATTACTTGCTTTCAGCACGACGGGCGAAAAGTCATTAGCGGCAGCGAAAAGACTGTCAAGATGTGGGATGTCCGGACGGGAGAGTGCGTGCAGGATCTCCTGACAGACCTTAGTGGGGTTTGGCAGGTCAAGTTTGATGGAAGGCGATGCGTTGCAGCCGTCCAGAGAGACAACTTGACTTATGTGGAGGTGAGACCCTTTTCCTGCTTACTATTCAATTGCTTGAGAATCAAGACAAATGGACTAACCTATCTATCCTTTAGATCCTCGACTTTGGCGCTGTCCGAGATGGACATCCTCAACAAGAGCTCGGACGACGTATTCTCCTCAACGAACCGGAAGTTCGTGCCATGATTGAAGAAGAAGCTTAGGCGTCCATGGATGACACTATATTTTTTTTTTCTATTCCTTGAAAAATCAAGAGAAAAGCATTGCGAAACACGAACACGAATGAAACAGAAAATGCAAATAAATATATACACACACAGAGACATATATATCTCAGGCATTCAGTATGGAAATGGAAACTCGCAGCATCTGAAGGGCGATACGACTCTGCCCTCGGCGTTCTGTTATTATATAAGTATATACGCGCTGTCCAAGCCCTTTGTCGGTATTACGGAATTCAGGAAGGATGTGAGGCATGGCGTTTTAGGCTTTTAATTTATTATTATCGTTGCTCTACTCGTTTCGGACTTTTTCTTTTCGAAACTTATGTCTGGTTGCTTTCAATGAGCGATTGGGGTGCTTCGCGCATGAAGAGGGCTCAAAGCATTTACCGGGGTCAGCCCGGGGATGTGAAGATGGAGATGGGAAGATTGCCCGGGTTTAATGGGGGGACGAGGCATGTATTTTTTTTTAACCTGCCCGTGTGAAAAGGCAATGATGCTGCTGTGCATAGCGAATGAAGCTTTAGTCCATCTGTCCCTTTTTTTTTAGATGGATGTGAATGCGGCGATGATAACCAAAGTTTGCTTTTCCGAGGCGACTAAGCCGTATCGCAGCGACGATCGCAGGTCCATGTACTCGCCCGGGCTACCCTTTTTGGACTCTGAAACACCAGCCCTGTGCATGTTTGTTGTCTGTTGGTCCTGGCCTCTCCTCTTTCCATGCACTCCGCCTTTTGTGCCGGTTGGAACTGCTAACGCTGCTGCACAGTCTCGGGTGACCAAAAGAGGGGCCAGGCTTGATTTGATTTGATTTGCTGGGAGTTGTGTTTTCTTCAAGTGTCTGTAGATGATGCACTGGACTGGAGTTTGCATTGGATGGTGCTGCTGCTGCAGGGTGTTGTATCAAGCACTTTAGCCACTGCCTACTTAACCTATGAAGCTTCTCGTTTTCTTTAGACGAGGAAGCGAAATGCATGTGGCCCTATGGAGAGTCATGCTAACCCGCAGGACTACTAGCAGGACTAGCAGCAGTATCCGTACTAGAGCCTATGATGATGATGCATTTGCATTTGCATTTGCAGTTTGCATTGCATATGATGCCCGTTTATGGGGCGCTGCTGTTGAGTGTATGTACACGCTGGCAGTGCCCCAGTTTAATTGATAGGATGGCATGGCTACCACTTGTCACGCCAGCGAAGGCACTTAACTGGAGGGTGGGTTTTTTGTTGGTTTTTGGTTTTGTGAAGACTAGCAGGCATCATGAATGGCACAGAATTGGAGAAGGGAGCCTTTGGAAGGAAGACGATGGCGAGTGTGCTGTAGGTACCTAACTGTTGGCAAACGCTTGTAGTTGTACAAGAGTACAAAGGGACGGAAACGAGACTGGACCGAAAGTTGAATTCATGCAATGGCGCCTGATTGCGGGAGCGAATCGGGGGGCTTGGGGCGGAGCCTCCGGGCGGCTGACGGAGTGCAGTTAGAGTTGCTGCTGGACTGGTGCTGTGCAGGGAGCAAGAGCAGATGGAAGCGAGAGAGGTTGATTGATTTGACTCGGATGATTTGGTTTGATTCCATCTTCTTGAAATGGTGTCCCTTGCTGCCTTTGCATTGCAGAGCACATGCCCCCGGACGAGCTCTGGGGGACCGTAGATTTCGTTCTGTTAGGCGGTTGCATTCTTTTTCTCCCCCTTGTTTGGTGCAAAGGTTTACATGTGCCGTTCCCCTTGGCGCCCCTGGTCTGCGCCGATTAAAGCCAATCCGTGGGGTGTATGTGACTCAAAAAAACTCCAAGTCACCCCAGCATGGGCAGAGAGAGGCGCGAAAGGAAACCAGCGCCTACTGTAGCTCATGTACTGACTGGGGGCAGCGCTGCTAGTTCCCCCGTCTCACGTTTCCCTTGTGCTGGGACTGCATTTCAGCGTCATCATTCACTGCGCGAGGGCTGCGTGGGGAAGCGGGAGCAGAGCAGAGAGGCGTAATCGGAGGGGGGTCCCCTACTAGAGTAGTAGTGTAGAGAGCTCCGTTTGTTTGGTTTGTTGTTTACTTGCGATAGGTTGTGCTGCGGATGGCGCCAGCTGGGATGGACTGACTGGATCTTGGGCATCATTGGATTTGGATTCTTATTTTGGTCGTTTGACGATTCCGCGTGAACCGGGGAGTGGACAGCTGTCTGTCCCTTTTTTTTCCATCTTCTTTCTTTTCTTTTTGGAATTGAACTACTTCTTAAACGCCAGCCTCCCCGATATTGAATGATTGCTAGTTTCGGGTTCTTACTACATGCAACTGGTAGCTGTACTCGCATCAACTAACAGCAACTCAACGCAATAACGGCATAAAGACGACCAGCTAGCAGCATTGACGTCCACCAAAGCGAGATTAAAAGAAAAAAAAAAAAAACAGCAAGCGAAAGAAGAACAGCATCATAGATTGCATCACAACACCCCTCCCAGCTCACAGAATTTTTTTTTCTTCTTCCTTTCCTTCCACGGCCGTTCTCCTGAGCTACGCGCGTTGGACTAAGGACTGGCGGGGCGGCCGTTCAGGGATTCGCAGCCCGGGAGATCTTCACCGACATTGAGGACTGGAGTCTTTTTGCCCATTGAGCGGCAGGGAAGACTGATAGTGTTAGTGGGGGGGGCATTATTTTGGGAAGAAAGCGGTGATATCTAGGCTGGGCCCTGCTGCTGCTGCTGCTTCTTTTGTTGTTCTTTTTTTCTTCTCTCAGACATTGAGATCATTGAAGTCAAAAGCGAGTACTATTCGATACTATAACTACTACAGACTTACGATTCAGCTCTGTGCAGCAAAACACACGATACAACAAAGCAAAGATGAGTTCGCCGGCCGGCTTACCGCTGGATGCGACCATCACCATTGTCAACAACTCGGGCAAGCTCATCAGCACTGTACGTTGCGTCTCTTACTATTCCAGCTCGCTGCTCCCGTAGCACCACGACGTTGCACTGCATGCTAACCTCATCTCCATCTCCAGGGCAAGCAGCTGCTCTCCATATGGAAGACGGCCCAGACATCGTACAGAGAAAAAAAGACGGAGCTCAGCGAAGGCCGTGCTCAGGAGCGAGCTGCTGAAAAGGCACCGCCGCCGGTCCCCGTCAAGCGCGCGCAGACCTTCGACACCACTCGCAGCATCCCGCGCCGGCAATATGACGAGCTCAGCGTGGCCAGCTCTGCGCGGACGTACAGGAGCTCCATTGCCAAGAAGCAGCTTCCGCCGGTGCCCGACCAGCTCGCCCTGACCGAGGGCAACCTGGAGAGGCTGTCCGAGGTGTCGAGCGTTGCGCCGTCAAAGCTGCCGTCAGCGTACGGAGGAAACAACAACAACAACAACAGCAATGCCATGGTCGTCAAGGGCAGCTTCTCGCGCGTCGACCCGCCCACGGCGCTGCAAAAGGTGCAGCCGCGCATGGTTGGCCGCACGCGGTCTGACACGGAGATTGAGGCCCAGAAGCGCTTCAGCATGGGCAGCGACCTGCACTTGGCGTATGGCGACATTCCCCCGGATCTGGCCGACAGAGTCGACCTGGACAAGCACACCGCCTACTCGGATGAGCGGACGCTGTATGACGAGGAGCTGCAGCTGCAGCATATCGACGGTGAGCGCGAGCAGGCCGAGCAGCTGATCCACAAGATTGAGAATCTGCTGGACGAGGCGTCGTGCGCGCAGCATTCGGCGACGGCTATCATCACTCATCTCCAGGAGCGCCCTGATGCGGCGGCAGCCGTTGCGCTGACGCTAGCGGAGCTTTCGGGCATCATCACGAAGTTATCGCCGGGCTTTGCGGCAATTCTCAAGGGCTCGTCGCCTGCCATCTTCGCGCTGCTTGCGTCGCCCCAGTTCCTCATTGGCACGGGCATCGCTGTTGGCGTCACGGTCGTCATGTTTGGCGGGTGGAAGATTGTGCAGAGGATTGCGCAAAACTCGATTGGCGGCGCCAGGAAGCCCATGGCATATGAGGCCGCTGCTGCGCCGGCGCCGCTGCCGCAGATTGAGAGTGGCGTTGACGAGGCGATTGTGCTGGAGACGGTGGAGGTGGACATTAGCTCCATCGATACGTGGAGGCGCGGCATCACGACGGAGTTTGAGGTTGCTGACATGGAGCTGATGACGCCCGAGGCGGATCGCGTGGTGAGGGAGCGACGGGCGTCTGGTGTTCCGGACGACTACTTTGGCTCAAAGTCGCGAAAGAGCTCCAAGACGCAGCACAGGTCCAAGACGCACTCGTCTTCTTCACATTCGTCTTCGACGGCCAAGTCGTCGTCGTCGCACAAGAAGGAGTCGTCGTCAGACAAGAAGAGCAGCAGCGGCAGACGAAAGAGCGATGATTCTAATGCCAGCGGCGGCTCTTTGAGTCTGTTCAAGCGGTCTCTCTCTGGCAAGAAGAAGTCTGACGAGGGCAGCGTCAAGGGCAGCGGCAAGAATGAGGAGATGAATGTCAAGGCGAATATGAAGAAGAATAACAATATGCTCAAGGCGCTGTTTAAGAGCAAAGAGCACAGGAGCATTGCTGCCTAATTGCTTGCTGACGACAGATTGTTTTGCTTTTCGCGTTTATTTTTTTATGTTGGATGATATTTGGTTGAGCTGAGAAATGAGTTCAGAATGAGCAAGCGAGCAATCAATGCATTTTGGGGGGAAAACACGCATATACGGATTTAAGAAGAGACATTCAACAAAACAACAACAGATTATAATTCTCCGAAGGGGGATACATGTTTGCACGAGGAGGAGCCATTTCATACTGGCCATGCTATTATCAATTTCTTGTTTTCTTTTCTTTTGGATGTTCTGGAGTTTTTGGTGTGTTGGGTTTTTGTTTCATTTTTCATCTCTTTTCATTTATAGAAAAAAATGGCCGCTCAAGATTGTTGGTCGGTTTGGTTATGCGGCCGCGGAGCATCTAGTACACATACATATGCTGTTTTTTCTTGCTTTGTTTGCGTATATATATATATATGGCTACTTGAGGCTGGCATAGCGAACCATGTCATGCGAATGACTACTTCTTTTTAAATCTCAGTAACTCTCTCTAACTCTATGAATGTGATACAACTTTATCATCTTCTATCTCTTGTTTTGCAAATTTGACTACCATCAAATCAACTTCTAATATGTGGTCAACACCATGATACATCACAGCTCTTCTCTTTCTAGTTCCATCTCAATCAACGGCCTCACCTTGACCTCCTCCGTCCTCTCCATCCCCCCACCCCTATAAGAATACGAAAACTCCCACCCGCTCGCCGCAGCCGCATGCTCCCCTCTTTTATCCACCACTACAATCCCCGTCTTCGCATCCGGATACTTTGCCAGGATCCTCCTCACGGCGTCCTCGGCGGCCTGCTGGGGCGTCAGTCCGCGGCGCAGGCTCTCCACGGCCTGGTAGCAGGGGAGGAAGCGCATCATAATGTCGCCGTCGCCGGTGGCGCCGCAGCCGCCGACGGTGGAGTCGACGTAGGAGCCGCTGCCGGGGATGGGGCCGTCGCCGACGCGGCCGGGGATTTTGTGGGAGGCGCCGTTTGTGGTTGTGCAGGCGGCCATGGAGGAGGCGTGGAGGGCGATGAGGGAGAGGGTGTCGTGGGAGGAGTTTTGAGCGTGAGAGTGAGGGTGAGAGTTGGGGTGAGGGTGAGAGTGACTCTGTGAGCTTGACGATGAGGTTGTTGAGATGTTGGAGAGTGATAGTGGTAAGTATGGCCCGCAGGAGGAGAGAGGGTCTGGTTGGACGTTGAGTCGGTAATTTGGCTGGCAGTGGCCCTTGCGCCATCCATAGCACGTCTTGAGCGACTCTTGTGTTGACAGACTCTCTTCCTCAAAGCCATTCTCGAGAGCAAACTGCGTTGCTTGTTCGCCAGCCAGCAGTGTATGCTGCGTATAATCAAGCACATGCCTCGCCACCCCAATGGCATCCTTGACGCGGCGCAAGTTGGCCACTGCCCCGGCATTCAGCGTCTCGCCGTCAATGATGAGTGCGTCGAGCGTGGTCTCGCAGGACTCGTCGGGCGAGCCGCCGAAGCCGACGGTGTGGTCGCATTGGTTGTTCTGGCATGCCTGGCAGCCGGCCTGGACGGCGTCGAGGGCGGAAGAGTTGTTGAGGGAGAGGAAGGCGGCGTCGGTGGCGGAGGTGAAGGGGCCGGACCAGGTGTTGACTATGAGGGGGGGAGAGGAGAGGATGGCGTTGGCGGTGAGAATGAGAGTTGCGAAGAGGCTGGATGAGAGGTGTATGCGTGGAGGCATGGTGTTGGTGTTGAAGCCCAAGCTGTCACTTTCGGAGTGTGACTCGATAGCGTGACATGCAATGGTTATGATTCAGAGTGATTTACATGTTCATATGCTTCATGTGAACCTGATGACTGTGATTCTTGGCTGTCATGAATGTTCCATGTCGCACTGCCCATCTTCTGTAAGTGCCTACCTGCCTACCTGCCTACCTACCATACATGAAGCCATCTACAGCTGTTACACGTGCTGGTACTTGCCTCGGAGCGCTGCTCCTTGCCCGACCAATAATGTGCTGTTGCGAAATATTATGCATCAAAGCAGCCTCATCTCCGAGGCTAATGCTTGTAAGTCGGCTGATCCTATGCACCAAGCGGGGATGCCCCTGGAGCACTTCCCCTCAACTCCGCGATCCTTCTACGACCCTTCTCTTCTTTTCTCTTTCAAAAATCTCGTATTCCAAGATTTTGCGGTACAAGACCAAGCCTATATAGTTGTGCCCCTCACTAGATAGAATAATTCCATAGACGCTGCGACCATTACATGCTATAAAATGGCAGCAGTGTCCTCTACGTCCCGCGTGCATGATGTCGAGTCTGTGGCTGCCGTGCGCGAGTTCTTGCAGGCTGCCGTTGCGCTCTATCGCGATGTGCTCGCACTTTATCACGATGGTGATGCTTCCGGTGAAGGCAGTGCTGTCATGCCGGATGACCTCCTGAGTGCTCATCATGCTCGGCTGAGAGATTCTGTTCAGGCGCTTGCCAGTGTCCAGCCTGTTGCCGTTGCTGATATGCCTCATCCTCTGACTACTGTACCGGGAGCCTGCTACAAAGTTGGACAAGACCTTGTGTTGCATCTTGATAGAGCCATCAGCCCAAACCATGAATCCCAATCTCAGCCTGGATCCAGCTTCCGTGACCTGTGGCCCGCTCGCGATGTTGCTGCTCTGGGAGCACGGCTTCAGCACCTGAGCCAGCAATTTCATGATGACATTGATCACACTTTTGAGTTAGTTGTCGATGTATGTATGTCATTTGATTGAATGGACTTGAGCTAACGCGATTTCCAGGGTCCGCCGGCTGCCACTTCTCGAGTTCGTCGCTGCGGGTGAACAAAAGGACGTTTGGGGTGAAAACAAAGATGCTTTGCAACAAGAAGAGCCACAAGAACAGGAAAAAGAACAGCCAAAGATGAGACGCATCAACATCGTGCCGGGCGACAATGTATACATCGAGGTTCCCATTAGAAAGCGAGCAACGCCTGATTCTATCGTGCACGACTATATCCTCGACGTTCTCTCCTACAAGAGCATGCATTACAGAGAGCAGGAGGTGACAAAGGCGCATAGCAAGACGTTTGAATGGGTCTTTCAACATTCATCGCCTGAGGACGCTGAGGGAGCAGAGCACCAATTTTCGACGTGGCTCCGAGGAGAAGAACTTGGTCCCATCTATTGGATTACTGGAAAGCCTGGATCTGGAAAGTCTACGTTTATCCGATTTCTCTTCGACCATGATTCTACAATGAAGCGACTGAAAGTCTGGGCAAAGGGTAAGCCGGTCTTTACTGCAGGCTTCTTCTTCTGGACCAGCGGATCTCATGAACAACGTTCGCAGGCTGGTTTGCTGCGCTCTTTGCTTCATCAATTTCTCTCAGCATATCCGGAACTCACCTCAGCTGCGTTTCCACATTTGTGGAAGAAGCTTAAAAGCATGGATACTAAAGAGCGAGTTGCTCTGGAGTTGGACTTTTCCATTGCAGATTTGTTGGAGGCGTTTCAAGCGGCGATCGATGCGGCGATGCCTCAGATGAATATTTGTCTGTTCATTGACGGGTTGGATGAGTTTGAAGGCGATCATTTGGCAATTATTGACTTTTTCAAGAATTTGTGCCTGGGAGAAAAGGGCCAGTCGATCAAGATATGCCTGTCGTCCCGACCGTGGGCTGTCTTTCAGAATGCGTTTGAGTATGCGGTGCCGAATCTGAGACTACAGGATCTTACTTATGAAGATATGTATCGGTACACCAAGGATAGACTGCGGGAGAACACTCATATCAGACGCTTGCTAAAGAATGATGCGGCAGCTGGTGAGGAGTTGATCCAGCAAGCAGTTCAAAAATCGGATGGAGTGTTTCTCTGGGTGAGACTCGCCCTCAACGAAATGATTCGTACCTTTCATCAGGAGACCGGGCTCGCTGGTTTGTCAAAGACGGTTGATATCCTGCCAATTGAGCTCAGTGAGCTGTTCAACCTGTTCTTCTTTGAGAATCAAGATGAAGCCAAGCTGGCCGAAGCGGCTGTCATTTTCAGCCTCATGAATGCGCGAGAGCTCGTGGCTGATTTCATCTCGAATGATGCTGCGACTGCGCTTACTGTATGGGAGCTTGCGTTTGCTCTTAGGGGCAGCGATGACGATGAGGCTGCGGTCAAGGAAGAGCCGAAGCAGGCATCTCCCACTGTGGCATACGAACGCTGTTTGGCGACAATCAGCCTCATTATGAAACGGTTTTCTGGTCTTCTCGACGTTCATGCCCGTCGTGCCTCTGGGAATGCGCGAGGTCTCCGATTCTCTGGCAAGGAAGATCATATGGATGAAGCCACTGACGCAGCTGAGCGGCGAGTGACTTACATCCATCGCACAGTCCGCGACTGGTTCATGGAGGAGCCCGGCGTGATGGCTCGTCTTGTGAGTAAGACGCCTGCGGACTTTGACCCCCACTTGCGACTGCTGCGATCATACGTGTTGCAGATGAAGAATTCGCTCGAGGAGATTGAACATCATCGCCAGCTGGACGAATGGTGGCCGGGCATTGCGCTTGCTTTGACGCATGCGAGATACGTGCAGAATGACCCGGATCACCTTGAGCGGACCATGGTGAATGAAGTTGGCAAGACGATTTCGTGGTATTGGCTATCCAAGCCGGAAGATCCCTACGACCATTGGGCAAGATACGGATTGGGGCCATACCGGGTGTTTAAATCCGCTGCGCCGTTGTGGCAGCCGTTTCTTTGCCTGACGACCAGATTTGGTCTCACTAGATACGTGGCAGAAGAAGTAGCGGCTCGCAATGCCGCGGAGGATGAAATATCAGCGGAGAAGAAGGAGCTTCAAACTTCGGAGTCGACTCCTCTGCTCGCCTACGCGACTGAGTTTCTCTGCTCCCGCAAAAAGACAATCTTTCCTCTTTCGGATATCCAGCTGGTTGAATTTCTCATCCGCAACCAATGTCGTATCAATCCAGGCCCGAATCACGATTACACCGATTTTGAGACGCACAAGCCTCGCACGCCGTGGATCACGCTGCTGCGCCATTTGCGGGATGCGCGCCGGAGGAACTGGATCGAGTACTACGATGTTGATCAGCAGGGCACTGCGCGGTGGGCAGAGATTGTCAAGTTGTTTCTGGTGGGAGGGGCGGATAAGGAGGCGGTTGTTGTGAAGGATAGCTGGGATCCGGAGAGTACGGCTTTGGGGGTGCTGGAGTTGCTGGAGGGGACGTATGGGGCTGTTGAGATGAGGGAGTTGGTGAAGATGTGGGAGTCGAGAGTGTGAAGCGACATATGAATAACGATGGTTTCGAAATGTGTCAGGTGATGAAGGAATAAAATTGTGCTCACAGTAGTTGGAATAGCATCTCATACATGTAGAGGTATTTAACAGCTGCCCCATCATGCCATTGTTTGTGATATAGAGTCAGAGGGGTGAAGCAACATGTACATAAACAATGGTTTTACACCGTGTCAGACGAGCTAAATGGCTGAAATCTCATCTCAAACATCAATCTAAACAGCTTTCCATCATATTATGGTTTGAGATATATGACTCTCCACAAACATCCAATCTCTCTGGGGCTTCTGACTGGATGTGGCGAATGATTGGCCCGTAAGCGGCCGCCGATCTGACCAATGGCCTTATATAAACGTGCAATCGCATTCGAGCAAGGAGTATGAACCGTTGATACGTCGTTTGTGTGTCATACGCCACAAATCATTTCATTGGCTGCGGAAGCAGAGCCGCCTCGCCAAGCTGTATCGTTGGGAGCACCATCCCTGAAGATCTAACGTCAAAGTGCTTTAAAATAAACTTCAAATCTTTATTCCGTCTAATGGTAATTAAAACACGTCAATCCGCTTGGATCAAACGTATATTGCATCTATTGACTAACACTGATTCTCTCAACGAGATGTGCGAGAGAGAAAAAAAAAACCCTGAAAAGACGGTTTACTCTTGTCAGCGGCCTGTCCAAGTTCCGAGGATCACATACTATATCCGCGATTTGAAGACGGCCAATGTTAATGAATCGGATCTTGTATCAAAACACATCCGAACTTGCCAGCGCAACTGCCACGTCAAAGAGCCCTCTTAGACGAGACGAGACACTCTCCGACGTTTTGCTGTTTATGAAGCCTGCACGGATGCTATCTATGTATCGGTACATTGTATGCCCTCTCTGCCAAGCGAAGGGGAACTAAGCCAGTCGTTTACCAGTGGTACTTTGACACTACTGCCGTTCAAGCGAAGAAGATACCTCAGCGATATAGGATGTCATCTGATGGCTGTGACGTGTCAGCTTTTCCGTAGATCTTCTTACTGCCAAGATCCATCAAATGATTGACATCGAGGTGACATGCCATTATATGCCATACTGGAACGCAATAACCGCCAGTATTACATTGAGTATCCGATAACTGTAACACAAAGTAGCTTACTTCCGCAGTCTAGTGGAGATGTCTGAGTGTTCCGCCGCATCTTTGTACAATGTAAGACACTAGCTATCGGGCGATAGAGCCTGATGTGCTGTGCTCTGGAAATTTTGCTGTCATGAGGCTCACTCTAGCACAATTTGGGCGACATCGTCAGGTTTCAACCGGTCTTGAATCTGCAATAACACGTCAATGGCAGTGCAACTGGTACGGAATCACTGATCTTGCACTCAAGGAACAGATCCAGACCGCACAGTCGATAGCAAAAGGTTGTCAGTGGCGCAGTCATTAGCCTTATTCTGCGGAGAAGGGCTGAGATACATCATGTACGTACTTGGCGATAAGGTCTCACTACGAATTTACCTTGGGCATCAAAAGCACACACAAAGCAAGTTTGAGACCACCAGAGGGTCGGAATATTTTGACGTGGCAGAGAAAGAATAACTTTTGGCACGAATCTTGGACGATCTGAGCCACAAACAGACATACGAAAATTTTTCACTTCGGTCTATCTACCAGCCCGGCAACTTTTTGATGTGTAGAGCGTACATGTATCTCATATGGCGGGCACAACCATATTTTTTGGGGCTACGGTGTTCCCGACGCACATCACCAGGCTGGAAAGGTACCATCATGTACGAAGATGTAATACATACGGGATAAACTGTAAGGGAGGCCAATGACTTCTCGTTTTAGCGGTAGTTCGTCTGCGCTCGTTGCTTCCGGGCGAGATGCAGCGCATGCTCCGCGAGTGATATATGACAAAATGACGCGCGACACAGCTGGTTCATGTAATGGGCACCACATACCAACACTTGATAGTATTTTCGTTCAAGTACTTTAGGCATCTGGATGATGTACTCAATACCTAAATGGCCTACTGGTTGCTTTCTCCACTTAACAGTTCAGCCTCAGCCTCTTTGATACAAGCTGCATATGCACGTCTCAAATCTCGACCGAAGGCTCTGAGGCGATGATGCAAAACGCTGAAAATACCTTGGAGGGTGTCGATTTGGACCGTATTTTGAGCCTCAATTACTGCCTAATCAGTTTTATTAGCATTCAACTATGTATATATAGGCGGCGTTGCCCTGTGCTGCAATGTTGAAAATCATCATCATCTTACACACTATCATCAGCATCTCATACCTTTCTTACAATTCAACACTTGCAATAATCTTCAATCATCTATTACCATCGATACATTTTTTTTTCTTTAGCAAAATGACAATTGACAACGCGGAAAGACATGGCCAACGCGGCGATGATTACACTCATGCCTTTAGCCATGCAGTTCAAACAAACACCACTGCAAATTTCTTCACTGCTATTGCCCTTGGAGAAGAAAGCGTAGCCAAAAACTTCATCGAACAATATCCTGAGATCTCTAATATGCCAAATGAACATGGCGAGATGCCTCTCATAGCTGCTGTTCATGCTGACAAGCCGGTCATTGTCAGAGATCTCTTATGGAATGGAGCAAAAGTGGACGCCTTGGCAAACTACCTCCAAGAAGGCCAGAGGCGTCCAGCCTTGCGAACGGCCCTCCAGGTTGCCGCTACAGAGGGCAAGCTTCATATGATTCGCATACTGCGCGAGAACCGTGCCGACGTCTTTGTTTATGCCCCAGATGGCGCCAATGCTCTTCAGTTGGCTGCCGGCAATGGCCATCAAAGTGTAGTGGAACACATCCAGCGAGCATATGCCGGTACTATCGGCAGGTTGCCAGTTACTTCAGGTGGCCCAACACCTGTTGATGTGGCAGACACATCAGATAATCCTCCAGTGGATTGTCAAGAACCAGCCAAACGTGTTTCAACTCAGTGTCTCCAGAGACGCAGCGAGAAGAATTTAGACTGCATCTCCTGGGCTATCCCCAAATTCATTATTGACAGAACTCCTCCGACGGTCATCTCCGCAATCAACAATGTTCTTGTGGATAAGCCAAAAGAAGCTCGGCTACTTCGCAAAAATATGAGATTGTGGTGCCAAGAGCAGATTCAAGACTTGCCTACTCGCGTTCAGCAAGGAATGGATCTTGCTGATCGCCGAATCAAAGAAGCGGCTGGACTTGCTACGAAGACTCCAGTAAGCACCCGGCAGCTCATGAAGCGCGCACCCAATGGTATATGGACAGTCATGTTGTATATTGGGACGGTGCTTCATAAACTTTGCATCATAGCTCCTGATCTCTTGAAGCAGATGACTTCCATTGTTCAGTCCATCGCGAAGGCCATAGCAAGCATTCAGGCTGCTACACTATATAGCATTAAGACTGTCTTGAGTACCATTCATTCAGTTCTTACAGAGGTTTTAAAAGGCCTTTTGGCGCTTATAGCTCGGATGAAACAAGCAAGTTCTGCGATGCTGCAAAGTGGAATGGGTTCATTGAAAAAGGTTACCATGATTTTTGTTGCTTTAGCACTGGGTATTTGCATCCTGTTCTCCAAACGGGCTCGGGGGCTGCTGCAGGCACCGGGAAAACTTGCAAAGAAAGGGGTGCGAGACATGCTGGGGCTGATGGGTCCACAAATGGTTTAGCATGATATGGAGAAAAGTTTAATGGTTGGTTCAGGTTGGATGCCGGTTGAGTCGAAAGATTCCCTTCCAAGCATCAAACACAAAGCCTGGGAAAGGAAGGTTGAGCCGCAAGGCCCCCTTCTCAGTACCGGCAGAGTGTTTGGAAACGGTGGTTGAGCCTCTGGGCTCCCATCAGCTCCAACCAAAGGAGGAAGCGGGAGAACAAGTTTGTTTTGATCTCTATTTTTTGTTTTGTATCTGCTTGGAGTTTAGGGGAAAGAAGGGGGACTTGCTTTCGATGGTTCGTTTTGATGTTTGGTAGGTATTTCTTAACTCAAAGTAGTAGGTAGTTTAGGTAGGATAAAATAGTTTGTAGTTTTTAATATGATCAGTATTCCAAATCACTGCACATGGTACATCCAAGTGATTTTCCGAAGGCTTACAATCCTGAAGTGCATCATCGCATATTAATGCCTAGTTGTGAGTGAAGTGCAACTCTGCCTCGGTCTGCGACGGCTCCTGACGGTTACGGGCGGGCTATTTGACGTAGCGTAGGCGTTTGTCTTCCTTCTCAGCAATCAGTCACAACGTTTACAAATCCATTATAAGCTGCTCATTCGTGGCTAATTATTAGCGTAATCGAGAGCGGGATGCACTCCTCCGATCTCGTCTGCTTGGAGCAGATTTCTGACCGGGGTAGTATCTCTGACGAACTGCCGTGTTTCTGCGTATAGATGCCAACAAAGTAGATCAAAAGATGTGATTGTCAGACGATGTAGTGTTCGGCGAAACTCGAAGGGTTAGCTATGAATTATAGCAGTGGCACGACTGTCTCACCTCATTCGCCGTGCTCATAAACAACACCCGCCTCTGGCCAGGCAACTTCAGATGGATTTGATATGCCCGGTGCATGTCCGAAATCAGCACATCCAACAGCAACCTTGTAGGTGCCCTGCAGTATCGGACATATACCGGGCGCACCCCTGTGCTGCACCAAACTGGCAACCTACTTTATCAATGGCCGCCTCTCCTCCTTGGCCATTGCATGTATCGGAGCAGTATAATATTCCTCCCAAGCCGCCATGTTCCTTTCCCCTCTTGCATGACCACTGTCGCCTTCTATTGTAACCTTTGAATCATTTTTCAACAACAGCCTCTAAGCTGAGGAAGACAAAGAGACCAGGCATAAACGGCAAATTATCGCCGAAGCTCAAGTCGAAGCTCACATCGCAGAATGATTGTTTCTCCGTCGGACTCGTCAACCGCATCAGAGGAGCTGCAATGGCAAACGCCAACAACAAAAGAAACACTGGAGCCTGAAATTCTCGCAACACCTGATGAAAAAGTGCGTTCCGAATCGCAAAACTCTCCGTCCCAATCAATCACTAATATCTGCAACTATTAGGATGATGTCGATGTCGAAAAGGCGGAAAGCAGCAGACCTGCGTCGCGTTCTGGCTTCTTCTCTAAACTATTAGCGAGACGCAAAAAGGATCAGGATCAAACGATTTTACCAGTCATAATTCCTCTTACAGACCTTGACAAAGGCATTGTCGGCTGGGAAAGTCAAGATGATCCCGATATGCCACTCAACTTTCCCAGCGGCCGCAAGTGGCTCATCACGAGTCTCCTTTCGATCATCACATTCATGACGCCTTTTGCATCATCTATCCTTGCTCCTGCTCTAGCAGCAATGCAGAAAGATTTTGGCGTCACTGATGTTACATTGGGATCGATGCCTGTCAGCATCTTCCTGCTAGGATATGCGATTGGACCGATACTGTTATCGCCATTGTCCGAAATCTATGGCCGAAATCTGATTCTCCTCACCGCAAGTGCGTGGTTCTGCGTCTGGCTTGTCGGCTGTGCGCTTGCCCCATCGCTCAACACGCTGATATTCTTCCGGTTCATGACTGGCATTGGCGGTTCGGGCAGTTTAACCATTGGCGGCGGAATCCTTGCTGACATGTTCCCTGTAACTAGCCGCGGGAAAGCCATGACGATCTGGATGCTGGGTCCCATTGTTGGGCCTTCCATTGCGCCTGTGATTGGCGGCTTTGTGTCCGAGACAATTGGCTGGCGTTGGACTTCGTGGTTATCCTGCATCCCTGCTGCTGTTACGGTGGTGGCGATGATTTTTCTCAGCCGCGAAACAAACGCTCATGTGTTGATTGCGCAAAAGACGAAGAAACTGCAGAAAGAGCTTAACAGACCCGAGCTGAGGAGTTGTTACGTCGATCCCGATGCCCCCGTCTGGAGCAAGAGACAGATTCTGCTCAACGGCTTGATCCGGCCAATGAAGATGCTGTTTCGCTCTCCCAATATTTTTGGTTTGTCGTTGTACATTTCCTTTGCATACGGCTGCCTTTACCTTCTGTATAATACAATTCCAACCGTCTTTGAGGGCAGCTACGGCTGGTCGTTGGGCATTACTGGAATCACATATGTCTCGTTGCTTTTCGGATACATCATCAGCCTGGTTTTCTTTGCTCTTCTGTCAGACGCCACCATTATTCGTATGACGGCCGCCAATGGTGGCGTCTATGAGCCTGAGATGCGTCTTCCTGATTGCGTCTGGTTTGCGCTTGTCCTCCCCATCACGTTCTTCTGGTATGGCTGGGCTGCTGACAAGGCTGTTCATTGGATCGTCCCGATTATTGGAATCGTGCCCTTTGGCGTTGGAATCCTCGGAGTGTTGTTGCCCATCCAAACATACATCGTCGATGCATATCCAGAGTATGCCGCCAGTGGCCTCGCTGCGTTTGCTGTATTGCGGAATTCTGTTGCTGCTTTCTTGCCTTTGGCTGGGCCGCAGTTGTATAAGAGCCTCGGCGTGGGCTGGGGAAATTCGCTGCTTGGGTTTATTGCCATTGGGCTAACTCCCATCCCGATTCTGATATACAAGTACGGGAAATGGCTGAGACTTCGCTACCCCATTAAGTTGTGATGATGGCATTTTTAGTTGTTTTTATAAAAAACTGTCTCTTAAGAAAAAGATAAGTTGCTCGAGACGCACGCTAATTTCTTATTTCCGTCGCCTGGCTAAGAATCGCCTGAGTGCAGGGTCTAGAGCAGAGCGGTGAATGCGTTAAACTATGATTTGTAGTCCGAATATATATAGACGGGGGTTTAGTCATTCGATAACCGTCAGATTAGTAAGATATCCTCATCGCCGCGCATCAACTAAAGATTTGATACCTCACTAGATCTGGTACCTCACTACTAATACTATATGTTGTGATAATTGCATGGTGTTCTTGACATAATTGGATTGAGAGAACTAGCTACGCTGCAAGGGGCATCAACTTGTACGAAATAGCCTGGACTGGTCAATACGAAAGAGGCATGGCTGTGTATACAAAGAGTCTAATGCCACTGCCACGTTTGCATATCGGAAGGAAGTTGCTGGGCTCTTGGTTGTTGAACCATGCTTAGTAAGGACAACACGCCAGTTCTACATGGCTACTACTCATTCAACGAATGACATTGATTGCACATAGTGAGTAAGGCTGATTGACATCTAGAATAGAAACAATACTGGCCCCTCTACCCAGTTGCTGTTTTTAATTCAGAAACTAATCAGGTACTATTCAGGGGATACTCGAGAGCACAGCACCTTATAGAGGATTAGTTCAAACTTGAACCATTATGATTACTATTTTTCATGCTAAATTTACACTAGGCTGTTTGGCCCTCAACATGGATAACCCTGTAGCGCCGCATGGCATCGTTTGCTGCCGCTATCTGGGCACCCTCCGCAAGATGAGGTGGTTTCCGTAAGGCAATTACTGTTGGGCAGCTACAGCCAAATCTCTCCTGTCAGGAAAAGGTTGCTTCAAAATGGCAAGCTCTGAAAACTTGTAAAGAGCCTTGATTCCTTTTCGGTTTAATAGACCTAATTGGCATGTGAGAGGTAGAACGGAAAAGAGACGGAAAACCGGCTTCTGCTAGTTCCATATTAATGGAACTCGACCACGCGATGTAAGCTGATGGCTGGAGGTATGGCACACGACCCTTTCGCGAGACTAGCAAGCTCCATGCGCGCCTTCTTGGCATCTAGGGTTTTGGTTCCTAGTAGGCGAATAGGATTCTTCCCTTGAGAAAAATAGGAGCGCCTATTCTAATAATAGTCGAGTCTACATACTTGTACATTGCGCTATTATGGACTGCTGCCAATGATAGATACGGTGGAGAATATAAGTTAAAGCTCGATCCATGGTAGAGGACAATCTTTCTTTCATACAGTTACATAGTACACGCAAGGCGAGTTGCGACCGCTGTTCCCTCACCATTACGATCGATATCCGACGCTCAGCAGCAGGCTGCGCCAAATGGCAGCATATACAATAATCGAGAGTATCCCATGGATACCAGGGTTTTGGAAACGAGCACCGTGGAGAACTATCGGCGCGCTTATAGGATTCTCTGTGACTTGCGGGATGATGGGCCTGGTTCTCGTGTTGTCCGAAGGCAAAGAAACCAACACTTGGCCAACACACAACAAGAACATTACCGTTCCCGTGCTTCTGTCACTGCTAGTTGGCGTTGCTCTTCTGTTCTTAACGGTTGCAAACTCTGAAGGGCTTGCCATCTCATGGTGGCTCAAAGCGCTCAAGGGAACAAAACTTAAGGAGCTTCAGTACGATCTTGAAGTCACTAGCAACTTGCTAGTTGGCATCGTTAGGCCGACTCTCTTCAACCTGGTTACTCTTTCGGCCATCATCGCCCTTGTCGTGAGCGTCGGCACCAGTGCCATCATGCAGAGATCTTCGACAACTATAAGCAAATCCATCGGACCATTCCCGACCAACATCGATGCACCCGTCTTGAATACAACTCTGCCGACGAACTTCAGTGGATGGGCAGGTAGTGGATCGCAGATATCATTGCTGATGCCAGCTTTCGCGAGTGTTTATAAAGAGTATTCTAACCGCAGCAACATTGTGATACCATCTAGTTGTGGCAACAGCACCTGTCAGCTCCATATGACAGGCCCAGGTTTCGACGTCGACTGTACGGACGACTCTGTTGACTACGACTTTGGCCAATTAGCAGCTGCTGCACCCATTCATCAGATTACAACGTTTCAAACCATCATCAACTTTGAGTCAAAACAAGATCCAAACTCCCTCAGTCACATAAACATGTCGGTGCTGTATAAGCCTTCCCCAACATGTTCTGGGAAATTGACCAAGCATCACTGTGTTCTTCGAGCGGCCGCTGTGGACTACGCCGTTACTATTACCAATGGTACAGCTACTCTCGCTCCCTGGGACGTTTCTCAGAATACCACTATAAGCATTCACAATTTCACCGACTGGCACCAACTTGGCTTTGGAAGTCTTGGAGCTGGAGGTTTTATCACATCACTCGGAGGAATTGCTTCTGCTTTACAATCTCAATACAACTCTAATGCAACTCTTGTATTGGCGGTGATGACGCAAAATCCGTTCTTGGTATCTGCGTTTGGGCAGGCAGCCAGTACATACTCAACATCCGCATTCGACGACTATGGCAACTGCACCATGACCTGGTCGGATCCTAGAGAGGATATAATTAACAGTGTTCGAGAGATCATGTTCCGCAGCGCCCTTTCCATTGCAAACTCGACCGGCGAGCCTGTCCAATTCAAGCAGATGAGTGCCGAGATGACGAGGATCGGGATAGTATACTCTACCAACTGGAAATTCTTCGGAATCGCTGTTGGGGTCATGTTCTTGGAGGCGCTTATGACTCTGTTCCTCATTTGGGGCTGGGAGAGACTCGGCAGAGAGGTTTCGCGTGACCCTTTCGAGATTGCAAAGGCTATGGGTGCTCCTCTTTTGAACCACGGATCTTCAAACACGTCAGCGCCCCAGATCCTGGATGCTCTTGGAAGCAAGCGGGTGCGATATGGAGAGTTGGTCGACGGAGGGGCGGGAGTTTCGCAGGAGTCGGCGGTACCTAAAGGTGGATACAACTTGGTGGAAAGCCAAGATCCAGACATTTTGATGCAATACATTTCACCTCAGCATACTCAGGGGAGTTTGAGCAGGAGAAGAACTTTGGGCATTGCCGTGACGGAGCATGTTCAGCCTGTGCAACCGGGAGTGCATTATTGAACTGACTATGAATGAGGAGGATCATGGGACAACTTGTATACTCATGGCTCACAAAACTATTGAAAGCGATACCCGTACACTGAGTTACCCAAAGAGAGAAAAAATACGAATACATATTAAAGGTGCAGAAATATGAACCCGCTTAATGCTGTGAAATGACAATACAGACAAGTGGATTCAATTACTTACTGATAGATAAAAATGATAATAATTCTACAGAAATAATAATACTCTAATGCCTAGGGGATGATTAAAAATGCTGTGAAAAGTCCTTCAGAGCACAGCGTTTTTAGGCCAACCTAATCATTTCATAGCATTTTTAGGCTACCCAAGGCAAAGTGGAAAAAGGATTTCTTATCAGTGCCGCAGTGAAAGAATAGTAAGATTGGGTTTCCGTGCCGTATTTCGGAACTGCGTTGGCAATATAGGGTAATCGCTATTTTCGGCAGACCTCTACGAGCAAAGGTAATCGTGGATTGAAGCAGTGGCAAGGATGCTCAATGCAACTAATTTAATTAAACACATCTAATTCATGACTCTATGTATATAGATTTTGGTTTTTAGACTGTTATAGTTTATTCTCGCACTTTTCGGCTGGAATTAGAGTGGACGGGGGCTCAGGTTTTTGCACTTTTCCGAATATATATCCGAGCTGTACGTCAGTCTGTAAAGCCAGCCCTAGGTATTTCTCGTTTTACTATGGTTGACACCTTGAACGGAAGAGGGGTTAGCAGATACTACTGTAAAAGCAACGTATGCAGTAGAGATTTTCCCATCGTCAGCTCATAGACCCCTGCCCCTAATAAGTTTAGCACTGTACCCGGTTTAGCAAAGCCTAGATACTTATATCAGTAATACAAATTTCGAAGAGTCTGATATGGCTAGTAGAACGCTTTGCTCAGCAAAATACGAAGGGCCCTGACGTCTATTTTACTGTATTGGCGATGATCTCATGAATCAATTAGCTAGCTGTTCTTCAGCGCAATGGCAAGATTCCGATTAATTGCTGGCTGACAGCGCGCTTTCTTCACCAAGAGCAGCATCGATGTCTTTTATCAAGCTATTAAACAGGGATTAGGCTGCTAACGCGAATAGGCCCGAACAGGATGCCGTTCTGCCGATTGCTATGAGCGCCAAACTATGGGGTCCCCAGAATCTCTGCCAGCGTTTGATACAGCTGAATCTTGCTCCAGATCGAAAGTCGGGGAGAGAGAGATCGTGCTAGACGTTGAAAGCACTTCGTAGCTAGCTTCGTGATGGAATCGAACTAGCGGTGTCGTACTGAACTCGCACCTCGAAAGTGGCCGGTCGTCTCATTGTTCCACTCTTGTGCGTTTTACCCCAGGGTATTCATGAGCATGCGGAGTATATAATGGTGGAAAGGTCCTGAATCTTCATAGAAATAGATGCTGGAGCGCTCTTTCAATTGTTTCGACAATAATATCTCACTATGAGGCTAAACTCCATAACTTTGACGTCTGTCGCGGCGCTGCTGTCTAGTGTAAGCGGTCTGGCCCATACAGCAGCACGATCAGCGTCCAGCCCAAGCTGTTTTCCTTTTGGCGCCGAGGCAAAGCTCAATGCGAATCTGCAACCTCCCCGCGTTTCTAGAGAGGAGTGGTGGTGTCCGCAGTCTGACTTTTATGGCTTCCTCGGCTTCTCGTTTCCTTTCCAGTTCACCAATGAAGACTTTGAGGTTTCGAGCATCAGCTCGCACATGCAGCAGATGAAGCGCCAATTTGGCGCAACCATGATTCGCATGTACATTCCAGAGAGCTACACCACGCAACTATGGGAAAATGTGCTAGAAGCCACTATTCTTAACAATATGGGCGTTGTGGTTCAAGTGGCTTTTCCCATCAGCGGCAATGATGTATGTTTTATTGTGAAGATACTATCTAGTAGTAACGCCGTATGACATGTTTACTAACAAACTCACAGCTCTCATGGGAAAAGGTTCTCGAAACTACTCTGTTTGAAACCCTTGCGAATAGCAAATACTCGAAAATTGCGCCGTACGTCATCTACGCCGCCGAATATCTCAATGAGCCGGTTGGAGACTGCGACATGTGCGCGCCTGGTAGCGCCGGCAACGCATCTGAGCCAGCGAGTGTAAAAAACCTAACAATGGGAATGAGTGACTTCCGCAACAAAATGAATAAATTTGGCATTCCGGCAGGAATTAGCGAGGACTGGGACAGGCCTAACTTGATGAGCGGCGCGCCTGGATCAGATGGACTGGGCGTAGGGCTGGGCCCAGTGGGCAAGGCGCTTGTGCCGGTACTGGATTTCATACATGCTCATGTCATGGCATATTATCACAATATTCAGGTTGATGATGCATGGACATATACAGCAAATCAGGTTCTGTGGTATAAGAAGTACCTTCCACAATTTCCGCTCATCATTTCCGAGGTAAGAAGAGAATACTAGACCTGCCTGCATGACTTCAAAGACGCTAACGAGTATTGCAAAAGATGATGTGGGCCACAGGTTATAATGTCCTCCATGCTGGCGGCTATATAACTGGCTTTGCTATTGCCGAGGTGAGCGTTGCGGACTACACCAAATTTTGGAAGACGGTAGATGCAAACTGCGTCTTTCTGAAGGAGCACAACACAGCATATTTTATCCATGCATGGAGACAGGAAGGTACACTCAATATGCTTCAAAATGATGGAAGCGTTGTTATTCCAAATTGGAAGCCTAAGAAATGGTGTTAAACGGGTCTTTCTGGTAGTTTGGGATGAGCAGCCCGGCCCGCACTGGCATGTGAAATCAAAATAGTCCAAGTTGAAGTGAATTAGCTAATAATTTCGTAGCAACGACTTCCTTCAGAGTAGGCTATTCAGCTTTTCTCTCAACGCGGTAACTGTTGCTTCTAGCCCCTATCCGCCTCCTTACCGTGCACCTATTGAAACTTTGTTATAGCATTACTTGTCTGGGCCGCAATCAGCCATAGACAATGGCTTCAGCCCTATTTCGTTAGTTTGTACCGGTTATAATAGCTGGCTTGCGCAAATTGCATTGTTTTTCTAGCCAAAGTTAATTTCTACGCCTCAGAAAAGATTCGAATCAGTGGTCACTTTTCACATACGTAGTTTCTAGAGGCACTCCCTCGCTTCTCATACGATATATCTCTTGGAAATACCTTCCAAGCGGTTCTGCTTAGTATTGTAACCTAGGCACTGTTAGAATTATATCCTCGGTTTTAGGCATCTTAAGTCGAAGACGAGAGAACTCTGTTTGTTTGTTTTATCATTAACGTCCGCTAAGTTAGCTACTGACATAAAGCCGCATCTAGGCACTAGGACGATTGGGGCCGCCTATTCAGATTATGCGTTTGCTACGTGTCATACGAAAGAAAGGGAAGAGTGATGGCAATCTGTGTCCCGAGGGAACCGGGAAAGACAGGCTGGTCTCCTCCGCGATTGTCTGGGAAGCTTTGTAGCCCTTTGGGCCTAGTAGCCATGAAAGGGGTCTGTATCCTGCCACAGGATCTTTTTCAGGGAGAGAACCCTGATGCTGGACCCTCATTCACGAAAAGTGGCTCGAATGCTTTGATTGGGCCCATTATGTACATGAACCAAGCTTCATACAATATTGCTAGCTCCAAGCGACAGAATGAAATAGTGAGTCATCTACCTACCTGTACAAAGAACAAAGATCAATTTTGTTTTGTACGAGTTCCATTCAGGCCTAAATCAGTAGCAGAGCCCTTTGCGAAGATCATTTCAGCAGTTTTATGAAACCACAAATAGCAACAATTCATTTTAGGGCAGCCCAAAGAACACAAGACCCTGAATCTATTGACATAAAGCCACTGGGGTCGCTGGCGCTTAATATGCACTAATAATTGCCCGATGCTGCGTGAAGGTTTCCCTAGTGGCTCGGCCCGTGGGGTCACGAAGTTGATGCAGCAACCGCAAGCCTCAAGAGTTGGCCCTGCCACATATCCGATGAACTCTTCCTTGGTAGTTGTGCTTGTATTTTTGAAAAAGGATGAATGACTATACAAGGATACATGTCCCAGTCTATTGTCTGTGCAAGATTTACATCGAAAGAGTATTACTTTTCTAATTTAAAATATACAAAGCGTGTAAGATGTGTACGGAGACGTACACAAACACAGATTTGCAACGGATATGTGTATATCTTGACGTAGCTATTTGAGTAAAAGGCATTCTGTATGTCAAAAAATTGCTCTAAAGCTCAAATGTCTACATGTCTTTCCACATTGTTACAATAGTTACATGTACCAAATATAAAGTCCTCCTGTTTCAGCGACTCGCCGAAGCCCGAGTCCAGTGGCTTGGGATCTTTTACTTCGCTTTCCAATCAACACTTTGCGTAAAGTTTAAATTCTCACATTATACTCCTGAAGAATACTATCATGGCGGTGGTAATACACACTCGATACGCACTTGGTGTACGGCACCGAAAGTACACAAAGGTCTATCCCTTGTGCCCTTAAAGCCAGCAAGCCACCTCGATGAAGATAGAATTCGACACCAAACCTACAGTTTTGTCAACCTTGTTTTCGTCTTCGTTCTAGGATTGCGTGTTCTTTCGCTGTGAAAAGACTTTTATGTGGCGTCTTGAGTGTCTAGGATAAATTTGATGGAGGATCCCAAGAGGTGCTCATCCTCTTCTTGTTTTATTCATCATCAACTCTCGGTCTTCAGCAGATACAGATACTATCCATCGATATCAATCTGTTATACGTAATCGACGACCATCAGATACACTCACATTATTATCAACGAGTGTACTCGCGTCACAACTACCAGCTCCGGCTTCTTATTTGCCTAGATATCCAATATTTACCAGTATGTATTTCCATCCTCTACGTTCATCGTTCCTTTCCTTTTGCATGGTCAACTTGTTTTTCCCTATCTTTCGAGTGTTTATATTGCTTTCGTTCTCATCTGAATGTCTTTTTTTGCGTTTGTATCATGTTCATACTTTGTTGTCAACTAACTATTTACTTAGTCGCCAGAGTTACCCAGCTCAGTTTCGCCGCCATGTCCTCACCAGTCTCCACCCCAGACGCCGAGACTACGCTCGGCAAGTTCCACTTGTTCGGCGAGCTTCCTACCGAACTCCGGCTTTCGATATTGGAGACTGCCGCCCGAAGCGCCATGCCGGGCATACAGTTCTTCGGAGCCAACTGGACGGGCGAGGCAGAGTCCGAAGGCCCGATCGACCTCGAGCTCGTGGAGCCAAGAGTCCAGGATATTTCTGGTCCATTTCGGAGCAGGGTTGATGGCAATCCATCAACCTATAACCAAGATTTCGGTCTCTGGATGGCAAGTTACGAGTCGCGCGACTTTATGTTGCGCCATTACCAACGTCTCGAAAACGCCATCGCTGAAGAGGAAGACCCCAATACCCTCTTCGGTGACCAGAGCCACTTCGTGGTCTTGGGAGGAGACCGTTTCTCCAAAGTCTTCCCCAAACAAGATCTCCTCTGCCTTCAGCCGTTCCAGACGTCTCTTGATTATGGAGACTTGCCCTTTTTCCGCGAGGACAGCCCCTACAAGGTCAAGAACCTCGCGTTGGAATATGACCCCGCGTGGATGAACGGCCTCGTACAGGCCCGAACGGATGGGGCTAGAGCGCAGGCTCGGGCAGATATTTGGAGGGAAGACAGCCCTCGTGGAGTCTTTATCCGGTCTCTATGGGCGATGGCAGAGCGTACCGGGCCCGCCAACATGACGTTGTGGCTCATTGACTGTTCCCTTCGGCGACTGGAAATGCCATCCAACGTCTTTCTGCCTGACTCCGACTCCGACTCCGACTCCAACAAGAACAGCGCCAGGAACGACGACGCCGCCAAAGATCGCTCCAAAAAGGCCGAACCAGAGCCTAGGGTGTTCCAGTCAATGGGCGCACGTTGTGTCGAGGCCAAGGACTTGAGTGAGTGCGTGTACGCCGCCCTCAAGCCCAACACGGCATTCCACTTCCTCCACGAGCTCCAGATAAGCGTTGGCTTCAACATTGACTGGATGATCAGCGTCCGACGCAACCAGGATGCGATACCATTGCCAAACGGCCTGGAGGATCTGGTCAAGGTCTTGTGCGTCGAGCCGAATTAGCTGTCTGGCGCAACTGAGGGTTTGGAGGAGTTTCCGTCTTGCTGTCTCTTTCAATATCGAAGGGCAATATCTTTTTTCTTCTTATGTTTCTGTTTGGCTTACAACTGGGATGGGAATGGTGTCTAAAATCAGACTATGGTTGGTTATCTGTTTACATTGGGTTATACTTGGTATTTTCTTTCTTTTTGATACCCATTTTCTACTTTCTGTGTTACAAGATCTCTGACGTCCATGATTCGAATGGCGTCCAGTTTTTTTGGGTTACCTGGTTGGATAAGACAAGATTGACCTATTTGTGGTATTAGTTTTAGAGTGACAGAGCTGTTTGTCTACAATATGAACCAGTCTCTTTCACGTATCATTCCAAAGTGCTGTGACTTAGTAGTGGCCTTTAAGGGCGTGACAGTAGCGAGTTATTGTATGAGGCACTTCCTACAGTTGTTGAGGGAAAAGGAATAACGAATGTGACGATAGACATGCCTTTGCACCACTTCTGCACAGCAGCTGAAGAGCGCTCAAGATCAATCCAGTGTTGAACAGCCTTGAACGTGCTTGGGAAGTTGTCAAGGGAGAAACAGTCCTCCATGGCCTGCTGAATCCGACTGATCTCATGGTCTTTGCGAAAACTCGGGTGTGTTATTGCTGTTGGAGGGAACCACTCAATGGGTCGGTCGCCTAGGTGACATAATCATGTTTTATATGTAACCTAGCCTACGTCAACCATTAATTAGTCTTTAACGTCTAAATAGCCTATTGGCATCATGTCAACCATTCAATACAACTATGTTCTTTCATTTCAATCAACAATTGCATGTATTTTGACAACATATTGTCTTAGTCAGTTGTCAAACGACGAGGTAGGTATGATGACGGGAGAGTGAGTTGTCCTTCCATTCATATCTTTGACGAGGAGACACTTCCATGTATTGAATAGAGTGAGCACCTTTTTATGTAGGCTCCGTCGCTGGGCGAGGGGAGCTTGTTGAAGTGATAGAATCGCAACTGATTGTTATGAAAAGGTCTTAGTTATTAAGTCAAGAAGCCATGAGACAGGACTTCTCATAGTATATATAATCTATGTGCTCCACGTAGCCAGATAGGTCTAGCTTCCTTGTTCAACAGTTGTCATGTAAATCTCTTGGCGTCTTTGTTCCTTCAAGTTGGCACAACACGGGATCCCAACCAGCCGGAACTATCGAGATACTAGTCTCTTGTTTTGCACTAACCAACAAGTCGAACATGCCTAACTGCGTGTTCTCGTCATTATCAGCTGACTTGTGCATCGATGTCGATCTGCCGTCTGGAGAATCATCAGATTGCAAAATTCTAAATCGTTTGATAACCATCTAGCGCTTCCGAGCGGGTGCCGGTTCCTTCGGCCGCTAATACGCTCAATGCCGAGACCGTGAATTTTCAACCAGTAACAGTCCAGGTGATTAACGACTACTGATACGACCGGCACAATGTTTTACGCAGATCACACCATTATGAGGTTGCAGCCACAAAGGGTCGTCCCTTTACCGCCACTTAGTTTGTCTCTTAGCACTTTATCACCGTTATTGCCCTCTCTTTCTTTTTCTCTTCTTTTTATTCTAAACTAGCATCGACCCATGTCAACTGTGCCGCAATGGATCTCAACCTCGAATAGGAAACGCGCACGTACCATAGCAACACGAGCTAGAGCTGTGGTGGTACAGTAATCAATGAGTCTTGATAGGTGGTGGCATGTACTGTCCAGTAATTTACCTACGGAATTATGTTCTGTGGACAAGCACCTGGGCTTCGGCTGGGAACTTCCGCTGAGTCTAAAAATAGGCCTAAATCCTTCACCACTCCAGGGCTTACTCCAGGCCATGCGGCTGCTTTTCCACGATGCTTCTCGATTGCCTCGATTGGGCTCGATAATAGTAATCTGCGGGCCCTTATTGGGCCTGCGGAGACTTGGTTCACCCGCCGGCGCGGGCCAACTCGGCGCACGCTGGCAATATATCGCGATGCCCAGCACCGTCAGTATGGTAGCATTGAGCCTAGCATGCAAGGTAGGGAAGGGCAGGGTAGGTCAGAAAAGCTGCGATGCCAGTGTGCAGAGTACATGTCTGGTTAGTAGAACTCGGAGGCTTGTAGTAAGGTCGGAGGGTTGGAGGGCGAAAAAGGTCAAAGTAAGCCGCGATAATATGGCGGAGGGCCACGCTTAGCTATGAAAGAACCCTGTCCACTTGCCTGTTATGGAGACATGTCCGCCGTCCGTTAGGAATAGAAGGGCTTCTATGCTAGATTTCGGCACTTGGCGGAGACGGCGGAGTAAGAGAGGAGACAGACGACGGTACTTACTCAGAGCCAAGACTGAGCCTGACGGGCCCCGGTAGTGTGGTTTAAGACAGGGAGATCAGGTGAGATCGAGGGTCGCGTTTGCGCTCCAGGGGGCTGGAAGGAGTCTAGTGTGCGTATTGTTTAGTAGGTACAGTTGCAGAACTAGGTAATAACTAGGTAATCAATGTGACAGTACGGGGCCCTTAGTTTATGGTGTCACATCGGGCTCTGTACAAGCACTATGCTGCCAGGCACGGACGTGTGAAGGCCGCATGGAGCCCGCATGAAGCTCATGGGCTAGCTAGCAGGCCCCTTGTCGTGTGTAGCGAGCACTGAGCTGGCAAGGGAGCAGGCGGCGAGGCAGATGGCTACAGAAAAAAAAAGAGTATATAGAGTGGGCTGGATCGACACCAGGACACCGCTTCACTCACCGAACAACAGTCTTGGCCTCTCATCCTTCAGACAACTCCTCCGGCTTTGACTTGACGATGCCTCTCAAGAACGTCCTGGCCATTGTTGGCGCTCTGCCACTCGCCTCTGCCGTGGGCTGCCCCGTCATCCACGGCAATGGCAACGCCCCCTCGGCTCGCTCTGTCATCTCCCACCCAGAGTCCATTCTGGAGCCCAGATTCAGCCCTGACGGCCCCGACTTTGGCAGATGCTCCCGCAAGAGCACCGTGGCTGGTGGAGGCACTCGAAGCAGCCAGTGGTGGCCGTGTGAGCTGAACCTGGCTGTGCTGCGCCAGAACTCGGACAAGACCAACCCCTTTGGCGGCAGCTTCGACTACGGCGCGGCCTTTTCCAAGGTCAATGGTGCGTTTCCTCTTTGAATCTACTCTCTCTCTCCCTCTATGTATAAGCTAACATGTATTACTTGTAGTTGCTCAACTCAAAAAGGACATCACCGCCCTGCAGACCACCTCGCAAGACTGGTGGCCCGCCGACTTTGGCAACTACGGTCCCTTCTTCATCCGTCTCGCATGGCACAACGCCGGTACCTACCGCTCCGTCGACGGCCGTGGAGGAGCCGGCATGGGACAGCAGCGATTTGCTCCCCTCAACAGCTGGCCCGACAATGCCAACCTCGACAAGGCCCGTCGTCTGCTCTGTAAGTCAATCCATACCTAGCTAGAGACAGGGATCTGCATCAATCATAGTGTGTCATACTAACGCTGCATATGCAGGGCCCATCAAGCAAAAGTACGGCAGCGCTCTCTCCTGGGCTGATCTTTTCGTCTTCGCCGGTAACACTGCCATGGAGAACATGGGCTTCCCCACGTACGGCTTTGGCTTCGGCCGTGAGGACACCTACCAGTCCGACGAGGGCATCTACTGGGGTGCCGAGCAGGACATGTTCCCCACTGATGGCAACAACGTTGTCCGATACAACGGCAGCACGGACTTCACCGCACGTGCGTCTGAGCTTGAGAGCCCTCTTGGAGCCGTCAGCATGGGTCTCATCTACGTTGACCCCCGCGGACCCAACGGCACCCCTGACACCAAGGCCTCTGCTCTGGATATCCGCGAGACCTTTGGCCGAATGGGTATGGATGATGAGGAAACCGTTGCTCTGATTGCTGGTGGCCACGCCTTTGGCAAGACCCACGGTGCCGAGTCTGGCGATGATGTCGGCCCTGAGCCCAACGCCGCTCCTCTTGAGCAGCAGGGCCTTGGCTGGAAGAACACCTTTGGCACTGGTAACGCTGATGACACTTACACCAGTGGTCTTGAGGTTATCTGGTCTCGTACTCCCACTAAGTGGGCCAACGGTAAGTGCCCCTTGCATCTGTCACCAAGAAAAGTACAACGCATGCTAATATACTCCAACAGAGTTCCTGTTCTCTCTGCTCAACAACAACTTCACCCTTGTCCAGTCCCCTGGTGGTGCTCCTCAGTGGGAGGCCCTGGACGCCAATGCCTCCTACCCCGACCCTTTCATCAAGGGCAAGTTCCGCAAGCCTACTCTGCTGACCAGTGATCTTGCTCTCCGAGATGACCCCATCTACAACAACATCTCCAAGACGTTCCTGAACGACTTTGACTACTTCACTGAGAAGTTTGGTCTCGCCTGGTACAAGCTTCTCCACCGTGATATGGGCCCTATTTCTCGCTACCTTGGCCCTGATCTTCCCAAGGCGGCTCCCCTGATCTGGCAGGATCCTCTCCCTTCTGCTTCCGGATACAGCACTCTCGCTGCCTCTGATATCTCAGCCATCAAGCAGCAGATTCTTGCCGCTCCTGGCCTCAACATCTCCAACCTTGTCACCACCGCCTGGGGATCAGCCTCGACCTTCCGTATCTCTGACAAGCGTGGTGGAGCCAACGGTGCTCGCATTGCTCTCCAGCCCCAGGTTTCATTCGCCGCCAACAACCCCACTCGTCTGCAGACTGTTCTCAAGGCTGTAAGTAGAATCGTCTTTGTTCTTTATTGAATATATACTAATACTACTCCCTCTTTAGCTGAAAGGAATCCAATCCAAGTACGCCTCAAGCGGCAAGACAGTGTCTCTTGCTGATCTCATTGTTCTTGGTGGTAACGCCGCCATTGAGAGCGCTGCCAAGGCTGCTGGAGTCACTCTTACCGTGCCATTCACCGCTGGCCGTGTCGATGCCCTCCAGAATCAGACTGATGTCTCTACCTTTGCTTTCCGTGCGTCTTCTCTCATCCTCTCTTGTCTGCATATGCTATGAGAACTGTTAAACTAACTTCCATAATCTTATAGTCGAGCCCCAGGCCGATGGCTTCCGCAACTACGGCAAAGGCACTGCCCGATCTCTGACCGAGGAGTTCTTGGTTGACAAGGCCGCCCTCCTGACTCTGAGCCCTCCTGAGCTGACTGTCCTCGTCGGCGGCCTGCGTGCCCTGAATGCCAACTTCGACGGCTCCTCAACCGGTATCCTCACCTCTCGCCCCGGCCAGCTCACCAACGACTGGTTCGTCAACCTTCTGGGCTCATACTCCACCTGGGCCGTCGTCAACGGCACCAACGAGGAGCGATTCCAGAGCGTCGACCCCAAGTCTGGCAAGGTCCAGTGGACTGCCAGCCGTGCTGATCTCATCTTCGGCTCACACCCCGAGCTGCGTGCCATCACCGAGGTCTACGCCGGCTCCGACGCTGCCTCCAAGTTCACCACTGACTTTGTTGCTGCTTGGGCCAAGGTCATGGACCTTGACCGCTACGACGTCAAGGGACACCTTGGAGCTTTCTAAATGCGTGATGATTTCTAATTATTGTATATAAATTACCAATGAGGTTGCATTAGTAGTCACACATTATTTTAATGACTAGATTCACGAGGCACAGCTGCCCTACAGATACATGTCATAGATAGCTTCTGTTGTTTTAATGACAATTATTTCAATCAATTTGCTCTCTGTAGTTTCAGCTTCTACTTAAAAACAGGGCCATCGGACGCCTTGTACATACCGGACTTTTACTTGCCTTCTTCTGTCACTTTTCGGTCAACTCATAAAGTGTAGAGCGTTCTAGACATGACGTGCTCCTTCTCTATTGGCGAGAATAATATGGCGTAAAAGTTCAGCTGCTCCTGAGTAAAGCTGAAAGACAGCTGTCTCTACCGCATGCACTGAATCCATCCACACAAGTCACTGAGAAGCCAATGACTCTCCATTCTCCCTGCATAAGGAATGTGATAGCAGTGATAGTGCTCCATAAGCTGCTCCATTAGTTTTGCTCTGTGCAACGCAATGTCTCAGACTAAATGGGATCGCCGCATAATGGCGTCTTTTCAGGGGCTACGCTAGCTGGGTTGTTCAGTTGTGTCTTGATGCTACTGGTAAACGAGAGTTACTAAGAAAGTTCTCTCCGCCATTGTCATCTGCCCAGATGGACCCGCCTTGGACGGGGTGGCTTGAAATGCCGCCATTCCGCATCGTACGAGCGTTGCTTGTTTTTTCGTGGTTTTTCATTGTTCATTCCTGTTTTCTTAGTGAAGAGATCACTCTGTACAGTATGGCTCATCCAAGTTTCGCGCGATTTTTGTCTTTTTAACTGGGGCTCCATACCCGCCTGGTCCCTGAAATTTATCAGGCTCCGAGGCGGCTAGAGTGCGGGTCGTGAGAAATCTTATTTGTAATTCTCTGCCTATTGCAGCGTGGAAAAATTCTACTGTAACCATACGTTATGTCAAAGCTTTATTTGAAAACGTGGAATATGCAGTGCACATCGATCTCATGGCTGCATGACGAATTTAAAAGTAGCCAAGTTGATAACAAATCCAGCAAGACAGGCTTGACGGAGTGAATAGAAAACGAATTGAGTCTTCTTAAAGGATTGTTTCTCACTCACTCGTCTGTTATTATACTCCAGCCCAATCCGGATATGGTTCGGCCCGGTGCCGGCTCCCGAGATGCTGAACATGGGCGTCGAATGGGAGCAAACACCAAGTACGGACTTCTCGGCACAACTAACCACTCACACCCCAGCTAATTCGAATATTGTCTAAGTTTTAAGCTCAACGGCCGCAGACATAATATATTCTTAATTCCTTCTGTACCTGTACTAGGTTCCCTTGTCAGTTCTGGGGACAATCGGCTAGATGATGCTCCGATGGCATGCAAGTAACACAGACTAAATGCTGACGGAAATCTGGCACCGATTTACTCCCCATGGCCATGTACAGACAATATCGAGCATCTATTATAGGCACTTTCGCCCGAGGAATATGTATACCAGCTTGACCTATCATGCAAGATGCGAATAATGATAGTAGCTTAAGTGGTAGGTCAGCTGGTGCTCTCCACGTGGAACTAGGATTAGTAGCATCTTCGGTGTATTACTATTTATAGAAAACGTTGTTGTTAGCATTTGACAATACCAACTAAACAAGAAGGGCGGGTTACCTATAATGAAGGAGAAGATGAAGACTTGGTGGTCTCGCCGTTCAAAGCGTGCCTATACTCAGCAACTCTTTAAATTAATATCAGCGGTACAAAATGCAGTAGTTCTCTAGCAAAAACAGATATTTGGTCTTGAGCATCTTTGTGCGTTGTCTGCAAAGGCATAGCTTGGCTATTCTCGGCGACTGTCCGAGAAAAAGTTTGCATCTCTCCCAACATCACTGGTGGAAATTTCTAGGCGTCTTACTTGGGTCCTTGTACTTGTATGCTCGATATATCTAGAAGTAGTAACAATATATGCTCACTCAGATCAAGGATATAAAAATCGTTAGCCATTGAATAGAGTGCTGATATCCCGTAGGCTAACAGAGCCAATAGGACAAACACAGGGACTTGGGTCAGAACAAATTGGCACGCTACCCCAGGCTTATAAGTCTAATTTATTGAAATACAATCCATGTTAGCATACGGACGGAGTACATACTCCGCAGCTAACCCTGGAACGGCCAAGCAACCGCAACAGTTGATCAATGGTAAACTTGCTCACGCGAGACCCACCAACCATTCTCATTCCAGGTAGTTGCATTTACTCGAATGGGGACTATAAGCCTGGCCATCTCAACGAAATAGACATATTGATTCTACTTAAGGTCTTGAGACACTTGATTTGAAATCACTCATCGAGGAAAGGCCGAGGATGTCGATGATAGGTTTTTGTGACGGTGTTCCTCTGATACGTTAGTCCGATATACTATAGACTATGATTGGATATGGATACAAATAATCAAGTTTTCAAAAAAGCACTATTCCGTGCAATCCCACTGCTGACATATCCTTCAACCTCAATTATGTAGTTGTTGTGAATGGGCAACATATTTTATACAATAAATAAGAGACTTCTCTATCAACGTATGTATTAATTGCGATATAGGATCTGATTTGCCTTGAAACTCTACATGGGGGTCGAATAAAGCTTTCAGGATATCTTGAACAGTAGTTTGCAACGAAGCTACGCCTTTACAGCCGTTGTCGTATTAACGTTGCATATCTTTGCTAGTCTTCTGGGGGTTTTGGCAAACCAGTCTGCTGGTAGCATCTTCTGACCAATGAGAATGATATCTCGTGTGAATTGATGGAAAAACATTGATTGAAGGAAAAGAAGGAGCTTGATGCTATAGGGATTCTGCCTTTGCTGCTGCATCTGCCTTTCCCACTGTTTCCTCTCTTCCTCTCACATCGTCATCGTAGCTGCCATGGCTTCTCTCATCGGGCAAACGTTTTTCTCGTTCGAAGAAAATGTATGCTTGCAAGTATTTTACGAACAATAGGCCAGTCAGATTCGACACAGCGCTTTCTATAGATCTCAGTTTGGTAACTAATGGAGCCGATATTTGTGTTCTGATTACAGCTTTTCAGATGTTTTGTTATTTGAGCATGTTTTTGTTCGTTCCTGTGTGCCTTGTTTTCATCGTAGGGTATGCCTTTCAAGCTTTGAAACCTTCTCCAGTGAGTGGCGGCATTGCTTGAAGCGACTCTTTGCGCTTCGTCCGTCAGCTGAGATCAGCGGATATATCTCCTGTAGTATAGACGGAGATTGACTGATTCCAAGAATCCGAGTAATCGTAATTGAATCAAGCTGTATTCGAAATGATATATGAGATGATCTGTTTAGGGAAATAAGGCTATTGCTTAGATATGCATGTCAGTTGCTCTGACACTATCCTTGATCAATGAGAGCGATCAACGACCGTACAGCTGATTAAATTAATTGCGTTGTAGATTGAAAGACAGTGTATGCTCATTAAATGGTAGTGTCTGATGGCATAGAGTGAAGAGAAAAGAAGTGGTGGTCGTTGACCGTGATGACAATTGACAATTGTTATCGGGCAACCGGTCTCGAGGCATACGGACTGTTGGACGGTAATCTATACACATCTAGTTTTCCGAACGTAGATATTCTCGCAAACACTTCTTTACGGAACCACTCATATCACAACAAAGACATCTATCAACCGTTTTATTAGCAGCCGGTCTCAGTATAGATTACGATACAGCTAGGAACATAATGAGAGCTCCTGTTTCTTCTTTAAAAACTCGCATCGTAGAGAGAAAGTTACAGGTAGCCGTCAAATAATCTTCACCAGTGCCATATCGGTTAAATGAGATTTGAAGACGTCGAACCAGTACTCCTTAGCATCTCCGAGTGCCGTAGGAGGTTTCGATAATTGGATCAAACCCAGCCGCTTCCATACGGCACAAGAATGTTGCTCATCGTAGCTAATCGTGTTCAACAGAAGCAGTGTTAGTGAACCTGAGCCAGGACTTGTTGAGAGCATTAAACATTTTACAAGAGTTCCAGAAGCAACGTGATCGATTCCCGGCAGAAATGAGTCGTAATCTGCCCATACATTGCCCACTTGCCTGTTCATAATGCCAAGTTCGTATAGGTCAAATGGTGCCTTTGAGCCCTCTTTCACGGATGGCCTATATCGAATTGAAGTCGATATAAGATACCCACGTAGCAAGAGGTGACCACTTCTAAGCTCGCCAGTTGAATCTAGCTGGTAGGGTGAGCACTTCACTTCTTCGAGCTCACATAAAGGAACCAAGCCGTTTCCTATATCAAGAAAGTGAACTGGGCCAAGTGCCGAGGCCCAAGACCATGTTGGAGCTCTCCATGCTTTCGGACGTTGATGCCATTTGACATTCTCCGTCGAACTACTCGATATAGTTTCTTTGTGCCATGCTAGATCACACAGCAAAGATCTTACCCACATTCCAGCGACATATTCCGATTTTGTGTATTGCTGGAAACTCTTCGCGATGCCTGACATTGCTGGAAAGATATCGCTCTCGAAAGTAAGATGAAGCCTTGTATAATCTTCTACCAACATATGCCAGACCTTGATGAGTCTCGTTTCATCTAGCTGTTTCCAGTAGCCTTGGTTATAAATGATTTTCGGTTGCAGCATCCGCTGCGCAGACATAGTAAGAGCTGTATCAACAGCTCCATTGCCAGTCGAAGAAGAATATGCACCAGTGCACTGGCAAGCAGATTCCTCCAGGCATTCCCATGAGAGCTCTTGTGGCCCAAAATGAATGACTCTCGAAGCCAGAAGGCGTTCCTGAAATATCCACCCGCGATTAAAAGTCGGAAGAGGGGATTTCTTGACAAGCCTTTGGTCCATGTATCCAGGCAAATGTGTAAATGATTTGCGAAAGCATAATGCAGATCCCTGACTTGAAGATGGAATAGGGATTATGGTAGCATTCGACTCTCCATCAATGCCGCCAAAAAGACTCTCTTCCGAGTTGTGAGACTTTGATGCAGAGATTACGAGATATGCATTTTGGTAAATCGATGCCATCTTGGAAGCTTCCATTCTCCAATCTTCTTTGTCATCTTGTACGATACAGAGACTGTCAATCCATAACAGAGTTATCCCTAGTTTACGCACATAGGCGATAGTATCTTGGAAAACGGGCGGCAGCGAATCCCATGGGATCTCTTCTTTATGCGAATCGAGGTTTGCCGCTAATGTTCTCGAAGGCCGTGACGTGCCCCAGCAGTGGCTCAGGCATGCATACTTTGACACCGTAGTGTCCTCTGCATCGATTTCTCTTAAGCGAACGAGGCTGCCGTCTGTAGGACCAACGTCAAGGATTCTCCTCGGCAGGATCGCTGCCACGCTAGAGTGTCTCCCATGGCATCCATGGCTGTTGTCGCATTGCTTGAGTTTCTCTGCTACCCATTGGAAACTAGCTTCAGAGTTTGTGGTTTTAGGTAGATCTAAGACTCCGACTGGCACATTGGGAAACAAGATCTCAAGCTCCGGTGGTTCTGATGGAAACGATTAGTACGGGGCAGAACATGCCAGCACCACAAAGTCTGCAAGATATCTAGCTCCTAGGCTTGAGCAATGACACGTGCGACTTCAATTGAATAGACTTACTGGATGGTGGGGGAGCAAAAACAGAAATCTCCATCTGGCGTTTAAAGAGGGTCAAGTTAAGACTCTGCCCTGATGCCGTCATATTCATGTCCATACGGAGCCTTTCGACGGCATCTTGAAGCTGCCCGTCCAGGGGCAAATCATCACCAATGACGCCATCAATGCCGGCACTCAACACAGAGCACGAGAGACATCCGGACTCTGCCCCTTGGCGTAGGGCACTGAGGCTTGTGATGGCTGCCGTAGGTCCGCGGAGCTTGCTTGGAGGATGATGGCATGCCGAGCAGGGCCGGGTTTCGGGTTCGGACTTGGGTGTAGAGTGCGACATTTGCCTTCTTTGTCAGCGGGACCTAAATCGTATAAATAGCTGGGCGTCTGATATCACCAAGTTTCGGTAGCCCGGAAGTTCAAATCGGGAGAGCAGAGGGGCTTTCCCGAGCCCGATGCTTCGCCGCAATGGCATCCCCACTTAGTAGGGCATACGCACAGAAAGTCCGCTAAACGCGACACACTGATCTGGAGATGCCGTTTGTCAGTTTGTATGGAATGAAGTGGACTGTTTCGACGATGATTTCTTATTCAATATCAACGCTAAAACCATGAGAAATGACTCGGTTGAATTGTATGTAAGTGAAAACGTATTGCGAATCGTTACTGTTCTGTCTACACTGGATTGCTGCGATCTTGATCAGGACTCTCTTATCCACTTGTGTTCACTTTGAACTTGGATTCAGCAATATGGACTCTGAAAAGACTGGCCGTTTGCCACAATAGTGCCGTGGCGCGCGTTCAACGAGTCGCGTCGCTGCATAATGATTCAGCAAGAGAATTGAATCCCCAGCAATCTCTACATGTTACAGCTTTCTTCTTTCTCTTTGCCTTGGCTGCGGAACTCGGCGGCTATGCTAGTACCAACATCGACGGATGTCTCTACAACAGCCGTTTGCGTAAAAAGTAAAGACTGGCAGCGCTAAGACTTAGGAGGCCCGCGCGGCAATGACGATGGGATGCATACGGAGCTGTAATCACAAAATGCTAGCAGTAAAATACACGTATTTAGGGCACCGGGTGCTTGCAAGGGTCCGAACCTCAGGACTGCCGGGCGCATCCAATGCAGTAGTTTCAGCTCTCTCGGCGTGCGCGCCGGTTTCAAACTCTAGTTGTGACGAGCCAATCCACAACTTTGAGGCTCAACAGACTCAGCGCCGTCTGCCGCTATTCAGAAGCCACAGGCTCGCGCCGCTGCAAATCGCTTGGTTGAGGGTGTTGTGTCCCAGCGTGCGAGCAGAGTAGCTGAAATGAGCTGCTCGGCCTCATGAGCCATTGGCCAGATGGAGCCGAGGCCTGTATAAGCGCATCAGCATCATCAGTAGCTACTAGTAGTAATTGAGTTTGAGACTTGTCCATTAGCTTATCAATTGAACAGATGGGCGGTATCTGGCATAAGTATACAATAAATGATCAATTACTATCAAGGAGACGGCAGTAAAGCAGATGGAATGTAGTGTCTCAAGCTGGACGGCGAATCGCCGGCAATGCTCCGCCGCCTGACGGACTTTGGCTACAGGGGCGGGATCTTCAAAGTCCGCCAACCCGACAACATGCACTGCGTATTACGAAAGGCTTCTCGCATAGGGGCTCTGCATAGGGCATTCTAGTAGCTCTTACTCAGGATCTACAGCTTGAGATGCGCACGGTGCAGAAGCTCGTTGTTGGCTATGCAAGCCATTGGCCCCGTAAGGTTTCTGGCTTGCTGCCAAGCGCTGGCATGGCTAACACTCCGGGAGCCCGACTTCGGGTTACTGCAGACTTGCACCGGTTTAAGGTTATTAATGGCGTGTAAACTGGTTGCTACTTATACAGAGTTCATGTCTCATGCTGTTTAACGTTCGTCACTCTCAGCTACCTCAGTGAACTGGGCAGGCCATCCAGTTAATCAATCAAAATGGCACTCAACGAAGACGCTAAGGGAGCTGTGGATGGGACCTTGGAAAGGGATGAGACTCCCGCTCATCAGAGCAATCGATATCTCGACACCTCAGAAAGCGATGACGAAGGGAGTTCCTCAGCAGAAAGGGGCCCTCCTCACTCGAGAGATTCCGACAATGACGCCAGCACCTTTCCCTCAGCTCTGAGTCGCTCTAATACATATGGTGGAGAGTCTATAATGGAACAGGATGACAGAACCGAACTCAAACGCATTGCTACTGCTCTTTCTCGTCGCCAGTCTAGTGTTGCTGCTCCTACTCGTCGTCAATCGGTTGGCCTTGGTGCCGTCGAAGAATACGATGCCACCCTCGACCCTGATCGCCGCGAATTTGAATTATCGAAATGGCTACAACACTTTATTCGAGAACTCGGCGAAAAGGGCCTTTCGGATCGACAAATAGGTGTATCGTTTCGAAATCTCGACGTTTATGGGTCTGGGGATGCAATTCAACTCCAACAGACGGTGGGAGATATTTTCATGGCCCCATTGAGGATTGGAGAGTTTTTCAGCTTCGGCAAAAAGGAGCCAAAGCATATTCTAAACAACTTCAATGGACTTGTCAAGAGCGGAGAGCTCCTAGTTGTTCTTGGACGACCAGGCTCTGGCTGCAGTACACTTCTCAAATCTGTTTGTGGCGAGTTGCATGGCCTAGCCCTTGGAGAAAGCTCAAACATCAGCTACAATGGCATCCCACAGAAGCAGATGAAGAAGGAATTCAGGGGTGAGGCTATTTATAACCAAGAGGTATGCTCGACTTACACAACTTTGCACAGGACACTTTGTTATGGGTTGATGGCTAAATTCAAATACATAGGTTGATAAACACTTTCCTCATCTTACTGTTGGCCAAACACTCGAATTTGCAGCTTCTGTTAGAACACCCTCTCATCGTGTTCATGACATGCCTCGCGCTGAATATTGTCGCTACATTGCCAAAGTCGTCATGGCTGTATTTGGACTCACTCACACATACAATACCAAAGTCGGCGATGATTTTATTCGAGGAGTATCTGGAGGCGAAAGAAAGCGTGTCAGTATTGCAGAGATGGTCTTGGCCGGATCACCGTTTTCTTCTTGGGACAACAGGTACGTTTCATCTGCATGCATCTGAAATAGTATATATCTAATGGAATTATCAGCACCCGTGGACTCGACTCGGCAACTGCATTCAAATTCGTTCAATCGTTGCGGACAGCTGCCGACCTCGGCAACCATGCCCACGCGGTTGCCATCTATCAAGCCAGCCAGGCCATCTACGACCTCTTTGATAAAGCCACGGTACTATACGAAGGTCGACAGATCTACTTTGGGCCAGCAAGCGAAGCAAAGGCATATTTCGAGAAACAAGGCTGGTACTGCCCTCCACGCCAGACAACTGGAGATTTCCTGACTTCGGTTACGAATCCCGTGGAGCGCCAGGCTCGCGAGGGATGGGAAATGAGAGTGCCTCGAACTCCGGAAGATTTTGAGCGGCTCTGGCTACAATCTCCCGAGTTCAAAGCCTTACAACATGATCTCGATCAGTACGAGGAGGAATTCGGCGGCGAACGCCAGGGAGAGACTCTTGCGCAGTTTCGACAGCAGAAAAACTACAGACAGGCCAAGAGAATGCGGCCCAAGTCGCCTTATATCATCAGCATTCCGATGCAAATTAGATACAACACCAAACGTGCATATCAGCGCATATGGAATAACTGGTCTGCTACCATGGCATCTACCGTGGTTCAAATCGTCATGGCTCTTATTATCGGCTCTATATTCTTCGACACCCCCGCCAACACAAACGGTTTCTTTGCCAAAGGTTCGGTTCTGTTCATCGCCATTTTGCTAAACGCGTTGACGGCGATTTCCGAAATCAACAACTTGTATTCGCAAAGGCCTATTGTCGAGAAACATGCATCGTATGCCTTCTATCATCCAGCTACCGAAGCAGCTGCGGGTATCGCTGCCGATATCCCCATCAAGTTCATCACTGCTACAGTCTTTAACATTATCCTCTACTTTATGGCTGGGCTGAGAAGAGAACCGTCGCAGTTTTTCATTTACTATCTTATTGGTTACATCTCAATCTTTGTCATGAGTGCAATTTTCAGAACAATGGCTGCAATCACCAAAACCGTCTCTCAGGCCATGTCGCTTGCAGGAATCCTGGTTCTCGCTCTCGTCATCTACACCGGATTCACCATCACAGTACCGTCAATGCATCCCTGGTTCAGTTGGATTCGATGGATCAATCCAATCTACTACGCCTTTGAAATCCTCGTCGCCAACGAATTCCACGGCCAGGACTTTCCTTGCGGTGCCGCCTTCGTCCCTCCATACAGCCCCCAGGTCGGCGATTCTTGGATTTGCCCCGTAGCAGGTGCTGTTGCAGGAAGCGCAACCGTAAGCGGAGATGCCTTCATTGCGACGAATTATGAGTACTATTACTCCCATGTTTGGCGAAACTTTGGTATTTTGCTGGGCTTCCTGTTCTTTTTCATGGCCGTATACTTTGTCGCCACGGAGATGAACTCTTCGACGTCAAGCACCGCTGAGGCTCTTGTTTTCCGACGCGGCCACGTTCCTGCACATCTGTTGAAAGGAAACACCGGCCCTGCTAGGACTGACGTTGTGGTAGATGAGAAAGGCGCACACGGAAACAATACTGTCGACTCTAATGTTGGAGGATTAGAGCCGCAGCGGGACATTTTCACATGGAGGAACGTTGTTTACGACATCAAGATCAAAGGCGAGGACCGCAGACTTCTGGATAATGTATCTGGCTGGGTCAAGCCAGGCACGTTGACTGCACTTATGGGAGTCTCCGGTGCGGGTAAGACGACTCTTCTCGATGTGCTCGCGCAACGAACGACGATGGGTGTCATTACGGGCGATATGCTTGTAAATGGTAGGCCACGCGATCCCAGCTTCCAGAGAAAAACAGGTTATGTCCAACAACAAGGTAAGTTTCAATATGAGCTCGTTTCTTTCTGAACTAGTACTGACTAAAGAGCTAGATTTACATCTCGAAACCGCCACAGTTCGTGAGAGCTTGCGATTCAGCGCCATGCTACGTCAGCCCAAATCTGTCAGCAAAGAAGAGAAATATGTATTTGTCGAAGAAGTCATCAAGATGCTCAACATGGAAGAATTCGCAAACGCCGTCGTCGGTGTCCCAGGCGAAGGTCTCAACGTCGAACAGCGAAAACTGCTCACCATTGGAGTCGAGCTCGCCGCCAAGCCAAAGCTACTTCTCTTCCTTGACGAGCCAACCAGCGGCCTCGATTCTCAGAGTTCATGGGCCATCTGCTCGTTTCTTCGCAAGTTGGCTGATTCTGGCCAGGCAATTCTGTGTACCGTTCATCAGCCCAGCGCTATTCTCTTCCAAACCTTTGATCGTCTACTATTCTTGGCTAAAGGCGGAAAGACTGTCTATTTTGGAGATATTGGTCAGAATTCGCGTACTTTGCTGGATTACTTTGAGGCAAATGGCGCTCGCAAATGTGGCGACGAAGAAAATCCCGCTGAATACATGCTTGAGATCGTAAACAAAGGAATGAATGACAAAGGAGAAGAATGGCCCTCAGTATGGAAAGCTGGTTCAGAATTTGAAAAGGTTCAGGCTGAGCTTGATCGCATTCACGAAGAGAAATTGGCCGAGGGCTCCAGTGCAGAAGATGCTGCGGGCCAGGCTGAGTTTGCCACATCCTTTGGAGTCCAGCTCTGGGAGGTGACTTTTCGAATCTTTCAGCAGTATTGGCGCATGCCTACTTATATCTTTGCCAAGTTTATGCTCGGAACCGCTGCCGGATTGTTTATCGGTTTTTCATTCTTCGACGCGAATTCGTCATTGGCAGGAATGCAGAATGTCATATTTTCGGTCTTCATGGTCACAACTATATTTTCTACCATCGTCCAGCAAATCCAACCTCTCTTTGTAACTCAGAGATCATTATACGAAGTCCGCGAGCGTCCAAGCAAGGCCTACTCATGGAAAGCCTTTATACTTGCCAACGTTTTCGTTGAGATCCCTTACCAGATCATCATGGGTATTCTCGTATTCGCGTGTTTCTACTACCCTGTTGTTGGCGTCCAGAGCTCGATCCGACAGATCCTGGTTCTGTTATTCATCATCCAGCTCTTCATCTTTGCGAGCTCATTCGCGCATATGATCATCGTGGCTATGCCCGATGCGCAGACAGCCGCCAGTCTCGTGACTTTCCTGGTGTTGATGAGCACCATGTTCAACGGCGTCCTGCAGGTACCATCTGCATTACCAGGCTTCTGGCTGTTTATGTGGCGTGTCTCCGTTTTCACTTACTGGGTAGCTGGTATAGTTGGGACGGAGCTCCATGGACGAGAAATTGTTTGCTCAGAAAGCGAGTTGTCTATATTCAGCCCTCCATCAGGTCAAACTTGCGGGGAATATCTGGCGCCGTTCCTCCAGCAAGCACCAGGACAGCTCCAAAACCCATCGGCCACAGACCAGTGCCACTACTGCCAGCTCAGCAATGCGGACCAGTTCTTGGCCAGCTCCGAGATTTTCTGGACCGACAGATGGCGCAACTATGGCATCGTTTGGGCGTACATTGCATTCAACATCATGACGGCGATTACCCTGTATTACCTGTTCCGAGTCAAGAAATGGAACAGCGCCAGCTTCAAATTCAGTCTTCCATGGGGGAAGAAGGCGGGAAAGAAGACAAACTAACTAATTATGAAGAAAAAGTCTCATAATCATGCTCTATGCTAGCATTGGTCATCATTTTTTGCGTGTTTGATCTAGCGGCCAAAGTAGGCATCAGTATTTTCGTTCTTTAATTACCCTGGATCTTGAGCAGCAGCAATGCTGACTTGAAGAGCTTGATACATACTATTCATCGTCATATATAGATTTTTCCTTTGTATCAATAGAATAGCTCAATATTAATAGTATATTCACAGACAGTGTTTGTAGTCTTTTCTCCTTTATTCGGCATACTTTTGATGTCAGCTTGATATCGACGAATTGCTAGTCCAGCTTTCAGCGCAACCACTTACCAAAGTAACTTGGTGTACCATGATATTTTCAATCACATGTAGACAAACTTCCTTGAGATACTTAATTGATTGTTCCTTAGATCCAATAGATTGGTAGAAGACGGCTTCCTCCAGTCTCTTGGTCGAAAATCACACCATCTACTACAGAAGAATAATTTAGCACTTGGATATACCAGTCATTGCCTGTAGCAGATGTTACAGCTAAATGTAAAATAAAACACCACAAGATAGATTTCAAGACATGCAATGAGGCAAATTATAGAAACTCGTATAATTTAGCTCAGTGGGCGGTTTGATAAACGTCACACTTCTTTTGGTGTGGCTAACTGCCTCATCTGAATGGGTTGCAAGCAGATGAAATAGTCAGCTATCCCAACGCGTTGGATAATAAAAGTCCCGGGGGCTCGCTCCTATCGGAGATTTGACCCCAGCCTAGACGCGCCTTTGGAACAATATCCCGTCTTCGGAAATATTGTTTGCCAAGAACGTGAGAAAGGGAAAATGCCTCCTTGTGCAGCGGAGAAGATTGCCGAATGATACGTCGGGCTTTAACCTCGCCAATAAATACAAGTACATGCACACATAGAGCTGAAAATATCAGAGTCAGCAGAGGTACCTTTGAGGCCGTAGACGGTGCGGCGGTAGTAGTGCAGGATAGGGGGGAGGCGAGCCAGCAAGAGGCCCAGGCTCAGCAATAGTCGCAGAGGCTGAGTGAGCATGCAAGGAAAAGCAGTAATATCGAAGTGATTACTGTCTTGGTTCTTCTCGGTTCTTGGGGCTTTCTACTACTATGCGCGGCGACTTAAGGGAGTGGCTCTGCCGGCGCAAAAATATCCATTATTGACTTAGGAGCGCTGCTAAGAGCAAGCCGGATGAACAACTAGTGCCTGGTAACCTGTCAAAGCAAGGAGCGAACTAGCCCTGCAGGCAGAGAGAAGTTGCCGATGGTTCTAAGAAGAAGCAAGGCATCATATTTTGGCTAATTGCGTTTGACGGTTTCGAGTGCTGTGGTACCATGAATCGTAGGGGCACATCGTCACAGTGCTACGTTGCTCATATTATGCACTGTATGGTTACCGACCTGTCAAGATTATTCAAACGGACTTTCATGAGAGTAGTATCCTGGTTGAAGTGGGATAGTAATGGTTCCCTAATAATGTAGTTGACTCTTCGAGGAGGTGATGAGTATACTTTGAAGAGGGAGATGAAAGCTGAGGTTTCACGTATCCTGCCACTTCTCTCCGCACGTGGGTAATTTCTGGCTACATGTAAGGCCTTCGTATGGCTATGGATGCTTACCAGGGTCTCAGCAGCAGGGCATGCGCTATCCCACCAGAGTAGGTGTTATTACGGAATACTTGCCGAGAACTTGATCCAAGTGCAAGCCTTGAGTTTCATGCCTGCTCGTACCTTCATGTCTGCGATACTACAAGCATGTGCGTAGATGAAATATGCATGGAGAAGAAAGCTGAGAAGGACGACGGTGCTGGGCTTTTGATCCAGCGCAGGAAACAAGTCATCACATCAAAAAACCCCATGCCGACGTCGTTGCATTTCGCCAGGTCTAGGCCTTCGTTTGCCTGCTCAGGCAACTAGCCTTTGCAATAACAAGCCTGTGTAAATGAGGTTTGGTATAAGCTGCAGGAACACCACTAGTACGGCTACTTATTGCCAAGAATTGATGTTCGTCCAAGGATGGATGCCAATATACGACCGCAGTAGAGGACCCAGATCCAGTTAAAGCTCTGCTTTGCATCGGCCTAGTGAATCGTGCCTGCAGCCGGCTATGCGTTCCGCTTCTTTTCTGCTTTTGAGGGCGACTAATGAGGCCCTCTAGTACCTGAGTAGTGTGGCTGGAGGGAATTGAAAGTGAAAAAAGAAAAAGTCTCAGCAGTTGCCAACTTGCACATGCGATTAGTACTACAGTTGGTAAAGTGAAAATCCATCGTCTTCTCTGCCCTCTAGTTCTCTCTAGTTCCTGTTTTAGCCTCAGTCCACCGTTTAAGTGGAAAGCCTCTGGCCTCTGGCTAGGCTGGATCGAGGCTATTCTGGGCACCTCTACTTTCGCGTTTACGGGCTGATCATACCGATGGGCGGACCGTGGCTGTCAGTGGCCCGTCCCAGAGCAAAAAAGAGTGTGCGAGCCTGACTCGCGCAGCGTTTAGAGGACTCGATCTGAGAGTCTCCATCCGGCTCTTGTCATTGCTAGTTTACAAAGTTGTAACTTGTGTGAGACAGCCGAGAGTGAGACTCAATGATAAGAGCCGAAGCAAACGAGATCACGATATGTCGATAAACATCCCACCTGCTGCTCCGAGTAGCTGGGATCTAACCGGCAAAAAGGCCTGCAGCTTTTAGCAACTGAACGTTTAGTTGGCAATACGGGGTACACGCCCTGCAGCAGAAGAGCGTACATGTAGCGATGTTACGCTGCCGAGGAACAGGCATAGGCCAGGGGCGAGTACGAACTGCATGGCATCCACCACCCAATACGCTCTCTTGGCACACATGTAGAAACTTGGCGCTGGTGTGTTGCTGTAAGCAGGTTCAGGGGATCATTCAATAGTGCTGCAGACTGCGATTCAGCTTTGCCAGGCCAACAGGGGTAGCACCGCGCTCGCTCTCCTCCATTTTGGGCTCTGTTTACTGGAGATTTGATGACAGCTTCGCAGGGGGGCGCATGGCCTGTTCGCAGAGCAAGATGCCTGTTCGCTAGCGTTTGAAGCTTCTGCAACGGGGTCGTTTCGGCAAGGTGCCGCGAGCTTTCAAGTTTTTGCTAGTTGCGAAAGGGGAGGCAATCAAGCAGGCGGACTTTACTGCGACGAACGATTGAGATGTGTGGCGCGAGCTGAACCTTTTTTGGCCGCATAAACGACAGCGTCTCTCGCTTGATTACATGTACACGAGCCGAGCAAGGTGCAAGGATCGGTTTTTGTGGGTGGCAATTCTTGAATCAACATGGCACGGCTAATCGGGTGAGCTGAAGAGGCGTTTTCCCGTGTCTGAATCATGACGTCTGAAACACAAGGGCAAGATCTTGAGAAGAGAGAAAAGACGTAGAGGTAGAGGTAGAGGTAGAGGGAAGAAAGTTGACGAGGCCATGACACGAAAAAAAAAGGCTCAGGCTAGTTGAGCGCGGATGTTGACATCGATCAGGGCCCACGAAAGAAAGCAGCGGCGCCATCGACGGCTCGCCAGCCCGCGTCATCTATTTGCGAGGCGGCCTCTGCTATCCGTGTCAATCACCTGAAATCTGCCCACCAGTGTCAGATCCGGACGTGTCCCTGCCGACCAAATGTCCAATCCCTGGCAGCCCCTCAAACAACTGGGATCCTTGCTGATGATGGGGAAGAGATATCCGGACTATCATCTGTCGTATACCATGGTCAAGAGCAGAAGTGTTTCCGATGATAAGTGCGTATTTTATCATCTTGCAGATAGTAATACGACACGGCCCCTTCCCAGAGCCCGTCAAACTTTGGCCCACGGGGAGGCAATTCAGGTACGATGTCAAAGCACGCTGCCAAGGGCTCGCTTAGACATGGCCCTATTATGCTGTCAATTAATTTGTAAAAGACTTCAGCCCATTCTCCGCAAATAAAAACGAGACAGAAACTCGTCCACAAAAACAGAGCGTGCAGCCCATGAAAGCGACTCTGCTCAGCCGTCTCGCCGTCGCTGTGATTTAGGTGGCGTTGTGGCTGGCCTTGGTCGAGCGTTAGGAGGTTTAGGAGGCCCTCGTGCTGGCCTATCGGATTGCTCTGTGAACTGTCCCAGTAGACCGGTTTTGGCATCTGCAGCGAACTAGGCTCCCCTCCTCAGGTGTAACGGTAGCTGTGATGAAGAAAATGGCTGCGGCGATAAACAACTCCACCGCGAGCGGGTGGTGGGCGAAGGACGAGTAGACAAGTGCCGGAACGAGTAAAGAGCGCTGCAGCAGTTGTGGCCGTCGGATGGCATGAGCAAATAGGAGATTTCATCATGGTGGGCACCATAGTTTTTCTCAAGCCTCTTTTTGTTTTCCCCCTCTTGGCTCTTCTCATGTTGTAGACGGGATGTTGTTCAAGCTAGCAAGGTCGATTACAGTTGGTGTGGTCGTTCCAGCTTCGCAGCCACGCACATCCTTCTGGAAACCATTTGCTAGCATTATCCTGGCCCCTAGTCTTGCATGAAAAAGGTGAAGATGCTGTGCTCGTAGAAGAATTTGTGGGCGGGCGGCATGGACGGAGCCTCCCGGCCACAAGCCCAGAATCGTTCATTACATACATATCAGTCAGGGCCCCTCGCCACCCACTGGGATCGATCTCTTCGGATATCATTCATTTACCTTTTCCTTTCTTTTCTTTCCTTCTCGGCAGGAGTTGCCGCCTCTATTTTTGTCGTTGGATCTGCCTACATGTAGGAGCAAAACGCGCTTTGTATAATACGCACACTGTATTATACGGGTGGACCGCCGGGAACGACATACCAGACGTTTTCGCACACGTCTTACGGGCGTTTTTCCCACGTTATTTCTAATCTCGACTGCGGGAGCCAACGACCCTCTGCTTACCTGTGGATAATGGTGGACTCTCGCATTCAGCAAGCCATTGCGGCTGGCAGTGTTCCTTCGGACATCACGGCCGAGTACTTGGGCGAAAGCCGTGACCGACCGTCGATTATCGGCATCGTCTTCGTGACGGCCCTGACGTTTCTAGTCGTAGTCACACGGCTGATATCTCGATCGTTTATCGTGCAGCGTATTGGCATTGACGATGTGCTGGCCGCAGTGTCACTGGTAAGTACATGTGCCTACACGCATAGCCCCTTACACTTTGCTTTCGTCGAAGCAGTAGACAACCAGAAAACTGACTCGAGGTTTGTCTTTTCTGTATTTACTAGGCCCTGTTGATATGCTTTGTTGGATTAAGCATTGAGCTCATCAAACTGGGCTCCGGCAGGCATTTTGCCTTTATAGAATACGTGCTGGACGTCCCCACGGTGCTTCGGACGCAGGTGCTGGATTTCGTCGCGCATATCCTCTACACGACGGCCCTCTTGCTATGCCGTATATCCGGTCTGGCATTCTACTACCGAGTCTGCGGGCTTCACAACAACTTCTTGATCGCCATCAAGGTTGTCTTTTGCATCCTAGTCGCCGGCTTCCTCCCGCAGATTTTCCTGCTCATCTTCCATTGTAAACCGGTCACGGGATACTGGCCGTACGGATGGGAGCCTGTTGCTCCTCGTTATACCTGCCTGCAATGGGGTATAGTTTATAGTGTCAACTCTTCAGTGTCACTTCTCTGCGACTTGCTCCTGTTTGGTATTCCCATTGCGATGCTACGGACACTGGAGATGTCTCGTAAGCGTAAGATTCAGCTGGCCGGCATTCTGCTGCCGGGTGTCGCGTAAGTGGCTTATTTCCTACTCGCTCAATCGATTTGAAGAGCCTAGCGCTTCTTGAGTGACATCAACTAACGAATGCTTTGCAGAGTCATTGCGATATCGATTGCTCGACTGGTTCTCGTCATCCTCGGACAGTGGGAAACGGACGAATCATGGTCATACGATCCCATGTTGGGGGTGGAGGCATCCGAGATAGGAGCGACTCTCATCGCCCTCTCCGTCCCCGGAGCCAAGCCACTGTTCGACAAGATTGTCTTCAAGAAGGACGATTCACAGACAAGCGGCGCATCCCACTACGGACGCAAAACCAGCTCTTTTCGCTCTCGAGGCACTGCTCTGAGTAACCTGCGATTCCAGACGAACAGCCAACATAGCATCTTGGGGAGCGAACAAGAGGAGGGCCAAAAGTACGGCGCCGAGACGTCGGCCATGGCTGGCAGCAGACACGGCGAAGGCGGCGACGGAATTTACGTTCAGGTCGACTTTGATATCAAAGAGGCCCGGGTGAATACGACCACGCCAAGCCTGAATAGCCGATAGAAAAAAAAGTTTTGCTCTCCTTTTCAGATACGACTTCTATTGTTTGGCACAAGTTTTGTTTTTTTGTGTTCAGTTTCATCACTTTTCTTCTTCTTGTTGTGGTTTATTGTGTCATTTGAACACATAAACTTCTAATGTTTACACTCATCGATATGCCTCACAGTTATGAATGATGAGAAAAGCAACGATGACGATGAGCTAATAGGCTCGAATGTAAGATTGATGGGTTTCTGCTAGTATAGGCTAGTGACCGTTTGTTGTGTTGTATAAAACCCAAGCAAGGAGGTGTGATACCCGGATGAACAGCTTCTATCTTCTTCTTTTTTTTTTTTTTTTTTTTTTTTTTTTTTTGACCCGCTTTGATTGTCCCATAGAGAACATTAGAAGGCGAATGGCGGAATATGTGCATGAATGAAAAGAAAAAAGTTTATACGCGACTAATGGTCCCCCATGTGCAAACTATTGAGTGCGTTTGTGATATGTGAGAGATGGCTTCATGCAACTAGGCAGTACGCCGCTGGGCTAGCTCAAGGGAGCCCATGTTGGATACGAAGTTCGGCGAACTGCCTGATGCGACGGGAAAGGGACCATCTGGCGATTCTGACTAACATGATGTGCCCAAAGGAGCCATGGACTCCACGTGGCCGAGTCAGTTGCGATGCACGATGGATGCGTGGCCTAGCTGCATGCGGGACGAAGAAAGGGGACGAGCGTTCCTGAGTGGTTCAGCGGGCTGGGGCTGGCAGCTGGAAGGTCTAGAGAAGAGCCAAAGAAGACGATGTATCCAGTTGGTTGGCTGGCTGTGAGCTGATCTGATAGCGGGTGGTGATGCGCCTTTTGACGGGCGCCCACAAGCCACGCGGCGGCCCAGCTAAACTGGTCTCTTTGATTTCTGGAAATCTTCAGCAAGTGGATTACCTACCGTGTAATTCTGGCCTACAGCCTGCATTAACGTACCTGAGGCCGAGCCAACAGCGAGTTGGTGACCTTGTCTTGTCCCAGTCCCAGTCCCGTCTCCATCGTCCGATGATTTCGCCGGCTCGGCCGGAAGGCGCCAGAGCTCGAGCCACCGCACAAGTTACCGCTTTCTGTGCTCTGTGCTCTTCACTGTCTCTTTTTTCTTCAGCAAATGGGGCTTTTTCAAAGGATCTTTGGAAGAATGGTTCGTGGGTCTGTGCTATGAATCAAGGCGCAGTTACCCGTCCTTCACCTTCTCTTTATCTGAATCATGTCATGCCTTGCCACTATTTGCAATTTCATAGTAGTTGTCAAGTACGTGTGTCTATTATCACCGAAGGAATTGAGCTTGCTGCTTTGTTCATCTTAGTCTTAGCTAGCACACCGGAAACTGGAAATGTCATTTCTTCGAGTTACTGCAGCTAAAGTTTAGCGTCTCGACATACGCCTTATTTGGAGCTGCGTGCTCTGAGAACCCCAGTTTTCAGTGACAAAGAGAAAGTTGAAGAGAAGGAAGAGGCGATTCACTCGGTTGAGACGGATTGGTAAAGGTCATCGTAGCGGGCAAACCGCTTCTTCGACTTGGCCTCTTTCGCTCAGTTCCATGCCGCCTCTGGAATGGCCCGCCCTGAAACTAGCAGCCTGGAGCTCCATCTGGCGCGCGTGGCCAGCAGGGAACAGAACAGGCCCCTGTAAGCAGTCGCTAAACGCGCTGTAAAAATGCATGCCGACCGCTGAGAATCGCCAAAATCCCAGTGGCGGGGGGTTTAGACGGGCTGCGTCGTCCTCTCGCTCGATTGTTCCAGCCATCCACGGCATTCTTCACTTTCCCCATTCGCCTTTTATGGAGATGGGCTTCGCTCTCGCAGTGGCCACAGCCGTCTATCCGATCGCTGCGTGGCGCGCTCGCCTTGGCGTAATTGCTTGATCCATTCTGCATTGATGGAAGCGGCAAGGCTTCGTTTTGCCCACCGCCAGCTGATGATTCCTTGCTAGTGGCGGGTGCAGTAGCTGCGATTGAAACCAACGTCTGGTCTCGTCTGCGGGTTCGCGCTTCTTCTTGTTCATTTCCCTTTATAGTCTCGGCGAGAGCCTCCTTTTTTCTTGTTTCCTCTTTTTGTTTCCTCCGTCGTTGCTGCTCACTGCCGTCTCTGTGTTTCTTTTGCTGCTTGTTTCCTTCTTCGCCATGCGCTCCCAATTCGCCTGGTCGGCCGCCTTCGTGGCTGGCGTCGCGGCCCTCGACGTCTCGCAGGTGTTCCCCATGACGCCCAACCTGATTCCGCTGGAGAAGAACGCCGGCTCGGACAATCTGTTCCCCATGGCCGACTGCTTCGGCTTCAAGCTGCACGAGGCCACCATCGACCAGATGCAGGCGGCCATGGCCAACGGCACGCTGTCGTCGGTGCAGCTGGTGAGCTGCTACATGACGCGCCAGTTCCAGACGCAGCAGTACCTCAAGTAGGTTGCCCCAAATTTCGCTTAGAGGAGGATTGGATAGATGGATAGATGGATCGATCTACCGTGCCGTCGGGTCGATCTCGTCGGTTCCTGGGCTGGGCGCCGCACGGGGTGGCTTGCCGTGGTGGTGAGACGAAGATGGCTGGACAAGGGCAGAGGCGAACACGAGCTGTTCCTATTTGCTTGGCGCATCCTGTCTCACATAAGCCATCTTCGTCTATCTGCCTGCCTATCTGCCTGCCTATCTGCCTGTCCATCTATGCCTCTATCTCGACATGCATACATACTGCGTTGAGCCACATTAGCTAATCCCCATCTCCAGCGCCATCATCCAGATCAACCCCGACGCCTTCGCCATTGCCTCCCAGCGAGATGCTGAGCGCAAGAGCGGCAAGGTCCGAGGCCCGCTGCACGGCATCCCCTTTATTGTCAAGGACAACATCGCCTCCAAGGACAACCTGGAGACATGCTCCGGCAGCTGGGCCCTTCTGGGCAACATCGTGCCGCGAGACTCCCACGTTGTCAGCCAGCTGCGCAACGCCGGCGCCGTGCTCTTCGGCAAGGCTGGTCTCAGCGAGTGGGCTGATATGCGCAGCAACAACTACTCTGAGGGCTACTCCGGCCGTGGTGGCCAGGTCCGCAGCGCCTACAACCTGACTGTCAACCCCGGCGGCAGCAGCTCTGGCAGCGGTGTCGGTGTTGGAGCCAACGTTATTGCCTTTGCTCTGGGTACCGAGACTGACGGAAGTGGTGAGTAAAGTTATGGTCATCATCTTGCTGGCCTCTGCTAATCAGGAAAATTATATAGTCATCAACCCGGCCCAGCGCAATGCTATTGTTGGCATCAAGCCCACTGTTGGTCTGACTTCCCGTGCTGGTGTCATTCCCGAGTCTGAGCACCAGGATTCCGTCGGCACCTTTGGCCGCACTGTCCGCGATGCCACCTACGCGCTGGATGCCATCTACGGCGTCGACCCCAGAGACAACTACACTCTGGCCCAGCAGGGTCTGACCCCCAAGGGCGGATATACCCAGTTCCTGTCTAACCGCACTGCCCTCAAGGGCGCCACTTTCGGTCTCCCCTGGAAGAGCTTCTGGGTCTACGCCGATCCCGAGCAGCAGAAGATCCTTACCAGCATCGTCAAGCTCATTGAGTCTGCCGGCGCCACCGTCATCAACAACACCGAGATTACCAACTACCAGACCCTCGTCAGCCCCGACGGCTGGAACTGGGACTACGGTACCACCCGTGGCTTCCCCAACGAGTCCGAATACACCTATATCAAGGTTGACTTCTACAACAACATCAAGACCTACCTAGCCGAGCTCAACAACACCAACATGCGCTCTCTGGAGGATCTTGTCGACTACAACAACCAGTTCACCGGCTCCGAGGGCGGCTACCCCATGCCCAACGGCAACCCTGCTTTCTGGTCTGGCCAGGATGGTTTCCTTGCTTCTCTTGAGACAAAGGGTGTCAAGAATGAGACTTACTGGCAGGCCTTGAACTTTTGCCAGTCCTCCACCCGCAAGGGCATCAACGATGCTCTCACCTACAACGGCAAGAAGCTGGATGGCCTTCTCGTCCCTCCTGATGTTGCTCAGAGCATCCAGATCCCTGCCCAGGCCGGCTACCCTGCCATCACCATTCCTGCCGGCATCCACTCCGACTCTGGCATGCCCTTTGGCCTGGCTATCCTGCAGACTGCCTTCGGTGAGGCTCAGCTGATCAAGTATGCCAGCGCCATTGAGGATTTGCAGAAGAGCAGCAAGCAACCTTATAAGCGAACCCTGCCCACCTGGCGCGGCTACCTTCAGAGGAATGTCCCTGTCCCTCTGTAAACTTGATTTTAGGAGGAGGTTTTAAGTAAAAGCGTTACGATATAATGCATGTTTTCTTGTATATACCCATACATATATACACACACATATACATAATATGAAGTACTAATAGATTTCCAACACACAATGAGTGCAGCATGTTTTGTGAAGACGCAGATATGAGTAGACGCATTTGTATCAAGTTTGCTGCCAAGCGCACAACAATTAACTCAAGGAAGACTCGCGCCTGGGATGGCGTCAATTGCCAATGATATGGCTATCATTAACCTGATTAACGCTCTCATCTATGCCTATTTATATTTTTTCTTATTCCCCCCCCCCCCCCCCATCTGAGTTCATCTCGGCCGGCTTCGATCCGTTGGTTTATAAGCTTAAAACCCAAATTCTCTTCGCGAGTCAGCCTCTCTCGCTTATTGCTGTTGTGCTCATCCGTGAAACTAACCGGGCCGCAGTTCGCTTTGTTCCGCTTTACAGACCAATCATTCCGTTAAATTCCTATTTTTAAACCCTTGAAGCGCGATGATCTTTGAATTGTATGTAGTTGGTGTTGCATGACCGGAGCAGCTGTGTGGCCAATGGATTGCACCCTCCACTTCCTAAAAGGGAAAATGCAGATGCCCTCGGCCGTATTCCCAATCGGGATATTGGTCCTCCTAGTCGTGCTTCAATCTTTCAGCTCACAAAATCTGGGAAACTTTTCGCGAGTTGGCGCTGAAAGATATTAGAAATCACTTTAGCTAATGGATTAATAACAGAAGGGTTGACAGGAAGTTGCAAAGCAACGATTTTGTCGATTATTGATCGCTAAGAAGAGACGATATTTGCAGTTGTTGCTATGGAATAGTGGTGTTTGACAATTACAAGTATAATAAACTCTCTCAAGTCCTCCTAAACTGAATATCGTAGTTCAACAATATTTGTGTCCTATAAAGCTCCTCTGCGACGTGCCATCTATTGCACTAATAGATTATTCCAACAGTTCACAACTCAGAGTAAAAGATGGCTAAACTCGTCGTAATCACGGGAATCACTGGTGTTCAGGTTCGCTTCCCAAACAAACTTGCCTTATTTCACAACTCACATCCATTTCTAACACCATATCTAGGGAAGCTCAGTTGCCGACACCTTTCTCCAATCCCCAGGCTACACCCTTCGTGGCGTCACTCGCAACCCCGAATCCGATGCCGCCAAAGCATGGGCAGCCAAGGGAGTCGAAATTGTCCAGGGCGATCTCGACGATGTCAAGTCTCTCGAGCGAGCCTTCCAGGGAGCCAGCGTCATCTTTGGCGTGACTGATTTCTGGACCATCTGGAAGGATCCTCGGAACTCGGAGCTGAAAGCTCCGGATCAGGAACTTGTTGCTTACTGCTACGAAGTTGAGCTGCGACATGGCAAGAACCTTGCTGACGCTGCAGCTTCGACGGCGAAGACGCTGGAGAGATATGTCTTTAGCTCCATGGCTGACGCGACGAAGTCTAGTGGTGGCAAGTACACCAAGTTGTATCATATGGACTCCAAGGCCCATGCTGCGGCATATGCACAGAGCCTTCCTGCTCTGAAGGGCAAATTCTCCCAGGTTCAAGCTCCAGTCTACTTCCAAGTAGGAACGGAGTGGGGTCTACCAATTACTCCACAGAAGGTAGCTCATTATGAAACTCCAACTTCTCCACCTCTTCTCAACTAACCTTTTGATCTGCTCAGCAACCTGATGGTACGTATCGTATGAAGGGTGTCGGCCCCGGACACAAGCCCATTCCCTTCGGAAACGTACGAACCGATCTCGGCCCTTGCGTCAAAGTCCTGGCCGAAACGGCACCTCCCAACACAAACCTTTTTGCCGTAGGCGACTACATTTCCTGGACAGACTATCTTCGCATTTTCTGCGAGACACAGGGCCTCAAGTATGGAGGCTACGACGGTATGACTTACGACGAGGTTAACGCGCTTCTACCGGGTGGACTGGGTCACGAGTTTGGATTAAACGTTTTGTTTGCGTTTGAGTATGGTTATGAGGGTAATGAACCTGGGATTGTTGGGCCTGGTGATGTGAGTAATACGTTTCTTAACTTTTACTATGCAAAATGTACTGACTTGACATGTATAGTTTGGAATTAGAATGACATCTTTCAGGGAGTACTGCGAGAAGAACAGCTTTCCTGCGGCCTTGGGCGAGTAAGAGGAGTATTGAGTACGATGCTAGAAAGATATCTGCTATCACAAATGAGATGCTGTCTGCTATATTTGCTTTACATACTGAAATAGGCTAGATAAACAAATAAATTCACAGAGTAAAAGTTCCAACGCCAAAGCTATTCTTCTTGCATATTGAAGGAACAACTGTTGCGCAGCTAACCAAACATCCTCAATCTAGAGCCTTTGCAATAACCTGCTTGAATTCCTCTCCACTCAACGTCCTAATCCCGAGCAGGTTATTGTCTCTCTTATCATCAACTTTATACTCCCGATGGAATTTATAGAGGCAGGCGGAGAGAAAGTCGCGAATAAATCCAGGCTCCCCGGATCGGCCTGCTTTATCAGCCTCCCATGCAGCAGCCAGCGAGCTCTCCAAGTCGCGTGGAACAATTGAGAATTTGATTTCCGGGTGACTTTCTCTAGCAGCAGCTAGAATTTCGTTTTGCGTCGTCACACGTGAAGCGACGTATAGATGGCGATTCTCAGTTTCAGAGGGGTTTAGCAAGGTGTTTACAATTGCTAAACCGACATCTGATAGCAGCGTTGTGCCGATGGGGATATCTCCCCCATTCCAAACATGAGCGTCCGCATTGTCAGGGTCTAGGAAAAAGCCCTTCAACAGTGCCCATTCAAGGAACGGCCCGGTGTACAAGAACGTATATGACAAGCCCGACTTGGTGATGTAATCTTGAACGATTCCTTTGCTTCGGAGGTAGGGAATGTCGCGAATTTCTTGAATGCTCGCGTCGGCTCCATACTCGGAAGGAATAAATCGTTTGACACCAGCTTTGATCGCTGCATCAATGAGAGCGATTTGCGGCTTATGAAGCTCGTGGTTCAGCGCCGACACGACAGCATCTTGGTTTTCAAGAGCCTTGGTAAGAGATTCAGGAGAATCGTAGTCAATTTGTGCGACTTTGACATCGGGGAATTGGGCTTTGACGGCATCAACATTATTTGCTCTTGCAAGTAATGTGATGTTGAAGTGCCCGGACTTTTGGAAGGCCTCAACTACTGAGGGTCCCAGAATGCCTGTACTGCCAGCGATCGCGACATTTTTATAAGCGACCATTATTTCCGAGACGATAAAGAATGGAATTTAAAGTAGAGTTATAACGAAAGGTGGCCATTCGTGTTCTGTTTGAAGAAGCGATATAAGAAGCACTCCATGATAAGTTGGCCTTTTATATCTCCTGTGTTGTCACCTCACACCCAAGGCGCATTCTACCCTTTCTAGATAATTACTCCGTTTAGTATTGATTTGTAAAAGCTTCTGAATTACTCAGCTTCGAGTGTCCTAAATGCAACGTGAAGTGCTACATACCAGATATAAGGCATTGCAATGTCACAATTTGTATACCACTATAGTATATTGCAGCCTAAGCGCTCAGAAAGTCCCACATCTTCTGAAAGAACAATTTCTAAGCGGTCAAGTCTTATAAAAGCAGTAGAAGAGAGTTTGAACTATTTTCTGTTTTATACTGTTCATGATTAATATACACAGCATTCCTGCCCACACGAATCGCACTATTTTGAGCTCACAAGTTGCATTTACAACAACTTAGGACTGCTGAGCCTTGACAGTATAGATAGAGATATGTAATCAGCCGTACCATCAGGCTATGATATCACTCCAAGTTTAGGCGAGATGGATCATTGCATCTGTAGTCAAAGTTTCTATGCTGTATCTGCCCCTGCTGCGACTTTGTGTAAGAAACTGTTTGTCTAAAGGTTCGCTTTGTGAGGACTACCGATCCATTCACCTGCCATTTCCAACGCTCAAAATTCTCTTAGGTTCGTATCGGCTATCTTCTTTATCTTCAGATATATTTCAACGATTTTACACAGCATAAGCAAGACGTTGATGTCTAATGCCATCTTACTTGTAATGAAATATAAGAAGCTAGAGCTGAGCGACGCTAGTTTACCCGCATTAGGACATTGGTGGAGTGGACATGAAGACAGTGGATCGCCATATTGTAGTATGGAGCGTTAAACTAACTGGCATCTTGCTGTAGATTAATCATGAACTGATGAGGTATCAAATTAGAAATCAATGCTAGGTCACCCAAAGTGGCATAAATGCCCGTTTCCTGTATTTTAGAGACAGTGCCATGTGTTGATATGCTGCGCTGCGCTTTTGTTTACAAAGTCACTGTTACAGCAGATAGCGAAACAGATAGTGCTAGAAACGGCATGTACACGTTTTCGGTTGTAAAGGATCTCGTTTCCATCTCCTCAGGCTTATTACTACCTACAGGTACACAGCATAATATTCCAACGCCTTATTTGAACTCATAGATAACGCACCTAGTTAGCCGCTTCCCTCAAGCGGCTTATCTGGTAAACTGGATTAAGCTTGTAACATTTCTTGACGCTGCCGCTTCCATCAAAGCAGCGGTAGCTTCCAAATGCTCTTCCCTCGACATCATCGAACATGAATGAGATCGCTTAATCGGCTGCGCAAGGCAGATATCTGCGCCAAAATCAAGCAGCAACTGAACAATGTCATGATGCTTCAGTTCCATTGCCAGTTGAATAGGCCTACCGCAGACCCTTATTAGTGGCCTCTTACTAGCCAAGTCATGGTAGCCAACGTTGGCATCTGCACCGTGGGCGAGTAAACGTCGCACCAAATCCTTGTTGCCTGTCTTGACTGCGTAAATGAGAGGTGGCATGAACCAGTCAATAGGAGTCCTATGTTTCAACCCTAAGGTGCACCCTAGCCATATATCCTCTACAGGACGTGGAGGTGGCCGATCCGACTCTTCAAACTCGCATTTGACGCCATTCGCCAGTAAAATGTTGACAATATGAATGGCCTGTTGTCTCACTGCTTGACCAAGAGCGAGAGTACAGTTAACACGGTCTGTACTTTGAACCAACAATTCTGTCAGCTCTTGGTTGCCTTTCTCAACTGCTCTGATCAGAGGAACTCTTTTCAAAGACTTCTTCATATTTGACTCGGCTCCTGCATCAAGAAATCTTTTTGCTAGCTCGACGTCTTCCAATTCAACAGCATGGTACAATGGTGTTACTTCAGGGTGAAAAAGATAAAAGTTCGAGTCCATGCCGTATTCTCCAAGAAGTTGGGGAATTAGATGCTTGTATCTCGCCTTCAAAATCGCTTCAAGTGCGTAGCGTTTTGCTTCTTGAGTAGGTGGCTCGCTGAAGTTGGCGTTGCATGTCGTATCATCTGTAAGCTGATGAGCAATAAGAAGGCCGTTCCGGGTATTTCTCTTTCGACGATACGGAATTGTGATCTCTTCGCTCGCGTGGGTGAAGGGATTGCTAAAGTAGAATATTTGATCTGTGCTGTCCCAAACCAGCTTCCACCCTTCGTTTTCAACAATCTCCCATTCGTCATCATTTATGATGGAATTTCGAGGATGAACGGGACTATCATCATCACTGCTATCTTCCTCGATTGGTAAAGATCTAGAGTCGACTTGATTCGGCGTGAGAAGTAGTTTGTCGAGATTCCGAACGAAATCTGGATCTTCTAAAGTCGTCAAATGTCTTTCTTTGCTTGATATATCACGTACCCCGCGAGTAAACTGCTGCTGAAGTAATTCGCTCTCGGTAAGTTTTCTCTGACGAAGACCCGTAGAACGTGGTGGGATCTTATAATTCGATGAAGAAAATGGAAAAACTTGAATTGCTCAATCATGGAATCAGCCATTGACCGACGTCTCTCTTCAAACCGAGTTATACAACGTTTGGGTTGAAAAGGAGGTGTATATCCTCGCTTCAATAGAATTTCTCAGTCAATATCATTGAAGAATGGGTGGGATGTGATCTCGGATACTCCTTTCGCTCCCAGCCGTTGTTCGGGCTCACGAGTCAAAAGTTTGGCCAAGATATCTTTAGCGGCAAGCGAAAGTAATTCCGGAAGCTGAAGTGGCTCGAAGAGAATCTTTCGATATACTTCATTGACATCTGTGTCATAGAATGGAGGCAGGCCAGTCAACATTTCGTAAAGTAGAACCCCTAGTGTCCACCACTTTTCGGCTGTCGTAAAGCCTTGACCGGAGATTGTCTCTGGAGCTGGATACTCTAAATAGCTAGTAGATTCTGCGCTTCCCTTTTCTACTGAACAAAGAGTAAAATCGCAAAGAGCAATATGCCCCAGAGAGTCCAAAAGAATACTCTTTGGCCTAGGCCCATAATAAACAATGCCAGCCTCGTGTATAGCTTCCAAGGCACATAAAATCTCAGCAGCATAAAACGTTGATTGTTTGATGCCGAAATGGTGTGCCCCTTGGAGGCGGTGGAAAAGGTGCCCACCTTGAACGACTGGTGAAAATAAGCAAACCGTAGTACGGACTTGCGATATAAATGTGACATGAATTATGAAAGGGCTCTTGGCTTGAGAATGCCTGATGCGTGATACCTCAGGCAAGGGAATAATTTCACTCTTTGGTATCTCTTTAAAAGCATACATTCGTTTAGTATCTTTCTTCAGGGCGGTATAGATATCGCCCCAGCCACCGTGGCCAATACTGTTGCCGTACCCAAGGGGGCCCACGCCTAATGTCTTTTTTCTGGTGTATTCCATTGTGATACGCATCTTTCCGGCGCCTTCAGATTGAAACCACTCAGAGGAGATCTGCGATTCCATGAACGTAGGTTCAATTTGTACAGAGCCAAGAAGTACATGCTCGCCTTCTTCATTGTCGTCTGAGTTCTTGACGAAGAGGCTAACGGTCAACTCAGATGGATTGAAAACATCAAATTTGGAGGAGCCCGTGTCTGCATTCCACAAAGGATTCTGAATAGTTCCCGAAGACGCTTTGACTAGTGCTACTGATCTGTCAAAAGCCAATATGGCATATGGTAGGATGTTGTCTTGGGAAGCAATGCGGGTTGGCTTCGCCGCTGTGGTTGTGTTGTCCTGCGCTGGAGAGTCGCTGCCAACGGCTTCCTGAAATGCATCCGGAATAGTGAATTCAGCGGCTTCATGAAGCGTAACGGCCAGTATACCGGGCCCCGTATCGCCTTCCAGCTCAATAGCAACGAGATCGGATGCAGCTAAAAGAATTAACGCTGTCCCACATATTCAAGCATATCGCATACCATAGGGGTCGTCATCATTTGGTTCTTCTGGCAACATCGCTAGTAAATGGTCCTCAATTGGAACCGCCGTCAGAGTTAGTTATCGAAATTACAGCTGAGTAGTTCTTGAGAATGCTAATAGTAAGTATTCTTGTACCAAAACAACAGATGTAGGTTATCGTATACTTCAACAAAGATAAAATGATAAAATATGAATAAAAGACATCAAGCAAGTGATGAGTGCGGGGGTTACGAGTTTTAAGAGATTTTCCTCGTGTTGCAGAGCTACCCCAATAATTTGGTAATACCTACACGTGGGCTAGGTAGCTTTTGTCTTGTTCTTTCTCGTTTCGGTAATAATAAAGAGTTGATGGACGCTGTTGGTAATATGTTACGGATATATAATGCCGAAGTACGCGCGTCGGTTCTATACGCGGTTAGGTTGCATAAGTGTGATATATTTCTGGCGATGTATTGGCAGCATATAGAGCGATGTATACACTGTTGGTCAGCTGGAATTTGCACATTAAATGATATCTCGAAATTATTTAGCGTATTAAAAAGGCAGTGACAATAGTTTCTCCACGGTACAATTCATGTCATTCCTTACAGCTTATGTAACTGCGCAAACAGACGATCACAAATTTAGAATCCACAGCCCAGACCGCTCCTCTCTATTCTAACTCTCCACTGAAATAGAATTATATCAATTCACAGCGCTCAAAAAGACGAGATTTATATTAGGGAAGTCTCAGGATCTATTCGAACCGACTGCTCATCCTTAGCGGCTAACACAGTCCAAACAATATGGTCGCGTCGCGATGTCAGCTACTAATTTCTTCTGGCGTGCCTCTAGGGAGAAGGTGAGCTTCTAGAGTTATTCCCAAGCCTTACTGTGATCTTGCAGGACCACTTCCCTACGATAGCACAGATGTGGAACTTCTAATATAACCCTCATGGTGTATTAAGAGGAAGAAAGGGTGTTCATTAACAGTGATGAAAAGGGTCTGCATCTACAGCTTACTGGTCTTAATAGTTCGGTCTATGCATACCTATCTACCATTTGAAGACAGTCGCTCAACACTCTTCGACGACGACACCGAATCCGCAAGCCTTCCGCATCTGATCGAAGTCCGTAGTCAACCTCCTGTAAAACTCTAAGAGCTTGCTGGTGCCACCCCCGGCGAGAGTTTCGCAATACTCCTTGTGCTGGATTGCGTTCAGGTCGCGCTTAACTAACCAAAAGTTAGAGTAAAGTTATGGCCAAAATAAACAGAAACTCACATAGTTGAGCCATTTTCTGCTTTTTGGAACTGGTCTTGGTGTCGGACTGTGCGCAGCTACCTACGATGATCCCACCGAGAAATATCGCGCCAATGCCCCACCACCCAAGAGGCAAATGTGAGACCAAGGATTGGATGCTGGTGCCCCCAATCCCGGTTCCCTTTACGATGCCAGCGACGGCAGCTAAACCAGCAGCTGACCCGCTAGCATTGCGGATGTTCTCAAACTGGCGCATGTCTTTCTTATATAGGTTAAGCTGGTTAGCCAGATGTGGCTCTAGACACTTCTTAGCCTTGGCAACAAGAGGCTTCCGGCATGAAGGCCCAAAGCTGTTTCGTACATTAATTGAGGAGTAACAACTAGGCAATATCAGATTTAACAACCCGTGAGCCAGCAACGAACAGAACTATGGAAATACATACCTTCGCCTGCTTCTATTCGCTGAAGGTCCCTCACTATCCCAGAAAATCTGACTTGGTACTCAAGGAATGGATTTACAGCCAGCTGCCAGGCATGGAGGTGTTCTGGCTGACCGGATAGTGCTTGGTTTACCCGTGCCTCGTAGGATTGTCTCAGCTGTGGCCCGTCAGTTTATCATCATAGTGGAACAAACCCTAGAGGTTCTCACGCTACGGATAACGGTGGCAGGCGAGCCAATGGTATTGAAGATAGTAGTAGCACATTTGAACATATGATCAGCGTCAACAACATTCGTAAAGGCAGGCGGAGTTCCTTTCTGGCTCATAAGGTCCGAACATAAGTCGAATACTCCCATAACCTGGGACAGTGCTGAGAGGCCGTCGTCGAGGGTGGAGAGCCTTATAAGGTTAGCGATGGAGGGCTAACACGATTTTATCATGATATTAAGGAGACATGCAGAGTGGCAATAGCTTCAGTATCTTCCAACTCTGCAGGCTTCAAGAGCCTTTGGCTGGTTATGTTTAGCTTGTTTATCGAGAAAAGCTGGGCGTATCTATGTTAGTGGTAGTACAGAGCCCCTTGCTTTTGATTGTAGGTAGTACAAAGAGCCTTATTTGTTATTGGTAGCACAGAGCCCCTTGATTCGTAGCCATGATGAGACCCACCGACAAACAAAGACAGACATATCATGACAGAGTCCCTTTTAAGACGACCCAGTAATATTGCTGCCTTTCGACTAACCTCCAACATTCACCCTCAGCCTGCTCTCCTCTTCAATGCCGTCCACAGGATATAAACATGGAACAACCTAGCAGTCAACTCACCCCAGAAATGGTCACCCTTCTGTGTCTCTTAACATCTCCCGAGCCGCAATGCGGGGTATTAGGCGTGTCGACAGGCACCAACGACCATCAGCGCATCCCCGATATTGATTGCGGCGTCGATGAGGTGGCGCTCTGGGAAGAGTTCGAGGTTAGGAAAACCTCTGCAGAGTGGCATCTGGGCCAATATCTCAAATTTTGGGATCGCTGCGAGAAAGCAGATAGCGATCCTGCGGCGTTGAGCCATAACAAAAGCAAGTTAAGACTCAAGATCCCCGTACTCAAAAACAAGTGTGGATTAACTGTGTGGTGATGGCAGACGTGAATCAACTCGACGAGAGGCTTTTCGTGACCAATGGCACCAAAGACAGATGGCGGCTGAATGTTGAGCATGACAAGGCTATATGCTACCTGATTAAGATACAGAACATCTTCCAAATTTTGGTCGCAGATGAGGAAAGAATCACGGGCTTTAAGTGTATGAAGAAAGCGCTGGCTTAGTTCGTCTTTCCTCCCTTCTCTTCCTCCGCGGCCATATCGAGAAATGATAGTGAGGTTCCAGTGGCTAATCGTATCTGGGTAAACCCATATGCAGCTCCGCCGTGTTACCTGGTGCGCCACACGAACTTCAGCACGGTTTCAAGCACAGTTGCTGCTGCAGCGGCGGTATTCGCGGGCTACGGCATAGTATCCTCCCTGAGCCACGGAGCCTACGTAGGCTTGCGGGTGCTGGTGATCGATAGGTGCCGAGAGATGGTAGGCTCGCTGGAAAACCGCGTCCGGACCGGCGCGTTAAGCCGGGATGACCAAGAGTTGTTTGATAAGGCATGGTTCATGCCTTTGAAGTGGTTTTAGCTTGAGGATTAGCTAGAGGGAGGGAGGGTCCGCGAATCCTCGACGCTGACCGACCTTCTATTGAATATAGCATTACTTCTCGCCATTACGTTGTGGAGAAGTCACTTATCCTCGATCAGGGAGAGATGAACCGAATGCAATTGGCTTTAAGACGCTTAGTTAGTGTATGACAGATCCTTTGACGAGATTGAACCCTTTACATAAAAGGCATATGTTTACATAAGCTATCAAATATTGAATTTTGCCTGAAATAGTTGTACATTTCACACAGTTCATGCTTATTCAACTAATCTGTTGAAAAATTGGTCCATGTGAACAACTACACAGGGTAGAGGGAAGCTTATGCAATAAGTCGCGTTGTGAACACGTCCAGCGAGTCGCCATAAATTTAATACTAGGGGGTTTCCATTGTATAAGAGAAGCTCATTGATTGTACAAGAGAAGCTCATTGAGCGTGACATGAGCAATTACAAAGCCGTACATCATTACATAAATCACGAGGCGCCTTTGAACATTGAGAAAAACGCATCACTAAATTCCTTCAGCATCACTATCAATCCGTCTTAGTTCCTTCGCGATGCGATATGTCGTTCCACAGCTTTTCCAAAAATTCTTCACACCTATCATGCCAAATAATACCTCGAAACGCAGATCGAAGTTCCTCCTTTGTCTTCAACATCAGTGCAGCGCCCAGCGGTTCCATCTTTTCCACAAACAACCACTTCTCATTCCACTCTGAGGCAGCTCCATACCCCATAAAGACTACCCATAGCAACCAGTGCTGTCTCTCAGGAGTCAGATTCCACCATTCTTTATCCTGCATCTCCAAAGAATCTCGTAATCGCTGAAAGAGAGTATGAAATATCTTTGACCTGATTGGAAGTTCTCTTAAGACGAAATAGAGATAAATATATGCCGCGATATTCATCAAAACTGAGCTAGATGATAGATATTCACTGGGGCTCTGAGCTTCAAAGTTGATGTTTTGGAGGGTGAGAAGATCGTATTCCACATTATAGATTTGATTGCTCATCGACGTTCTATCAAGACGAGCATCATACTCTGGGCAGAATGCAATGGATAAACGTCTGAGAGATCGGAAGATTGAGTTTATGAGCGAGCCGGAACCAAAAGTACGCGCCGGAGAGAGCGTCATACTTTTCATGCCCGTGGGTAGCTCGGCCTCAGTTCCGGTAAGTTTCGGAGGCAGAAGAGGAAAGGATGGTTTGCAGTCCCAAATGTTAGAGTAGCATAGGTCGGCCCTGCAAGATATAAGCATCTGAATAGAAGGGCGTAGCTTTGCAGTATGCACTGACCATGTTATCACATTTCTAAGGGTGCTTTCGACATTTTGTATGCCTCCCCGTTGATGAATCATTAGTTGGAGACCTTGCATGTGAATTTTGGCCAGGTCAAATTTCCCAGCGAGATTCTAGAGTTTCAATCAGGTTAGTAAGAAGTTACATGTATATATAAAAATGGACAAACAGCAAAGACCATAGGGCACTCTTACCTCTCTCGTGATTACTAATGAAACAGCTGCAATGAGAGTATCTCTTATCGCATTATCTTTGATAGCCTCGTTTATTAACCGAAACGCTTCTCTCCCATGGAAAAGGCTCCCAGGAGAGTCGATCAGACCGTACTTCATATTGTAATCTAGAGAGACGAGATAGAGGACCGCATGAAAGAATGCGAGCTCCTCTCTGACGAGATACCAACACTCTGGTGATAGATTGAGAGCAATACAATTAACAGTAAAATGCTTTTGATCTATAGTTTAAATGGTTCATTAATACGTAGTTGTTCAGACGCAAGTAGCGTTACATCAGGTCTCGAGAGAACGCAGAATATGCATTAAACGTGCAGGGGAACAATAGCTGACTCACAATGAAAAATGAACTGTTCACTTTCAGGCACCATTGGAAAAGCGAATGAGTTAAAAGGATCTGAGTTTGCACCTTTCCTCATTAACAGATTCTTATCAGGCATGAGGCTTTGTCGAATGGACCATTTTGAGTAACTCAAAAGAGCCTTTCTTACAGACTCTTGGTCTTGTTCGGATTCTAAAGTTTTTGTTGATTCTAAAATAGCGAGCTTTGCCTCCGCAGACTTTTTTGCCTTACGTGGCCGTGAACCGATTCGGAACTTTCCTTCATATTTTCGCTGCGACTTTACTTTGAGCGGGACCGCGGCTGCCGCAGCCATCTCGTCTGTTGTTGTTGGGTGGTTTTGTCTCCAAACATAGTTGCGCATAGCCTGACTGCGAATGCGTTTCGACACATTCTTGTCGCGTTCATCGGCTTCTGTTCCTGTGACGGCGATAAACTCGAGCGGTTGTACGTCGTACTCATCAGTGTAGGTGAACCTCTGATCGTATGGCCGAGAGGGAATGTTGAATGTTACTAGTTCCCTGATTAATGCTTGACACAAGGAATGACGCATGAAACAGATGCATACCATTGTTGTGGACGAATCCGGAAGTCCCGTATATTTCATCTCCACTCATCTTCGCGCTCTTCGCTTGACGCGCTTAATAGTTAGCTAATGAGGAATCTGGGTCTACGGAGTTGACAATATTGCTGGGGCTTGTGTTGAAGATAAGATGGAAAGTATTGTTTGAAAGATGGAAAGAGGTTATCAGAGCTGAGAAAGGCGATTGTTCTAAGCGAGTATGATTAACCAACGATGCACGAATTAAGATGCTAAGGTAATTAGTAATCTCCGGTGTTCTTCCCGATATCTATCTCTGCTGGATAGACTGTTTGGACTCATGTCACTGCCCCTCTTCTTTTCGCATGGCGGTTTTACAAACCCTTTGCTTAGTCAAGCATCCCGTCTGTGGCTTGAAATAAGTCCCTAGGTCTTACACCTGAGCTGATACGAACGTATCCTCGTGCTTGCCAAGCAGACTATTACGGAAAAATGAAATAAGAACGAGCCAATTCCATCTCAGCTTCAGAGCTCGCCATTCGGATAGTTACGAGAAGGATTTGATTACCGCTTTGAATCCGAATCCGGACAGGAATACGCGTACGAATCTACGAAGAGATTGGAAGGAGATAGTGCTTACTGAACCAGGACTACTTGCGCTAGACAAGCAAGTCTGGTGAACACTGGTCAGTATAAAAGATTGGGACCTTTTAAGCATTTCCATCGATCTTTGTTTTGTACGAACACCTGCGTATGCGTGCTTACCAGACACCCTGTGAAAAACCATAATGATACACGTAATTGTTTCTCTTGGAATGGGGATTGTAATGACAGTTGACTCCTCTAGATAAAATACCATGTTCATTTTCTCGCGTCAACTGCGACCGTACTTTGTCCTTCAATGACCTAATCAGGAGGTGGCTACATACTACGGAAGGCGAAATGTCTTGAAGTATTTCCCAAAGTAGCGATCCAACCGCCCGGTTCGTATCTGAGTTGTGGGCAAATATAGCTCCAGTTCCTATTGTTACGGGCTTTTATTAAGCATATAGCGTGTTTAAAATTCAGTCAAAATCCCGCAGCTGACTTACGCAATGAATCAGCGTCTATGAGGCTGCAGGAGACGGTTTCGGCGATTATCAACTTGACGTCGGCGATGTGCTCCCGTTCAGGCTAAAATTAATTCTTTTAGAAACATTTAAGAAAGGGATGACTGCTCTTAACGAAAATAATGTGTCAGAAGATTGATAAGCGTCATGAATAGGGATGATAGGGGAGATGGATTAAGAAGACTGCTTGGGAGCGAAGTTCGCTTAGCCTACCTGGATGTACAAAGCTAGAGCAAAGGACCTGACTTTGAGTACATCAAAGTACCTGAAGACTATGGTGACCGCCCCACTGAGACCTAGCCAAGGTTGTGATTAGTGCCGGCATCTCAGTAGCTTCATGATTGATGGCGTTGGTCGGTCTCTGGTGTAGGTGTATCCACACCGTATCATGTCATTTTTAGATCAACGGAAGTAATTCATATGCTGGTTTGGCTGGAATTTGAGCTGAGCATTATTAATGATGAAGACACTGGGTATGATTCTTGACTGTATATGCAACCTGTAATGAGATACACCGCAAAACTGTTGATTTTGATAGATTAGACTCAACAGCATTAAGAACAACGTGTGTATGATACGTTTCCCAGTAAAGGACATTGCGCAAAAGTAATAAAATTTAACATTCACTTGGATTTGATACATTCGTCTCATTGATAAGTTTTCTAACGTGTTCTGGAGTGTTTTACTGTAACCTTGGAGATTGTGGAAAGTAATGAAGAGTGCAGAGAGCCGCATCGCGTAGTGATGGGGCACATTTTAACACTAAGACGTCGCACTGTACCTACAAGCTCCAGTGCCACTTGCGGCTTATAGCATACATGTACTGTCGACTCATTATTAATGTTACGACTATGATGACATTACCAATGCACGTTGGTTGAGACGACGCAGTTGTGTAATATTACAGGTATGAATATGATATGATACATCACAATATAAAAAGGTGAAGAACAGCAATTGATTCTCAAGCTTTTTGTTTCATCAGACAAAAAAGAATACACCTCTTTAGCATTCATCTCACGCTCCAACAACTCCCTGCATTCTTCTCGTATCAAATAAACTTCGGTACAACATCACAACAATGGCTCCTTCGGTCCTCGTCATTGGTGCAGGCGGCGCGTTTGGAAGACCTCTTACGGAGGAATTCATCAAACACAAAGCTTACTTTTCCAGAGTTGCCATCTTGTCAGATCCCGCCAAGGTCTCTAAATTTTCCGACTTCGCAGCCCGAGGCATAGAAGTAATTTCGGGATCATACTTGGTACCCAAATCTTATGAAGGTGAGTAATTGGTAAGGTGTGAAAAAGTCTTGAATAAATAGCCAACTAACAAACTTGTCAGGCTTTGAAGTTGTAGTATCTGTAGTTGGCAATTCCATCATGAGACTGCAACCCGCCATGGTCGAAGCTGCCATTGCAGCTGGAGTCCGCCACTTTTATCCATCCGAGTTTGGATCAGACGTCGGCCAGGAAACCCTACGCACTTTCCGCTATCTTCGTGACAAGCGTGTCACCCGTGACCATCTGGCCGCCAAAGCAAAGGAGCATCCGGATTTCTACTATACGCTCATGTTGACTGGCATCTTCACCGAGTGGACTGCTGATCCGTTTTACAATATTGATGTTGTTGCCCATACTGCGAACCCATATGGATATCCGGACAAGCCACTTCATGTGACATCAATCCCGGAGTGTGTTTGCCCTCGTGTAGTGTTGGCTAGTGACTTGAACTAATGAAACGTCTCTTAGTATTGCGAAATATACCGTTGAGTCAATTTTATTGCCTGTAACTCCCGGAGTTCAGAAGCGCGACATTCGGGTAGTCGGAGAGAAGACTACGTTCCAAAAATTTGTCGACGACTTGGGCGAGGTACAGGGAGTCAAGTACAAGGTCACGTACTTGGATCCTGCAGAGGCCGCCAAAAATGAGAGAGAAGCTTGGGCCCTTGGTGATGAGGCTAATGAGCTGAAGTGGTCAGTCAAGCCAATGGCAGCTAGTGGAATCGCACTCGTCCCTGGGGAGCTGGATAACGATAAGTTTTCGTTCCGCCCAGAAACTGTCAAGGACACCATGCAAAGAATTTATGGGAAATAAAGTTGCTTTTTGTGTTGGGGTACTGTAAATGAGTGATGGCGTGGGGGAAGGACAAAAGAGGCAGCTTCAAATGAATTGAGTAGCCGCGGTTTAGAAAAAATAAAATAGTATTCATATAAATGTTATCATGCTGGACTGAGAGATTCTGTTTTTGTATTTACAAGACTGCAATGCTAAAAGTCAGCCGAGACGGAACACGGATGCAGTGCTTGGAATATCTCTTTTTTATAGACCTTACCTATGTAACCGAACATTGAAGTCTCAGAGGAGGCATGTCACAAGTGCAATAACATCGCAATCATCTCGCCGGATATAAGCAAACTCACTTGACAGATGTGGATTACCCGACCATATAGACCCTAGTGTAGCACCATCATTAAACTAATGCTCCATGAAACTTTTTAGATGAAGATACTCCTGCACGATGCTGAAGTGATAAGCGGATAGGGGCGACCTGGACCAATGTGGCACTGAAACCCGAGTAGTCTGTACTTCTGTTTCAATCAAGCTAGCATCTTGTATCTTGTGTCGGAAATAATTGACAAACTCTCACATAAGAACGTGCTCTACTAGTGCTCTATGCCCCTCTCCGAACCTTTCTAGTTATCCGCCATTTGTTAGTCTGTTGATCTTTCCTAGGTGTTATCATCACCAGGTATGAAAGTGGAATACTAACAGGTACTTGGCAGTACAAAGCAAAACTATCCACAAACTCAACGATACTTTGCTCGCAGAGAAAAACTCAGTCAATGGCTGGCCGACAATCAGATCGCAGAGAGTTCCCGCCGGCAGCGCCACATAGTGCGAGTCCATGATGGAACTAAATGTGACCAGTTCATCTTCATCAGCAGCTTTCAAAAATACCCAAAGAGGATGCCGCGCTGCATCGGTGGGGCCTTTACAAGCATTTCCTCATTCAGAAAACGCAGTGCGTTAGCGGACCCAGAGCTCTTGAGCTGTCCCAGCTATGCCTGTCAAGATAACGCTTATGCGGTTAGCGTTCCGCCTCAAACTTCCTTTGCTTCTCTCAACTTCGCAATCACCTCTGCCATATTACAAATTGATGCATTGCAGGTGGGCGTATTATCAATCCCTATGTATCCTATTTTCACTCCTCAAGCCGACGACAAACTCGGGTTTTATCTTGCATTACCAATCTAGATCGAACTGATGATGGCGTACTTGATAGAAGTTGAAGGCGGTGCATTGCATCTTCAACTCTTTGCCTCAGCAGTCCCATTATAAATACTAGGATCTGGCCCAAAACAAGATCAGTGGAAATATTGTTGCAACTCAACTTCATTTTCACCAAGTACAAGTACCAAGAGATCAACAATACACAACAGCCGCCCAGCATGAGCTACTCTTTCACCGTTCAGCGTGGATCCGCGAGTGGAAAGGTCGTGGAAGCCACTTCACAGCGCCAGTTAGGCCGCAATGAAGCCTATCTCAAGATCACTCACTCCGGCGTATGTGGAACAGATGAACACTACCTTCGTGCCGGCAATGCTCTGGGCCATGAAGGCGTAGGCATCGTCCAGGCTGTCGGCTCTGCTGTGACTGCTGTCAAAGTTGGCGACCGAGTCGGCTTCGGCTGGGTCCACAAGACTTGCGGACACTGTCAGCCCTGTCTTACCGGTGAGCTTTAACATCCTGCAGCCAGTTGGTGATCTGTATAAATTGATATAGGTGCTGACTGTGTCAAGGGCTGGATGTCTACTGCGAGGACAAGACAGAGTTTGGATCTCACGACCACGACGTTGGCTCTTTTGCCAGCCACGCAGTCTGGGATGCAGATACTCTATACAAGATCCCCGACGGCCTCGACGGGGCTTATGCTGCTCCTCTGATGTGCGGTGGCGCTACAGTGTGGTCACCGTTCGCCTTGTACGGTATCAAGCCGACCGATCGAGTTGGCATCGTGGGCATCGGAGGGCTGGGACACTTGGCGATTCAATTCGCCGCCAAGATGGGATGCGAGGTCGTCGTCTTCTCAAGCAGCGAGTCCAAGAGAGAGGATGCGATTAAGTTGGGTGCGACCGAGTATCATGTCTTGACTGCCGAGTCTTCACTCGAGGGCATCAAGCAAGTGAACCACATGCTGCTCTGCGGAAGTGCGCAGCCAGACTTCACGCGGTAAGTAAAGAGTGAAAGTCCAGATCAAAAAAGAAAACAAAAACAGAAAATTTACGGGGACTGATGGGTTTAAGCAGAATTATCGATCTCACCGCCACGGCTGGCAGAATCTACGCTTTGATCGTTAGCTTCGACACATCTGCGGTTCCCATGATGGGCTTGTTGGGTCGAGGCATTAGCATACAAGGCTCTGCAGGGGCACCCCGGGCTGAGATCCAGAAAATGTTGGAGTTTGCAGTCCGCAATGATGTCAAGCCCACCATCATGAAATGGCCCCTTACCACGAAAGGCGTAGAAGAGGCAATGCAGACGTTGCGAGAGGGGAAAATGAGGTATCGCGGTGTCTTAGTGGCCCAGGAGTAGAATTTGTCGGTATCTTAGTGGCAGACGAACAAACTTGTCCAGCGAATGGGAAATAGAGTCGGCGTTACACCATGAGGGGTAAATAGGTCGATGAAGCCGCTTGCAGTCTGCAAGTTTTAACAGTTGCGTATTTCATTGCTGTAATAAGACATACCAGCTGAGAGACACAAGGCTCTCTACTACATCATTAAGCCTGCAAATGTAACGCTAAAACCTTGCAAGTTACCCCGCTAGTTTTAGAAATCCCAAAACAAAAATATATACATATTGCATGCAGGGGCACAGCTTATCTGGCTTGTACATACATACCTGTATTCGAAGTTTCTGCTGCTGGAAGTAGCTCTCTGGCTATAGTTGCCGAGCCGGTTATTAAGTTGTGTCGCAACGCGGGGAAATATGATATTCTCTTGCATGCGAATCCTATCCATCCAGTTGGGCCGGGAACCCCGGTCTTGTGATTCCGCCCCCATGGCATCCAACAACGCAAAGTATGTTGGCGCTGAGCTGTGCTGGGTGAAACTAGCGGAAAAGTCTGGTGCAAGGGTGCACTAGTTGGGCTGCAAGAGGCGTTTGGCTGTGGAGCAAGGTCGAGATGGGTGGATGGAATGGCGCTGCGGGGTTTCCAGATGTGGTAGAAACTTAGAAACTAGTTTCTAGCACTCAGGCCTAGATTCTTGACGAATAGGCCAAATTGTATTCTAATCTGTAGCAGAGTTCGCGTGTTCTATCCATCAAGAGCTTAGAAATTCTGTCATCTGTAAGCAGATATGTTGACCTATGGCTTGTCTTATTGCGATCTTGAGATATATAAATACCCTTATCCTCGCCGGACAAAATGGTTTGAGTTTCCTCATCACTTCCACTCACACCTTCATTAAACCTCCTTTACTACTCTTTTTCTCTATCATTCATCACTTCATTGCTCTTCACCATGGCTTGGAACAGCGTCAAGACTCACAGCGTCTTCTCGAAAGAGGAGTTCTACGGTCTGCCTACATTCCCCGAAGCTGAAGGCAAAAAGTACTCTGCCATCGTGACTGGAGCCAATGGCATCACTGGCTCTCATATGCTTCGTGTGCTAGCTGAGGCTCCAGAACGTTGGGGAACCATCTATGCACTGAGCAGAAGGCCGCCTACGTCTTTCATTGATGGCAATATTAAGTATCTCTCTGTTGACTTTTTGGAGAAGCCTGAAGAGATAGCCAAGACATTGAAAGAGCACGTTTTGGAGGTGTAAGTAAACTTTACGAGTCAAATTCTACTACTTACGAAGCTTCATTTCGTAAGGCAAAAGCTTCAATAGATTGATTGAGCTGACCATTCGTTCTCAGAGACTATGCCTTTTTCACCTCTTACATTCAACCACCAGGCGTCTGGTCTGACACCGACGAGCTAGAGAGACTGAACAGTGAGTTAATAATCTATTTCTCAACTAATTTCCTTTTCTGACAATTGCAGCGCTTCTGTTGTCCAACTTTCTCTCTGCATTGACCCTGGCCCAACAAATCCCCAAGCGAATTCTCCTCCAAACCGGTGCAAAGAATTACGGCTTGCATATTGGGCCTGCCATCAACCCACAAGAGGAATCAAACCCTCGCGCCACATCAGCACCAAACTTCTATTACCCACAGGAAGACCTGCTCTGGAACTGGTGTCGCGAAAACAACACTGAGTGGAATGTGACTCGACCAGCTTTCATCATTGGTGCCGTACGCGATGCGGCAATCAACATTGCTTACGGCTTTTCTCTCTACGCTGCCATCCAGAAAGAACTTGGAGGATCACTCGATTTTTTCGGTGATCTTGCTGCTTGGGATGTCGAGAAACACCAGTCAAATGCGCTTCTTATTGGCTATCACGCTGAGTGGGCAGTTCTCACACCCTCCACCCGCAATCAAGCCTTGAACATTGCGGATGGCGGCGTTTTCACTTACGGTCAATTTTGGCCCGTCCTTGCTGCTCTCTACGGCATTCCCTACAATGTTCCCGAGTCAGATGATGCCAAGTACCAAACTGTTGAAATGCCAATCAGCCCCCCGCCTCGAGGCTTTGGGCCTGCTGGCAAATTTAGAACATCCGGAACATACGTCGAGTGGGCAAACAGGCCCGAAGTCAAGCAGGCATGGGAGACTTTGAAAGCAAGGCATAATCTAGCACCCAAGCCCGATCCCTTTGACAAGATTCCGGAAATTTTTAGCCTCTTGGACATTGACGTTCTTGGATGCTGGGGAAGAAGCTTGAGGTAAGATATCATCAAACGCACGCTATTGCTGCAGACATTAGCTGACTCGGTGGTGATTTATAGCATGAACAGGAGCCGAAAGCAAGGATGGAATGGATACATCGATTCGTGCGACTCTTTCATCAGGACGTTTGAGGAGCTTTCCGCCCTGAAAATGATTCCGCCTTTCAAGCGACCAGAAAAGATTGAGGTTAAGCATCACGGATATTAAACGGGAGGATTTACCGAAGAAAAGTGGTTTACTCTCAGTGGTTTCTCAAATTAATAAAGAGTTTTAGTGTCGAGTATTACTTGATGTGGGCTGCAGAGCATTATTTACGGGCTGTGTATACAAAAGAAAAATGACATGGCGAGTCATGGTTTCCACCTGTCCAGCTGCCCATTCATGCAATGTAACCCGGCATGCAGCCCTGCCCACAAATTCGTCATATTTCATGATTGCCGAAGCCTTTTTCTTAAGCCTTTAAGGAAGTTGGAGTACAGTTCCGCAATCGTTGATACATTAACTAGGAGGGTGTTATGGGGCTCAACGTCATCGTGAATGAAGACCTTATGGAGGTATGACTTCGTATAGGGAGTATTGTCCGACCTTTTTTAACCTGCAGCAGGCTCTTGAGCTTCTTGCCTCTGAATTTAAAGTAACATAGCTATACTCTGACTTTTTGAAGATGAATATAGCGTCTGACGCACAAAAGTTAATAACTACCTCTTTCTAAGTTTCAACAGTTGTCATAGCCCGATTAAACCCATAGATATCTCTGTAGACCAGTGGAAATGATTCAAAGAACTAGTAGTATATAGCATAATCCAATGCTAGATATACCGTTGTACGGCTGGATCAAGGGCATTGATTTCCCAGGGCTTGATCAAGGCTCGAGAAATAATTTCTCGGGCGCTCAAGTGAGGGTGGTGAACCTCGGACTCGTGCTTGAAGTTGTCGCAGCCAGCTGCCAGCCTAAGTCGTTTGGCTCTTTGAAGGAGTATTGCATCGCTTGAGGTCTCTGGTAGTGTGCAGAGCATCAAAAACGGCCATTGGCTCTGAGAGCCAAAGCAACTACTCCCATGCACTCCATCGCCAGCCCGTCTTCTCTACCACGTATCCTGCAACGACAGGTCCCATTACCTAGAATGGAGGCTTGATATAAGTGTGTGTCTATAATAACATAGTTTGGAATTATACGTTACAGGAGCTGAGCTTGCACCAATTGATCATAACGCAATACAGCTTGCATGTTGGCAGACAGAGTCGGGGTGCAGAAAACTCCAAGCAGGAATCTGACCACCAGTAGTTCGCCGATGTTATCGACCAAGGCGGCGGGAATGATGAGAATTGTGAAAAGGCAAAAAGTAATGGCGCATAGAGGATTGCGGCCAATACCGGGAATCTCCGTCAGTGGCGACAGAATCATCGGGCAAGCCGTAGCAAAGACATAAAGCGTCAGGCCGAAGAGATGCAACTGACTGGCTGACTCTAAACTGCTTCTTAACTCCATCTTCGCTGACTGTATATATCGACGCCCCCATACATGCGGCAACTGTGTAGAGAAACAAGAGGGTTGACACTCATAATTTCTTTCCGTTGGACCGGTTTTGGGGTTTTCCGGGATCACGATTGGAGCATCACGTAACAAGCATAACATCCTCTTCCGAAGCTTCAGAAGCAGAAGATTGACGTGTAGCAGCTTCTATATCTTCTTTTGTTTTCTGCGATGGCAGTGATAGAACAGAGGATGATGGCTGGTGTATTCTCGATTGGTACTCTGCGGGCAAAGTAAAGCCATCTTGTTCCTCGGCATATCGGAGCAGCTTGCTTCCACTAGCTGCTCTTATTATTGCCCTGATGGCTGTATCTCATACGAATGTCATTCTTCTTTTAGACGGCAGAGGTTGCTGAAGGGCCTGAGTGCGTAGAACGTAGAAACCTTGAAAGACCAACTGATAGAGCTGGGTTTTACAGAAAATCTTTCATACCCTACAGTATGTTAAATACTATCTCAGATGTCAAAACTCTTCTCCTATTTCCGCCTCATACGATTTCAAAGCAAAGGAACAGCCCAGGATCGTGTAATTTCAGAAGTCGATTTTCTGGTCTCTGAGCGAATGTTTTGACGCTACTGACTATACTTTGGAAGAAAACCCATGCTAGCGCAAACCAACACATTTCCATCAGATACTCTTTGATGAGGGAAATCCGAGTCATGCAGCGGATGAGTCTCATTTATCCTCCCGTTTACACACGTTGCTAGTAAGGAGGCTTGCCCTATCCCCATGTGTTCTCCTATCCATGATAGACAGCGTAGTAAGTATAGCCTATCTGCAAGAGGTACAATATGACATTTTGCAGACTCAAAGAGCAGATACAATAATAAAAACCCACTGAATGACCGATTAGGAGCGATATCTGACCTTTGAGAATGTATACACTTCAAATACTCATCAACATCGTAAGCAAGATGGTAAGGAATGGATGCAATGATATCCGCTACAAACTTCTCGACTCGCCCTTGAAGCTTCAATGAAGTTTCTTCTTTGGAGATGTGTCTTTCCAAGTGTGCCATTATATCGAGAAGGACAATGTGCGATTTACGGTAGGTATTCCATATTGCTGCGATATAATCTAGACATATTAGCCATTAGGATGAGCCCTTGATGTAAATGCAAGTGACGTACGATCAGAGTATGTGTCTACCGGGCCCGAGTGGCAGTAATCGCATCCAGATTGAGCTGCGGCTGATTCATCAAGTGAAGCAACAGTCACTCGCGCATACGATGGATGATCAGTAATAGACTCGCCCCAATGTGAAAATTCCTCGTCGAGAACAAGTGCTTCCCGTTGTAGCAGTTTGGATTCTTCCATGTGGGCGGTTTCTTTCATTAGATACAATTCGGCTCGATGAGAGAAGTCTTGAAACTTGTGTAGCGTAGCATTGAGATTCTGTACATAGCTGTCATCCAACGGCCAATAGGCGACAATATCGTCTTCACTCTTGAGTGCTGTATTAGCTCATCAAATACTCTTTGTGCATTCTCCTTTTACTTTACCATTAGAAGGCTGCTTGGCTGAAACATGATTCTGCCGTATTCAAGCCGAAATGGAGATCTCGGACTTAGAAGAATTGCACAAACACCTTTGACGTGTGTCATGTACTGCATAGGTGATTTATTGCGAGAAATAATAATCTGGTTCATCCATTTGTTAGACAAAGTCTCCGAACAGGTTGAATGTTTCTTACCTCGTATAGGCCTAGAAGAATGGCGGTGTATAAAGTTTCGATAGATACACAGCGCGTTTCCGCGTATAGCGATTGGTGAAGATTGCCTAGGAGGTCGCCATATTGCCTCTCAGTCTTGCGAATGAGACTCTTTCGTTTTAATCGAATACCTATAGAAGCAAGGGCTACCGTCTTTGCAGAGCACACAAGTGAAGATTGCGGGTTGTCACTCTTCAGTAGCGGCTGTATACCGTCGAGAAACCCTCTGGATGCTTGCCGATCCGCGGCTTTTGTTGTGAATTCTGTCAAAAAGATATCTAGAGCCAATCTCTCGAGGGCCTCATCGTCGGTCTCTGACGACCACCAGGAAGTTGATAGTGGTTTAGAAGCCTGAGAGCTGGTCCAGTGGCGAAAAACCAGCGTGGATTCATCCCCATACCCAGAACATTTTCTACCAGACTTTGTACACCGTCTACAGGCCTAGATAATTAAAATTGGTAGAGTCCCACTATTAAAGTCTCTTTCTTGTGATTGAGGCTTGATGACTTACAGGTCGAAGTTCGTCACACTGCATCAAAAGTCAGCTTAAGAGAATCCACTGGTCAGCCAGAGTGCAATAAGTCACCTTCTTCCGCCGCTTTTTGCATTCCGCACATCCACGCGAAACACCGTAATTTACCATCTCAGATCAAATCTCGCAGTTAAAGACCAGAAGTCATCTAATTGAGCGATGGAAGCAAACTTTAACACGCTTCTTGAAGTGCCGTTGTCAGAAAGCACGCATTAAATAATTGATAAGCTTCGGACAACGCAAAGGAGTTGAAGGAGTCGAGACTCCACTAAACTCCGCAGTATCTCTTTCTAAGCCTCGTAAATGACCAGTAATAATGCTTGAATATACCAAGCAGGGGGAGCCTGGCACGAAAAAAACTACTATGATACCCGGCCTAAGTGGCTGAGGTGGGCTCGGTACCTTCGACCCTTGTCCGAATGTCGTTGACCCGGCCAAATTGAGACGCTAAAGAGCTAGACACTGTGCTGCTTTTTGCGCTTCCTACCCTATATTTTTGATCGTCTTGAAATATCGAAGAACAACCAGGGCCCGGTCGGTACCTGCCCCTCCTCAACCAATTACCCCGCAGACCAAGTACCTATAGAGAATGATAAGAGGCCACGATATGCAATGCAATCGCACAAAAAGTGCTTTTCTATGCTTTGATTGTCTACCGAGGTGAAATAAAGAAGATTTCTATCTGATAGAAACTCAGACGATTAGCAACTACTGACATCGAGTATTCTTTTCTTGAGTGAGACTTAGGCCTCAGCGAAGCGGCTACGAGCGCGCAAGCTTGACCCAAACTTCCAGAGACCAAACAGTAAGATGCAGCATATTATATCCAAAAACCCAAGTAGGGATACTCCCCAGTGGATTCCAAGGCGTAAAAACATTGGCCGCGAGAACATAATTGCACCCGCTGCCAGAGTCGAGCGAGCAAAGTCATTTGCAGCGAATAGCGATGCCGAATATTTTGGGTAAGTGAAAGCTAGATATTGGAGCATGCAGACAATGATTGTGAATGTACCAACGATAGATAGCGATAGCCCTATGATAGGTGCCATCCAGTGAACACTCGGTCGGGATGTCCATGCTATCGCCGTTTGACAAGACATATCAGTATGCTATGACTTAAGATGACGGGGGCCTTGAATACATACCGAAAAGAAATAAGCCGACAGGAAGCCAGAAACATGCAAACAGCGCTGGAATTAAGCGATGTTCTGGAGTTCCGAATGCTTTAAACCCTTCAGTTTTAAAAGGCTTGACCACTTGCAAGTGCCACGAAACCACACACAGGGTAGCAGCCACGAATAAGCCTGGAAAAACTCCTAAAAACGGCAGCCCAGAGAGCGTGAATTTGAAATCATAAACACCTGAGAAAACAAGAGGGAAAGCTTCGAAGAAGGAATAGAAAATGGCGTAGACAAGGCTGGTATAGATGGTGGAGAAGAGCACCGAAGGATCAAGAGCGTTAATCTGAACCGGTTTGATGATGGCATTATATAAAATATCCTTCATCGTCATCTGCTGCTTTGTTTGGTCGATTTCTGCTTGTGAGCGGTATTGATCATTACCGGTTATTCTGCGTAATCGTCGGGCTCGGTAATAAAGGATCGTGGACGATGAGGTTTCGGGTAGGAAGAAGAAGAAGCCAAATAGGATGGGAGCACTGAGCCACAGCATCTCCCATGAAACCCAGTGCCAGCCCTCCGCAGGGGCACTAAAGTTTGAGATTACCGGCGCGAGAGCAGGGCCAACTACAGCTAAACAAAAAGATTGTTAGATTTCTGAATCGTTTCGTATCTGTGCAAGGCGTAGGACTTACTGGCTCCGCCCCAAATTACCAGCAAGTAAGGCACATGAAGAAGCGGATACTGAGTCCGGGTTAGCCAAAACCCCATACTGTAGGTCGATATAGGAGAAACACTTACAACATCGGCGAATGAAGCACCTCCAGTCGCAAGGCAAGGCGCACCTGTTTATCAACTACGTTAATAATCGTTTACGCTGAAGCAACATCAAAAGCTTACCGAAAAAGCCTGTCAAGAAGCGCAGGACGACAAATCCAGCGAAATTATCTACAAGAGATGCTGGGACCCAGAGTATGGTATATATGAAGAGCGTTATTATGTATGGTGGATTCCGGCCTATGGCGGCAATTCTAGAAGATGTTTAGTATCGGAGGCTTTCGGTTACTGCGAAACTCGGAGGAGGGAGATTCTTACTCGCTTAACGGAGAAAATAGCATAGCACCAAAGCCATCTGCGTTCATCCATAATTTAGCAGCTGAAGTAACAATGCAAGGACAAGGCTGTATACTTGCATCCAAAAACGTATAAAGCGAGAGCTAAAGAGGAAACCTCGATGCTGACGCCGTATCTCTCTACCACCTCGGGCACGGCACCGATATAGATGGAAGAGCCAAAGTACACAGCAAAAGAATAGATGCTTCCGAACTTAGCATGGAGCTTGAAAGGTAGTTTCTTTTGGGACTCGATTACCATATTTGGAAAGATATAAAGTCTTTTCGAAGAGCACTCCAGTTTTGCGGGTTTTCGGGATCATCTAGACTTTTTTAGATGTGCCAAAGAGACCACTTTCTGATATGACCAGGGAATATTACCAGTAGTGTACCAATCAACTAATATTGTCCCATCGCTTGTAGTTGTTGGTTTGATAGGTCGACTTTCTATTTTCTGCACTTCACTATGGCTCTGCATAGTGACGACCCTCTCGATGGGATTGTCTGATAGGCCATTTTCCACGCCATTGGTTGCTTCAGCGGGCGGGGGCTTGGTCGAAAACTCTTCAGTAGGTTCTTCCAACGTAGTATTGGAAGAGGCGGCCGTAGTGGGAAGTTCTGTGTCGACTTCCTTTTGCAGAGTTTGCGAACCGTAATAGGGATTTTGGAATCCATCTCGTTCTTCGGCGTATTGGAAGTATTTGTTCTTGCTAAGAAAGCGGACTATCTGCCCAAAAGGCGAGTCACGTAGTACGTCGTTCATTTTTGATGCCTCTAGCTCATTGAGCATTGAAAGAACAATTGCTCATGCGAGCATGAAGAGCATTCTTTAACATTATATGTCTTCTCATCTATGTCTAAACTGTACCTCTAGCGCGTGGCCAAGTCTATGCCGCTAGCATGTGCTTCTTCATACTTCGGCTTATAAATTTCAGTCTACGAGATGATTTCTAAGTCGCTGCTGGCATGGCGAGGATCCAATTTCTAAGCTTTAATTGCCCATCTTAGCAGGTTTGAAGGATCAAATAAGAATGGTAGATTCATTTTGCGCGGCAGCTATTTTGGGGCGAGGGTTAGCGCAAATCTCAAGACTTCCTATTTCGGACAATCCTCTACGCAAGTCTTAAAAGAAGCCTCGCCCCAAGCAATAGTAGTGAATCATGTCGCCAGGATCTCAGCTCGTATCCTCTATTCGGCTATCGCGTTGCAGTCTTCTGCTTATCATATTATAATCCATTTGAAGCTAAAGATTACTGATCACCAGCATAATGAGAAGGCGGCTGGAATAGCTTCATAATTGCGCTATCGCCATATTTGCCCCTAAAAAGGCAACTGCGTAGGTACTTTGTTGCTTTCTGACAAGTCAATAGGCAACAAGCTTACGCTCTTCTCGTTGATTTACGTCAAGTAAGGCTTCATCCAAATCTCTTCTGATTTTCTTCCAGCTTGGCGCCAACATGCCATTGCGACTGTGTCCTGATGCCTAAACACTGCTGCGAGAAGAATTGTCTGTCTTTCCCGGCCATTAGGGATCTGAAACCACTATTTTTAGTCGGCTACCCACTGCTATACTTGACACGGCTGTGAAAGAGCCCCAGCGCCTCGGAAGAGACGAAAAATGCTGTGACAGATCCTTAGCGCCTTGGGAGAGCTTAAACCTGCTGTGAAATGAAAGCGTGACCGAGCTGGGCTATTGGGGCTCTATTTTCAGTCGAGCAAAGTTAGCATTTTACATTCGCAGATACAGAGATCTGACATGACCATTTTGTCTCTTGTCTATGTGTCTTTGTGGCTTTAGAAGGTGCTTGATAAGGATATTTATACGAATAAAGCTGCACCATATATGCAAGATTGTAGTCTACTAAGAGCAATCAATACGCTTCTTTATGCCCTGCTATATGTTTCAATATTGACCTATGAGAACCGTTGCTAACGCCATTTTGTAAGAAAAGAAACGTTCAGATTAACTCATAACTTGGCAAAAAGCCCCTTGGTCGCTCCCTTGCCCAGCTGTACCAGCGTGCTCTTTATCCGCATGTACGCCATGATACCCTCAAAGCCATTCTCAACACCAACGCCACTCATCTTCCATCCGCCTACCGGCATTTCAGCCGGAGACTCTCCCCAAGTGTTGATCCAAGTAATGCCGGCTTCCAGCTCTCTGATAACGTTCTGCGCCAAACTCAGATCCGTAGCAACAACTCCGGCAGCCAGGCCAGTTTCCGTGTCGTTTGCGCGCCGGATCAGCTCCGGGAGCCACTCCTCCTGTGACCTGCCCTGTGTCTTGTATGGCAAGATTGACATGACGGGACCAAATATTTCTTCGCGAACGATGCGCATATCATCTGTGCAGTTGGTGAAGATGACGGGCGGGACCCAGTATCCGTCGGGCGTAGGTTTATTCTTCTGCGCATCAACAGCGCCATCATACAGGACCTTTGCCTTGTCAACTTCTTTGCCGTGTCGAATGTACATATTGACCTTGTCGAGCTGGGCGGCGCTGACCACCGGGCCGAAATTCGTCGCTTCGTCTTGTGGCAAGCCCATCCGGATGCCCTCGCGGCAGCGTTTGACAAGACCTTCTTCGACTCGTGATAGTAGGGTGTCAGGGATGAAGACTCGCGTGCCGTTTGTGCAGACTTGGCCGGTAGAAAAGAAATTGGCTGCCATGGCGATGTCGGCTGCCTCGTCGACATCAGCATCTGGCAGAACTACAACAGCACTCTTGCCTCCGAGCTCCATCGTAACGCTCTTCATGCCCTTGGAGGCCTCGCCGGCGACTTTGCTGCCGGTGCTGACCTGGCCTGTGAAGCTGACCTTTGCGATGCCCGGATGGGCGACAAGGGGCGCTCCGACACTGGGACCATCGCCATAGACGACGTTGAAAACTCCAGGCGGCATTCCGGCCTCGATATAGATCTCAGCCAAGGTGTTGGCGTGTAGTGGTGTCACTTCACTGGGCTTGTACACCATGCAGTTTCCTGCTGCCAGACATGGTGAGGATTTCCATAGAGCAATCTGAATGGGATAGTTCCAGGCGCCAATGCCGGCACAGACGCCCAGAGGCTCGTGGCTCGTCAGCACGTAGGCGTCTGGCCGCAGCGTGGTGTGCTGACCGGGCTGGCTGTTGCCAATGAAGTGCGCGTAGTACTCCAAGACATCGACTCCAGTGACTACATCAACCGTTGACGTCTCTGACCAGGCCTTGCCGGTGTCCAGCATCTCTGTGCGGGCAAGCGCATCGTTGCGTTCTCGCAGGATGGCGGCGGCGCGGAGGAGGATGGCGGCTCGCTTCGGGGCAGGCGTCTGCGACCATGTTGGGAATGCCTTCTGAGCAGAGGAGACGGCGTCGTTGAGCTGGGCGGCGGTTGTGGTGTAGATTGTGGCCAATGGCTTGGCGGTGCTGGGATCGAGAGACTGGAAGGTGTGCGATCCCGAGGATTGCGGCTGGGGTTTTCCCGAGTGGAAAGTGTGAATCTCTTTGGAGAAGGTCATGATGGAGGTCTTTGGTGTTGACGTGATAAATCTGTCAATTCTAAAAGACCAGATCACACCAGTCAGTATTGGAGTTGGTTTGGTGGTGTTGAAACTGAAAATCGGACGCCGGGCAGTGACGTACGTCGATCTTGGTTTCTAGCAGCGGTACTGGGACGGTGGGTTCCGCGACCAACTATCCGTACAGGCACCAGAACATGTAATTGCTACCTCCTTAGCGGTCGGTGTACATGCGCCAAGCAACATCAGCAACTCCACAATGCTGTAGCAAATATCCATCACCCGCTATTACGAGGTACCTACACAGCGCGTGTACCGTGGCAACCCGGACTCGTCTGTCATTTTAGTTTCCATTGGTAAGAAAAACCTGAATAATTGCTACTGCTGCTTGTCTCACCTGCCAGGAACCACAAACGCCGTTTGCACTAACAGCATGTGGAGTCTTTTCGCCGGTGTGTCTGGGGCTAAGCAGCGGCCAAGACGGTCTCTCTTACACGCTACTGTAGGCCATGAGAGCGTTTGCCTGCATCCGGCAACCAGGCAGGAGACAGGCAATCAGCCCTGACAAGGGGAGAACGCAAACCAAGGAATAATAAGTCGATAAACCCCTGCCTACGTCACTGATGGAGAAGTGAGAGATATAAGATACAGTCCGGTCCAGCGCTGTGGATCTCTCCCCGTGTTCTTTGACAACGGCTGGGCTTGGCGGTGGAGGCTGGCAGGATTTGGCTGAGGGAGATGGAAATGAGAGAATCTGATATGTGAGGCTATCTATTTCTTGACTTTCCGTCTGTCGAATATCAAAGATTGAATGCGATTCTAGATTACGTTTGTGTCGCCGACGCTGATATCAGATTCACTTTGTTATAAAAACCTACATGTACATCTAAGATTCGCCCCGATTAGCGACGATAAAATCGGGCAATATTTTGCATGTGCCGGTACGAATAATGCGCTAAAGCACAGCGACTCCGAGGCCTGACAACTCACCGCAGCGGCCAGCTGAAAATGACACACAGAGGGGCCGTCAGCAGTGGTTTGAGCTGAAAAACTCCATGTGTCAAGAAAAATCTACAAGTACAGCCACCGCTAGAATAATTGTTCCGGCTCGATGCAAGCAGCGCTCAGTTCCGCGATTCGTGGCGTGTCGTGCTGGAGAGGCTTGGAGCAAGTACTGTACGACAGGTTCTCCACGGTGGAGTACATGTCCCACTGTCTTCAGCCATTGTGCTACTTTGATCCAATCAATTAACATTTTTCTGCCCGGATCAACCTAGCGGCGCCTTAGCTGCCCGCCATCATCTCCACTCCGCGTCGGCCTCTTCCTCAAACGCCTCCAACAAGTCAAGATCACCGCCAGACCAACGCTCGAAGTGGCTTCTACGCAGCAGAACCGCATGCCGAATCCCCGCAATCACGGCGAATAACCCAGCCAGAGTCCTCGCAAATGTCACCCAGGCACACTGTGGGTTCTGCGTTCCCCAGTCCTTCTTTTCCAACCAACGAACAGCCAGCGGTGGAATTGCTGACAGGGGCATTAGTCTGAATCCCACCATGTGCTTTTGACGTCATGCGGCCGTGGTGTAGGAGCCCATTCTCTGTTTGACAGGAACCCTGAAGATCGATTCTGCTGGTAAACATCGGTGAGAATTTTTACGATTTTTTTAAGTGAGGGAGATGGCTTCCCCCCTTTTGGCCCGAGACGACAGATCATCTGCTGATTCGAACTCCACACCGCAAACAACGAGGCCAGAGCCGTGCTTCGTTGATGGCGTCGTTAGCGTCAATGGCTCAGCCGTGCACGCCGCAATCATGGCCTCGGCGGAATAGACAAGAAATACCTTGGGGCTGACTCGTCGTTTCATCTTCTTCATATATCTTGGAGTCCCTCTCCTTAGTGTGCTGCTTTAGACTTACACTTATTTCCTCGGTGCTACTGCTTCAGCTGGGTCCAGGCTTCTTCCACTGCAACCTTGTTTGAGCAAACGAATAGACCAGAAACTATCTTTTCGACTGTTGTGAATACGCTCTACAACTAGTGTTCATCCTGGCGTTTTTAGGATTCAAGGGGAAAAGCGTAGTCTCCAAGCCTCATTTGTAGCCAGAGCAAGCTATTTTAAGCCAGGCCACCCGGCAAGACGCAGATTCCAATTCTTCTTGCTCTGTTCATACTCCTTTCATACTCCCTCGAGACACCAACCATGACGACCCGATCGCTTCCGGACAACAGCAGCTCTGCCTTCGACTACATCATCGTGGGCGGAGGCACCGCTGGCTGCGTGATTGCGTCTCGACTCTCTTCCTATCTGCCTGAGCGCCGTATCCTCCTCGTCGAGGCCGGCCCCTCTGATTTCAACCTCAACCATGTCCTTAACCTGCGAGAGTGGCTGAGTCTGCTTGGCGGCGAGCTGGACTACGACTACGGCACGACAGAGCAGCCCATGGGTAACAGCCATATCCGCCACTCTCGAGCCAAGGTCCTTGGAGGCTGCTCGTCTCACAATACTCTCATCTCTTTCCGCCCTTTCCGCCATGATATGGATCGTTGGGTTGCCCAGGGCTGCAAGGGCTGGACCTTTGAAAATGTCACTCGACACGTTGACAATCTGCGCAACACTTTCCAGCCAGTGCATGCCCGCCACCGCAATCAGTTGTGCAAGGACTGGGTTCAAGCCTGTTCCTCTGCTCTCGACATTCCCGTTATTCATGACTTCAATACTGAGATCCGCGAGACGGGCCAGCTAACCCAGGGCGCCGGCTTCTTCAACGTTTCCTACAACCCGGATAACGGCCGCCGAAGCAGCGCATCCGTCGCTTACATCCACCCCATCCTTCGGGGAGAAGAGAGACGGCCAAATCTGACAATTTTGACCGAAGCTCATGTCTCCAAAGTCTTGGTCGAAAACGATGTCGCGAGCGGTATTGCTCTTCACCTGGCAGGTGGTCAGAAGGTGGTACTCAAGCCCCGAAAAGAAATCATCCTTTGCGCTGGCGCTGTTGACACACCCCGTCTGATGCTTCACTCTGGCCTTGGCCCGCGCTCACAGCTCGAAGATCTTGGAATTCCCGTTGTCAAGGATATTCCTGGAGTTGGCGAAAACTTGCTGGACCACCCAGAGACCATCATCATGTGGGAGCTCAACAAGCCGGTTCCCCCCAACCAGACCACCATGGATTCTGATGCCGGTGTCTTCATCCGCCGAGAGCCAACCAACGCCGCGGGCAACGACGGAAACGCTGCCGACATCATGATGCACTGCTACCAGATTCCCTTCACCCTCAACACCGAGCGTCTGGGCTATCGCAAAATCCAGGACGGCTATGCATTCTGTATGACTCCCAACATCCCCCGACCGAGATCTCGCGGCCGCATCTACCTGACCTCTGCAGACCCTGCCGTCAAGCCTGCCCTGGATTTCCGCTATTTCACCGACCCCGAAGGCTACGACGCTGCCACCTTCGTTGCCGGCATCAAGGCTGCCCGTAAAATCGCTCAGCAAAGCCCCTTCAAAGAATGGTTGAAGGAAGAGGTTGCTCCCGGCCCCAAGGTGCAGACGGACGAGCAGATCAGCGAATACGCTCGCCGCGCCGCTCATACTGTCTACCACCCTGCAGGCACCACCAAGATGGGCGATGTAACCAAGGACGAGGCCGCAGTCGTGGACCACGAGCTAAAGGTTCGAGGGATCAAGAATCTGCGCATTGCTGACGCTGGCGTCTTCCCCGAGATGCCCTCCATCAATCCCATGCTCACAGTGCTGGCCATTGGCGAGCGAGCAGCTGAGCTGATTGCTATGGAAGAGGGCTGGAAGCCCAAGACTTCAAGACTATAGACGAATACACGGGACGAATACACGGGCTGGGATTGGCGCATACATTGCTGTTTTTTACTTGGATACAGGAAAAGATAAGGCGTGCTTAGCCTGGATATTGCACCACCTGACGGCGCGGGACGTGTCGTCACTTGTATATTTTGTTGTTTTTTCCTTCTTCGATAGTTTATACGGTAACGATATCCACGTAGCTTCAAGAATTATAAAAGTGATTTGTGTACATCTTACCAAACTATTTGTGATATGTGACTTGCGGTTTTACAGGCAATTGATGCGACTTCGCGCCATGCTCTTTGAGCAGTTCTTGTGATATACTTGGTGGTTAAAGCAAACATGTACCTCATTATCATCTCAAGTATAAGAAACACGGAAATTGCAACGGAGGGCAAGGTAGACAGCCCAAGATAGACTTTTCATAAAGAATCAAAATTCTTCACCATCATAATTTGTTTTTGCCAATTAGCTATGCGGCGTTCAAAGGATTCCACTAAAACAGATTTTCTAATTCGCTTCCTTTGTACATCCAATTAAGTACACACATCTTCCATATACATGGCCAGCAAATCATCCCTTCTATCTGATACTTCTAATCTCCCAAGACGAAGCCCACGCTGCCATCTCTACATCATCTCCATCACCTGTCTGCGCCAAGTGAGAAATAATACTCGCGACTAGCCCTATGGCTCCCATGTCTGATAGCCGTTCTTGAGATCCAAATACGCCAATGTCTAAACTCTTTCCCTGTATAGAGGCTTCGATATCTATTGCGGCCTAGATAAAGTAAATCATTAGCAAATGTGTCTTTCGGAGCCAGACGTAGAAGTAAGTGGTTGTAAGGTTAGAAACTTACTGGGAATGCATCTCTAACAGGATTCTTCAATATGCAAGGATGAGAAAGTTGCTCTTCATCGTTTCCGTACACCAAAAGTCCTAGAACATCATCTTCACTTTGTAGTGGTACAAGCTCAACATCCGCCGAATCTCCATTCGGTATCTCGGACGAAACACCAGGAAGGCTGAGGAAGTTGACAAAAGAAGTCACCCTAACGCCCGTCCACGCAGCCACTTCCCACAAACCCACATATGCACGACCCTCTGTAGATACAAGGTGAATATCGTCTTGTATCGAACTAGCAACTTCCAGAAGAGGGTCGTCGCGCGCCACTTCAACTCTCAAAGGAACAAGGCTTAGGGTGGGATATATCGACCGAAGAGCCTCATCAGATCGATTAGCAAGGTAAATGCCGAACACGATAGTCTTTTTGCTCTCGTCGTGTACACTTCCGCCGCTCTCTAGTGCAAGAGTTTTGGCGTATGCGGCGAAGAAGAGTGCTTGCAAACTGATGCCCCTTTCCTTCGCCGCTGTAAGCAGATGTGTGATGTCTGATACTGCAGATCGCTGTAGATGCGATACTCGTCGTTTGCCTGCCATAACTGGGGCTGAATAGTCACCGTCTGTTGAGCAGCCACTCAGATATGCTGTCCAAAAAGCTCTGCGTGATTGTTGAGAGTCTTCCAGTGTTGGCTGAACAGTATACCTAGACCATTCTGCAATACTCTCTTCGTGTTCAATCGTGTGCCCTCTAATAAGTTTTGATAACCGATTTAGTATTTCTTGAATGCTAACTCCATCGTAGAGAGCGTGGTGGATTTTCAGCCTAATGGCTATTTGGTTGCCAGTTTCTCCTTCTAGGACGACAACATGGAGTTGCACCATCGGTTTGACTGCAGCATCAACAGGCTGGCAGCCAGGCTTGAGAATAAGCTGCAAGAATGGTTGCTGAGGCGAGTTAGTCGCAATGAAGATCGTCCGTAGAATTGGTGTTCGAGCAACCAATTGTTTCCAGGCCAAAGTGACATCCTGCTCACTAAAAACTCCTTTGACAATGTACCTAAACTCCGGATAAAAGACACTACCCTCTGCATTTTTCCACGCACTGATCATGTAGACTTGCATAGGCAGCGCTGGTAGTACCGCCTCGACATCTTCATTCGAGATATGAGCGCCAGCAAGAAGCATTTTGACGTCAACGTCTTCCGCAGGAGTCCACGCCAATTCTTTGGGCTTAGGACGATCGCCGTTTGTTAGAAGAGGGGTAGCAAGTTGACCCATTTGGCTAATGCTTGTGGCTCTGATGAGATCTCTGGGATTTATATATATACCCTCCTTGCGCAAGAGAGACGATACCTTGATTGCACTAATGGAGTCCAGACCCAGGTGATAAAGACTGCTCTCGGGTCTGATAGAGTCTTCTGGAATATCCGACACGTAGCTAAGTACCTTCCGAACCACCAATGTAGTTTCGTCAAGTTCTTGTTGCCCGTAGTTCGCAGATTTACTCTTGTCTTCGCCGTTACCATTCTGCACAATATCCTCTGTTGTCGGGATGTGGATATATGGCAGTCCACCGATTGAAACACCAATGTCTTGAAAAGAGAGGATCTCGCGCTCACCCGAGCCTGTCAGAAACTCAAGAACATGGTTCAAATCATCGAGTAATTGCCCAGAGCCGTCTTCAGAAATATGTTTGGACTGACAAGCTGTTCGCCAGACTAGAACATCATCCACAACCTCGGCTTCAACGCTGATAGGATAGTCAACTGCCGATGCACCGTCGACAGACCTTAGCAGTGGTTCTTCAGACGAGCTATATGGAGATTTTTGAAGCATGAAAAGCGTATTGAACAATTCACCGCTTGATAGCTGTATCGCATTTTGAATCTTCCTTAGCGGGTACGCTTGATGAGCCCGGATATCCGCCATGTTGGCCTCGAGATATCTTAAAAATGATACAGAGCTTCCATAAAGAATACACCTGAGAGGCACAGTGTTGATAGTAGGGAACATCAAATCTTCAGCCCCTTCAAAGTCTCGTCCAGACATTACAACGCCGAACGTGACATCGAGGGCTTTTATCCGATGAGCTAGTACAAGCGCCCAGCAGGCTTGGCACAACACTTGCAGACTGATGCCCTGTTTCTTGCAGAATGATAGGATATCAGCCGCAGGCTTTTTCGAAGAATATTCCATTCGATGCAGCTTGTCTTCCACGCCATCTTCCCGTAGCTCTGGAAGAGTCGAGGGCGCAACACCATCGAGATACCCAGCCCAAAATCGATCACCTGCTTCTGTAGCTGAAGCAAGTACTCTTTCAAGAAAAGCTTTCCCAGATGTTCTCATTTGTAGCTTTCCGTAAAAGGCCGATTCGAGATCCCGATAAAGAAGACTCAGAGACCACCCGTCATACAGAGCATGCGCAATCGAAATGAGAACAAATGTCCGCTCTTTACAACTCACGAACTTGAGCTGGACGAGAGCATCAGTTCCGTTTTTAGCCTTACACATCTTCTTCGCATTCTCAATGAGATTGCCGACTTCAATCAGGTCTTCCACCTCAACATGCTCGATCTCATTATTCCAGTGCTTATGCACAATTTGGCAGTATCCCATATCGAGCTGCAAATCATCCACTTCAAGAAATCCAGTTCGAAGAATAGGCGATTGGCTGATAACTTGGACAAACGCCTCTTGAAGCCTCTTCGCATCCACTCCGGCTCTGATTTCCAGCAAGTCGTGGTTGAAATACCACTCAAAGTCAGAATGTATCATTCCAGCAGCCATAGATTCTTGGAGAGGAGTTGGTGGTAGTAGGGCCTCTATACCGTCTACATCCAGGCCGGCATTTCGAGCATAAGCCCACAGTTTCTGTTCAACACTTTGGAATCTCACATCTGTAACCGATTCTGGCAACTCGCTGGATGGCTGGGCTTCGATACAAGATGCCATTTTTGCAATAGTCTGCTGACGCATAATTGAAGAGGCAGAAAGCGATATACTCTTTTGTTTGAGTCTGGCAGAAAGTTGGATGACATCAATACTGTCCAAGCCAAGCTCGAGAATTGTACCTGCCATCGAGACTTCAAGAGCGTCAATGCCGGAAAGCGAAGCAATCTCATCTCTGATTCGAAGCGCTTGATCAGTCCACTCCACCTGCTGCTTATGAGCTTCAGTATTTGAATGGGCAACCCCATTTTGTTTTACCGATACTGCGATGCCATTGCCCATAAGCTGAGGAAATGTCGCATCTATGGACAAGAGAGCCAGGTTCTCTTCAATTTCGTCCAACAATTCCTGTAGCATTGAAACATCCGCTACATGCCCCTGTGCGACAAGAGTCAGCTGAATATCGCCATTGAGTAGCTTTTTTGCTTCCAGCGCCAATGGGTAATCAGGATTTAGAGCTCCATCTTCTACTCTCCATAGCTCAAGCTCATCACCCGCCGCCTGCTGCTCTACCTCATAGACAAAGAGGTTGTCGAATAGCTGGCGCCCACCAGAACACCATTTCTGTATACTTTTCAGCGGAACATGTTGAAACGGCAAAATTGCCGTGCTGAAATCGCTGCATTTGCGGATGAGCGACGTCCATGAGTGGCCACTCAGCGTCTTGTTGAAAAATGGCAGTGTGTTGAAAAGCGGTCCTATTGTATTTTCGATACCAGCAAGATCAATTGATCTCCCTGAAACAATGATACCAGTAGTCAACCCTCCATAAAAATGTTTTTGAATCACAGATGTCCACAATGCCATTATGACGGGTTGTAAAGTGACTCTGTGCTTCTTTCGGATGGTCTCTAATCCAGCGCCGTCAATGACTCGTAGTTGAGAGGCTGCTTCAATGTGCGCGGAAGAAAGTTGAAGGGTTGAATCATCATCCCAACCAAGAAGATGACTTTGCCAGAATTCGCGGCAATTATCGTGCCGCCACAGCGGACCATGAGACAACGCCTCTAGAAACGACGGAGCAGAAGAAGTCATAGATTTTCTAGAGTAGAAAGCTTGTAGCTGCCGTAACATCAACTCGAAGCTGCTTCCATCGTATACTGCGTGGAAGATACGAACAACAAATTTCTTGAATCCCGGGCCCCTCACTAAGAGCACCTCAACTGGAGTGATAACATGTTCACTATTTCGCTGAACCCAATCTTCCCAATGACTGTCCAGGAAACCATTCCCGTCATCTCCCACAACCTCTTCGATCCAGCGCAGAATTGGAGCTTTCCGCGAAGCTTGAATGTAGCCTTCTGCAGTTTTAATAAATGCTGTTCGCAAAATTGACTGAGATGCGACTAGTTGGGTCCAAGCAGCCTTCAACTGTTCGTCCGCAACGCCGCTACCAAGATGGAACACGAAAGAGTTGAAATATGTGCCACGAACTTCATCCGTAATCGATTTTGAGATGATACCCTGCTGAAGAGCAGAACAAGGCGCAATGTACTCTATATCGTCTCCTGGTACACCAAGAACGCTACAGACAAATGCTCGGTATCTGTGATGATATGCCTGTATCAACTGCCGCGATTCTTTCACACGGCTGTCTTCTTGTGAGATGGGTGGTTTCTCATACAGAGCCGTAATCAAGTCTGCGATAATGTGATTTTGCAGTAAAGCAGCAGGCGAGCATGCTGCAAATCCGTAATTCCTGAACGCTGCCGATAGCTGTAAAGCGCTGATGGAATCGACTCCAAGATCGAAGATACTCGTATCTCCATCAATGTTGTCCGGATCTATATCAGTAAAACTAGATATAACTTTGACTATTTTTCGACTCTCTTCGCTATTGATAGATCGAATCGTTGCCTTGGACGTAGTCAAATCCATCAGCTGCTCGTGCGATAAGCTATTGAAAAGCTTCTTCAGCTCCTTCGCCTCGACCTTGTTATTGGGAGATAGTGGGATAAATGGCAGAACCAAGAAATATGTAGGAACCATGTAGCCTGGAAGCTTTGCTCGGCATGCCTCTTTGGCTTTCATACCGAGATTGTCAACATCCGTCAGTGGAGCCAGGACTGCTTTGGGCTGTTGCTCGTCAACCAAGAACGACACCAGCACATCTTTACCACTAGACGCATGCTTAATGACAATTGTTGCAGCATCTTTCACCTCCGAAACACCAGTGCGAATGACATGATTAATCTCGCCAATCTCCAAACGTTGCCCACGGAGCTTAACTTGATCGTCCGCTCGTCCAAGAAAGTCAAAGCAGCCATCATGAAGAATTCGCACAAGGTCACCCGTCCGATAGATTCTCTCGCCAAATTCTGAAAGTATAGGAAATCTCTCTTCAGTAAGTTCCTCACGGTTGAGGTAACCTTTACCAACGAGCCTTCCAGAGACGCAAAGCTCTCCAACAGCACCACGCAGCACAGGGATTTCTGTCCCCTTGCGGAATACGTAAGAGCCAACATTGAGAAATTGCTGTCCAATATTGCTAGGACGTCCATTGATGGGAACTCTTTGGTACATGGTCACACCAATTGTTGCTTCCGTTGGGCCATACGCATTGTATATGACAGACTTTGGCCCCCAGGCATCTAGGATTTCCTGCTTGAGCTGCTCGCCGCCAGTAATAAAGACTCCTTTGCACAAGCCCGGCACCTCATCCGGATGTGTAAGGCGAGCTAGACTAGGCGTCAGATCAATGTGTGTAATCTCGAGATTGTTGATTGACGCAATCAAGTCATCGAGAATGAGGTCTCTCGGTGCTGCAACGACAGTTATTCCGACCGACCAACTCCAGTATTGTTCCAACACAGAGACATCAAAGTGAAGGGCAGCGAACTGCAGCCATCTAGAATCGTCGCTCCAATGTCCTTTGAACAATTCTTGAAAGGCCATCATTGCCTGCACGCTATTGTCATGCGTGATCTCGCATCCTTTTGGCGTCCCTGTTGTGCCCGAGGTATACAAACAATAACACGCCGCATCTGGTGTGATTTGCGGATCTAATTCCCTTTTCTCAGCAGACAAATGCTGTATAGATTCCAGATCGATACTGATAATCCTTGCGTCTGTATCAAAATCGATTTCACTTCCAGAGGTCTTAAGAAGACAAGGTGCCATGGAATCACTCAGAATAAACTTCTTCCGATCTTTAGGGGCACTGGGGTCCAGCGCCACAAAAGCACAGCCAGCTTTCAATATCCCAAGAATGGAAAAATAGGCCTCTGGGCATTTCTCAAAATGAATTGCAACAATGCTTCCAACGGCTGCAATGTCACTCAGCAAGTTGGCTACTCTATTACCCATCTCGTCAAATTCAGCGTAAGACCACACCTGCTTCACAGGACGTGAGCCATCAAAGTTTGCGACAAACTCAAGAGCAATATCATGCGGATGAGACAAAGCTCTTTCTTCGACAAAATGGTGCAAAAAGCGCACAGGCGCAGGCAGTTCTAGCGATACAGCCGGAGTTATAGCAAATAGATCCGGCTTCGATTTGTAGATGCCATTTTCATCGCCTTCCGGTTCAGTAACAATGTGATTCATCATCGCATCAAACTGTTTGATCAATAAACTCGCCTGCTCCTCTGGCAAAACGTCGCTGAAGAATGTGATGCAAAGTCGAATCTCGTCGTTATAAGTAGGTATTACCTCCAGAGACACTGGATAGTCGACAGTCGCATGATCGCCAACAAGCTTCCAACATCGAGGGTCAGAAGGCTCCTTACCCAACTTCTGGTAAACCAGAATCGTATCAAATACAGGTCTTGCAGGGTGACTCAGCCACTTTTGGATCTGAGAGAGGGGAGCATATTGGTGCCTATATGCGTCGATATTGTATTCCATCATGGAGCGGGTTAATTGAGCATTCGACGGTAAATTTGAAGCAACAACAGGAATCGTATTCATACAAGGGAATGGTGCATCCTGCGTCTCATCTAGATCTCGTCCGGATAGAGTTACTCCGAACACAATAGAGTCTTCGCCCAGATATGCAGCGAGAATTCGCGTCCACGCCGCTTGGATAATCGCCTGGACTGATACATTCTGCTGCTTAACCGCCATTTGCAACTTTGATAGCGCCATATCAGACTTGAGTTCATGCGAAATCATAACTCTTGTATCCTCTCGAAGTGGTGTCATCACAGGAAAAGTATTCACTACTGTGCTTTCAGCTTTGCTTTGCCAGAAGTTCTGCGCATCGCTTTGATGACTGATGCTTCTGGATAGAATTTCTGCCAGTGCAGGCTCTATGGGCTGGATAGAGTGGGCATTTGGTCTTTCTAGGAGCTCAGATAGATGTACTAGCATCTGATCCAGCGAATGCGCATCGTAGAGAGCGTGATGTATCAGGATATTCATGATCAGTTTGCCATCATGCTCCGCCAGTACAACTCTCCAGGGCGGTAAATGGAAATTGTTCAAGATTATTGTTGATTGCTCTGCTTTCCAATTGAATAAGTCATCATCCGATGCCAAATCAGACACAACATTAGTCGAGTTGAGTGTTTCCGACGCAAAGGGATATCTTAGCATTGCAAACGAGCTATGCGGATTCTGGATAGCAACAAATCCAGTACGAAGCATAGGATGTTGATCTTGGAGAGACGTCCAAGCTTTAGTCAAATCACTCTTTGAGATGTTTTTGTCAACTTCGTAGGACAATAGATTCAGATAATTCTGCCCTTGAGATTGAACAAAAGAAGCAAGCATAGCGCACTGGAGAGGAGTACTAGGAAGAATGGCTTCCAAAGCCGCAGTATCCAATGTCGTGTGCGCTAATTGAGCGGATACGTCTTTCGAAAATTTGTCAAAATCGTAGCCAGGCGTCACTTTCTCGCCGTTGATGGCTTCAGATATCCTCTCCGCCAATCGAGCACAGTTTTGGCACTCAATGACATCGGAAGCCGACACCGCAAGGCCCTTCTTGCGAAGCTTTGACGCTACTTGAACTGCATTGATGCTGTCCAGTCCAAGTTGGAATATGCTTGTTTCATGACGAATCTTTTGAATCGGAGTTTCCGAGAGACTTGAAAGAACCTGACGAATCTTTGTCTGCAGTTCAGTCCATTTCGCATCGATGTGGTGATCTTCTACTAGAGCTACACGCGTGCTTCTTCTTATGTCGATCTCATTCAATGTGGATAAATGAGAAGTCTGTATATCGTTTTTACTCGGTATAGCTGACGCAGGGTGGTCTAAAATGGCTCGGAAAAACAGTTTGAAGATATCGGTTAATGCCAATGCAAGGTCTGCGCTCACTGCGCTCTTGTCATAATGCATATTGACATCCAGCGAGTTCAGACTTGGGCGAGGAATAACCTCACAGACAATCGGAATATCCATCTCGCCATAATCTTCTTCTAGAGACCATATATCGACGTCCATATCGTGTGATGGATTTTGAAGGAGCAACAACGTATCGAAGAGCCCCAAGCCTTGCTTTGTGACGAGTTTCTGAATAGACCTTAGAGGCGAGAATTGAAAACGCTGGAAGTCAGAATTGAGCTGTTGAAATGACTTGACGAGGTCAATGCTGCGAGAAAAGGTGGAAACATCTTGCCTGACGGGAATCGTGTTAAAGCAAGGTGCAACTAGTCTATCCAGACCTTCGATATCCAGACTGCGGCCATTCATCACCAGCCCGAAGCAGATGTCTGTAGAATTTGAGCAAAGTGCAAGCACATCTGCCCAAGCGGCCTGACACACGGACAGTAAAGACACCCCAAGGGTTCTAAGCCGATCTTTTGTCTCACTATACGATGCGTGTAGAGTATCCTCATGCGTACCCTGAGCGCTCTGGATCCTTGGCGACTTGTTGAAGAGAGTGAAAGGTGAGTATCCTCGGAAATGAGTTTCCCAAAACCTTTCGGTGTCTTCAGGCAAGCTACGCGCCTCTTGAAGAAAGGGTAAGTAGGAAACAGGAGGAAGCAGCGTCTTGCCATGCGCTAAAGACTCCACCTCTCTCCAAAGGTTTTCCATTGCCACGCCATCGTAGAGCGCGTGGTGGCATACGAAGGATAGATACACCGACTGCTGTTGCTTTATAATAGCAAAGGATACCGGTGGCACCTTGGTATCCAAGGGATCGGGAAGGCTGGCCAAATGCTCTTGAACAGCCCCATCAGGAGAAGAATCATCGTTCATAAATTCCTTCCACTGAGCAACCCAATTACCCAAAACCACTTGAGCGATTGGAAACTTGACGTTATCAGTGGTGATGAAGCACGTTCTGAGAATGCTATGGCGTCTAGTCATCTCATCCCAATAGAGCCTCATCTCGTCAACAGGGCCATGGAGTCGAAGAAGAATTCTATTGTAATAGCTACCATGTCTTTGAGCCAGCATTGCTTCTTGAAGGGGAGAGCACGGTAGTACTTCAGCAATAGAATAAGGTTCTTGTCGAAAAGCTTTGTGAACCTCTTCTACAAACGATTCGGAAAAAAACTCCACCTGTTGCTTTGAATGGTCTGTCTCTGGCCTCTCCTCAAGAAAGCGAGCAAGCTGCGCAACAGAAGAGTTCTGTAGAATTGCCGAAATAGGAACCCGGCGATCTAGCTGGGAGTTGAAGGCGCGAGATACGCCTATTGCAGATATAGAGTCTAATCCAATTGTCACAAATGGCGTCCATCGACCAATGTCAACTCTAGACACTCCTAAAGATTGAGCGATGACGTCTGCTATCATAGTTTCCGCCTTGCTCCATTCGGCAACATCTTCAGTTACAATGGTACTAGAAACCCTCTCAAGGTACTCTTGGGACAGATTATCGAAGCAAGACTGCAGTTTTCGTCGGTCGACTTTTCCGCTAGATGTGAGTGGTATGCGTGATATGGGTATGATGTATGAAGGCACCATATAAGACGGTAGTTTTGACAGTAGGGCGAAGAATAAAGAGCTATGAGTCTCGGTATCTGGCTTTAAGGCTTCACATCTTTCGTCGCTTGTCTTGTGTGAAATAGTATAGAACGAAACAAGTTGGTCCGCTGCTTCTTTGTCTCTCTTCAATATTGAAGTTACCGCAGCGTGGACAGATGAGTTCAAAGTAATCACGCTATTGACTTCGCTAGCCTCAATTCTTTGACCCCTTAGTTTGAGCTGGTCATCGATTCGGCCCAGTATGATTAGTGATTTGTCCGGAAGCATTCTCCCCATATCACCAGAACGATAAATCAGGCCATATGCAGGGTGCTTGATAAACTTCTCTGCAGTCAGATTCGGCATATTGAGATACCCATCAGCCACTTGTTCTCCACCAAAGCAAAACTCTCCGATCCAGCCAATTGGAACCGTTGAAAGGCTGTCTGGGTAGAGCACAAACACTGACGTGTTGGGGAAACACCAGCCTAGGTGTTCAATATATTCACCACGCTTCATCTTCTTGACGCTGCAGATATTTGTTGTCTCTGATGGTCCGTATCCTTGCCAAAGTAAATCTCCCCACGTATCGAGAACTGACTGAGTCATAGGCTCTCCCGCTGTAACAAGAAACTCTACACCAGGTACGTTTCTCGGGTCGATCAGCGATGCCACCGTAGGCGTCAAGCTCAGATGCGTTATCTCGAACTGGCGAATCGAATGCTCCAAGTCTTCAAATAAATCGTCGTTAACAGCGGCGCAGAGACACATGCCAGCGTGCCAAGCGAAGAATATCTCGAACACTGAGACATCAAATGCTTGGGAGCAAGCTTGCAGTAGCCGAGGAGACTTCTTATGGGCAGAAGGATATATAGATGCAAGATAGATGACGTTGCTGACAATGTTCTTCTGGCTGACAGCTACTCCCTTTGGCACACCTGTGGTTCCCGAGGTGTAAATCACATAGGCCAGCCTAGATGAATCTGGTCCTATGTCCAAATTGTGATTCGGGAAATTCTTCAATGGAGCTGACTCGACATTCAAGTACTGAACATTAGTTACGTCATGGAAGTTGCGCAGCGACTCTTCATCCACGACGCAGTGCTGTATGCCTCCAGTTTCGAAAACCTCCTTCACTCTCTCGATTGGTGTGGATGGTAAAAGAGGCAGATACGCGCACCTAGCTTTGACGATCCCCAAAATCGAAGAGTATAGAAGAGGTGATTTTTGTATGATAATTCCAATAACTTGACCTGGTTCCGCGCCTTCCTCGAGTAAGTAGCGAGCGATTTGATTGGAAAGTTGATTCAAGGTCTCATATGACAAGGTTTCGTCAGATAATGGAACATCTGACAATGACCTGCTGAAACAGATGGCATCTGCGCTGGGGTTCTTCGCGGCTACCGCTTCAAACAATAAAGCTAGGTCTGTCTCTTCTTGTAGCTTTTCGGGATCTGTATTTGCAACAGACGGCTCAATATCTATAGCTTCTTGCAGTTCACTGATCAACCCATCAGGATGCAGCATTATATACTGAACAACCGCTTTCATTTGCCTGGCCAACGTTTCCACAACATCAGATGGGAAGGTATCAGTATGATGCGTAGCTTGTATTGAAAATCCAGAGTCATTTGGCTCAACCTCCAGCAGCAACTTTGTTTCCAGCCGGTCTAGATGTCGAGTTTCCCGGATGATTGCCTCTTTGCGATCCATTGTGTAGAGTGATTTTTGGTAAACAAACAGCACGTCGTATAAACTTTCAGCCGCCTGCAGCCTAGAAATCTTCTTAATCTCTGATAATGACAATATGCAATGCTCCATAATCTTATGGTTGCTCACGTTGATATCCCTCAAAACGTCAGATATTGTCGTTGAAGAATCCATTTTCACTCGTAGAGGCAGCGATGCTATGCTCGGCCCAACAATGTCTTCAATATTTTCGACAGTAATTGTCCTCCCAGACGTGACTGAGCCTAGCAGGACATCTGACGTGCCTGAAATGCTCCCCCACATGATTGCAAGAGCCGCTTGGAAGTACACCTGTGCGCCATAACCCGCGTTGATAAAGGCGTATCCAGCCAGGCTGGAGAGATTGATCTGCTCCTTGACAGATAATATCTCATCCATCTCGGCTGGCCGAGAGCTCAATTTTGGACGGCTAGGCTTATTCATATCAAGAAGATACTCGGCCCAAAACGACCTTGCGGCATCCAGCTGGCTTCTTGGAATATTGTGCATATAAATGAGGAGGCTTGAAAACTGCGGTCGATGAGGCAAGGGTCTCTCGCACAACAGATCAGATAAGTCCGAAAGTATAATGTCCATTGACCAGCCATCATAAATAGCATGATGGATATAAATCAGAATGCGTGGTCCCTTTTCAGCCTGAGCGGACTGAATCTGTATCCGAAGCGGCTGAAGGAGTGCTTCATCTCGAAATATCTCTGGTCGATAGAATTCTTCGACAATTTGTACTTGGCCAGGCCGCAAAGATTCAAATATGAGCGATATAAAACTTCCTTGCCAGCCAACAAAGCCTGACCGCAAAACATCTCTTTGCTGAGCAAGCAGATGAATGGCATCTTCTATTGCTGCTGCAGTAATTCCAGGATTTACTTCCAGCTCAATCTCATTCCAATAAGCGTCCAGGCGCCGTGCTGTTTCTAACAACATAGCCTCTTGGAGCGGGCTGCACAGAAGCACATCTTGCACAAGCTCCAGGCTCTCTTGTATGTCAGGATTGCTCTCAACGATCGAGCCCAAGCTGCTAACCAAATGGATATCGCTCAAGTCGGACTCTTTATCAAGAGATAGTGATAAAGGGCGTAGTCGGGAACACAGATGTGCTATTGTTTGCATGCTCAGCAGTTCTACCACAACTGCATCATATCCAGCCGACCGAAGCGACGATGCCAGTTTGATTGCAGCCAAAGAATCTACACCTGCCGAAGCCATAGTCATACTAGGCCTTATTTCATCGCCCAAAGTACTTGACACGATGCTCATAACCGCCTTTTCTGCATCAGATAAACGGATTGTAGAATCATTGCCATCTATCATGGCCGCCGCTCTCTGTTCAGCAAAATCTGCCTTCAACTTCTTCGTGTCAACTTTACCACTCGGCAGTCGAGGAAATTCATCCATCAGTACCAGTTCTCCCGGTATCATGAACTGTGGGAGCCAGCTCCGACAATGTTCCATTATCAAGTCTTCCGTAACGCCAAGATCAACAACGCAAAAGACAATCAAGATGGAGTCAACCACTGCTGCAACAGCCAAATGGCAACCGGGGGTTTTCAGCACAGCAGATTGTACTTCGCCCAACTCAAGTCTCTGACCTCGAAGCTTTACCTGCCCTTCAGATAAGCGCCCACTAATTTCTATTGTTCCGTCACTGACGATCCGCGCTTTGTCCCCAGTCCTGTAGATTCGGCCATATGGCGAAGATATAAACGAGGAAGCAGTCTGTTCTTGCCGATTTAGATATCCATGGGCAAGTTGATGTCCACCGACTGCCAATTCGCCAACTTCTCCTTTAGGCAAGATTTTGACAATTCTGCTCGTGTCTGCGGATTCTGCAGGCTCGACTATAAAACATGATACTGTGGACAGCGGGATACCAATGTTTTTTATTGACGATGTAGAGGTAAAATGTTCTTGTACAGTGCTTTTGAACGTATTAGAAATGCCTATTTCACAAGTGCGGTGGAAAAGAAATCTTACCAGTGGATGGTGGCTTCTGTTGGCCCGTACATGGCCCATAGCAGGCTCTCTCTCTCCTCGTTTCCGCCGAATTCTCGTATTACAGGCTCATTGAGCATCTCTCCAATTGTCAATAGCAGCCGTAATGTCGGGACATTGTCTCTTGTCCGCAACAGACTGGCCGCAACAGTCGGTGTCAGCTCACAGGCATCCACATTCATTTCTGAGATGGCTGCCGGGAGATCGTTCAACATCTCCTTTCGGTCGACACTAACCAATGTACTCCCTCGAAATAGGGGGAAGAATATCTCGAATACCGAGACATCAAAAGTGGGTGCGGCAAATTGAAGAAAGCGAGAGAATTCAGGCACATGTTGATCATGGGCTAACAACGCCTGTGTTACTGCAGAATGCGATATGCCAACGCCCTTTGGAACGCCTGTCGAACCAGAAGTATACATGACATATGCTAAATCTTCCGTGCTTAGGTCACGCCGACTCACAGATTCCGCATCTAAATAAGGCCCTTCCTCTCCTTCATCAGCTAGAAGCACATTTACGGTGCTCGATGAAGGTACATTGGAGGCGAGCTCCTTGGCCGCCACAACAACAGTCGCAGCAACATCGCCGAGAATGAATTTGACCCGATCTGGAGGAGCATCGACATTGATGGGACAGAATGCGCCTCCAGCTTTCAGAATAGCTAACAAGGCTATATACAGCTGGGGCGACTGATGAATCAGAACGGGAACCACAAACTGGTCTTTGACTTCTCCAACAGCACGACATATGCGGCTTGCAAGGGCATCCGCCGCATCATGAAGCTGGCGATAAGACAGCGATAGACGCTTATTCCTTCCTAGGTAGTCCAGAGCTATTGAGTCGCTCGATTCCCTGATTAGACGATGCAGGAGATCTGGACCAGCCAATAGTGTTGGGTGCGGGTTAAGCACAGATAAGTCAGCGGACTCTGCCATTTTGCCCTGTTGCTTGCGTGTGCGTCTTCTGTATGCATGCAAAGATTGTCGGGAAATCTAACAAGATACCCTTTTCTGCTAACTAAGTGCTGATTACCGCAACCGTGGCGATAAAATTCGTAAAAGCGTCCAGATGCATCTGCCTATGAGAGTATGCTTGTATCTTCATGTGAAATAGAGCTGCGTTCGTTGGTCAACTTCGGGTGCACCTCATGCACGATTCCGCCAAGAACAAGCCACGCGACCTCCAAATGTCTACGTTTCAATTTAAATAAAGAGACCTTTTGATTAATGTCAATTGGCGTGTCGTTGATTCGCCCAATAGGCCTTTGAGGCGGCTCGTGATTGATGCGTCGACGGTAATGCGTTTAATCGTGCATGAGCTGGGGCGAAGCGAACCTCTCAGAACGGCGGAATTAATCAGCAAAGCGTAACAAGACGCAGCGACTACCAATCGAATCTTCGGTTTGCGACACTACGGCAGCCACTCGCGGTCTTGTTGATGCAGGGGAAATGTATGCTTTAGTGCGGCTATAGTTGCTCCGAATAGTTTCTTCACGATGCAGCCCCTAGTCCTGTTCCTTGTATACCAAATCCAGAAGCTCGGATGCCGCACGCATGTATGAATTGCCCTATTCGCTTAGCCTAAGGGCCGAACCGTTAGTGACAAGCTGCGAGAGTAATGATGGCGTCACAAGTGTAGTGGAATCGCTCTTCCAACCATGTGAATATGGAAAGGAGATGGGCAAGACAAGACATCGACAGCGCCATGAAATACGATATCCTACAAAGTTTAAGCAAATCCTTAACAAAGTCGAACTACGGCACTAGCTGGGTGAACATGGCATCTGACCGGAAGAGGGGCGGCCGCCTTGTCTGACATGGACCAGCGTTAAGTGATTAGTTGCGTGCGACTCCATACTAGATCCGCTGGTGACAAACTTGAGAGAGATTCCAAGGGCAGATGTGCCGAGACTCCTCTCAAGGGCCGTCAAAGTACTCAAGTGGAGGCTCTCGGCTTTTTCCATTTCACCAGCAGCGAAGTTACGATCCCCTCTCTGGCGATTGCGCGTCCTAGGTATCCTTGCGCGTGTAGAGTAGGTACCTGCAAGGGAAGGGCGCTGTTCGCTCTTCTCGGCGTGCGTGACTGGCGGTGATTCACTCAGCCCTCGGCGGAGATAATGAGGGGCTGCCAAAGGACGGCTCGCAGAGAATCCTGGCTCGGCTCTTAGTTTTCAAAAGGAAATGAAGAGGAAAAAATTTTCCATCTGCGGTGCTGGGCCCTTGGACTTGTATGATGCAGCGGATGAATGCGGATCCAACCACAGGACTTGATCTTATCTGATCCGTTTTTATCAGATCATCAGATAATTCCCTCAGTTGATCTCCACTCAGCTTGACTCTGATGGGGCCTGCCTCCGTCCTCGCAGCCGCTTCGCCCTCTAAACGCCTGAAAGAGGATAATTCCAATGATTCACGGGTGTCGCAACTTGGCATCGGCCCATAGATCGGCCTTTATGCGGAGGATCAAAAGCCGTGGATTGGCTCATTTGAATTTCGATCGCCTCATGGAAACCTGTGCCGGCCGTATAAGAAAAATTGCATCAGTCCACGCTACAGTTGCCAAGAAGGAACGGACCTGGTTAAGGCCTCTTTAAGAAGGCCGAGATCTACACTCGAGAAGCAGGCTGGTTGGAAAGGAAGAGAATGAAGGAGAAAAACCGGTGGTAGAGGGTGACGATGCTCCAGCACATGGAAGTGAAGCTTTTCCCGCCATGGTCAAAGCATTCAGCAATCATGTCCCCGTCGGCGGAGAATGAGAGAGATGCAGTTGACAGGCAACAAGCTATTGCCGGCATCCAAAACACCCATGTGCAATTAGGCAAAGAAACCATCCCACTGCTGAGATGCACAGGGCTTCGAATGGGCCCATGCAACCCATGATATATGCATGCCTGCTTGCACTAGCTTCCAAGCTACACTGTGTACGGCGCGATGCTCGTCCGGCATTGGACCACACAGCCGTCGTTCATCTGGTCTTCTCCGCTTGAGTATCCATTAGGCGGTTGGTCTCGGGTCTCTGAGACTCCTTTAGACGGAATCCGAGTTGATATAGGCGAGACTAAGAGCTTGTTTCCTGGGACAGTCACGACGACGTGGCGAGTATAATTCGCGGCTGCTCCCACGGCCGCCCTCGCACAATTGACAAGCTTTCCAGCAACATCGCCCTTAGCGTCCCCAGACAGCACCACCAGCTAGGTGATAGAGTTGTTTGCTAAGCCGTCTTCGCATACCTAGCAGACGTTACTCAAAGGGAGAAAAAAAAACATCAGAGTTCATCTATTCTCACCTTTTTTTTTAATTTCTTTCAATTTGAATCCCGTCTTGTCCCGTCCTCTAAGATTAGCGTCGCTTCAATACTTGTGGCCTGTGTAAACGTCACCATTCTTTCACCCGTGGCGAAGCTATAACTTACATACCAATTCACGACGTCACCATGGCCCCTCACAGCGAGGTTACTCTCACCGACCTTGGTACTCCCAATGGCAGTGAACCAAGCACGCCCAATAGCAGCGAGCACGTTCATCAGGGCAACGATTTTGAGAACTCCTTGATTGGTTCAATTGAGCAGAATCACAGAGGCTCAGTACCACAAACCAACGGCCATCAGCCCGAGAGCAAGATGCAGAAGCAGAAATCGCCCTACTTGACGCAGTCGGATCCAGATTCAGAGTTTGACCTCATCTGCGTTGGATTCGGCCCTGCTAGTCTGGCGGTAGCTGTCGCTCTTCACGATGCAGTCGCTTCAGGACGGCAGTTGCTTCCGAATGGCTCGCCCCCCAAAATCCTATTCATCGAAAAGCAGACACGCTTTGCCTGGCATGCGGGTATGCTTCTCCCTGGCGCGAAGATGCAAATTTCCTTTGTCAAGGACCTTGCGACGCTGAGGGATCCGCGGTCTGAGTTTACATTTCTCAACTATTTGCACCGCAATGGAAGACTGGTAGATTTTACCAACTTGGGCACTTTCTTACCGGCGCGCGTTGAGTACGAGGACTACCTTCGGTGGTGTGCCTCTTTCTTTGAGCACCTCGTCCAATATGGCCAGGAAGTTGTCTCAGTCTCTCCAGAATCCAAGACAGGAGAGTCAACTCGCACATTTACGGTCCAATCGAGAAATCCAAAGACTGGTGAGACGCGCTCTTTCCGCGGTCGCAACGTGCTCATTGCGGCCGGTGGCCAGCCAAACTTTCCCAAGAGCTTCCCAGCCAAGCACCCGCGGATCATCCATTCTTCTCAGTATGCATACATGGTTCCAGAGATTCTTTCCAACAAGGATGCTCCGTATCGTGTTGCCGTTCTTGGAGCAGGTCAAAGTGCTGCAGAGATCTTCCACAACATTCAGACGTTGTATCCCAACTCAAAGACTGCGCTGGTGATGCGGCCCGAATTTCTGAAACCCAGTGATGATTCTCCCTTGTGAGTCTAACCCAAATCCAGAATCCCGCAGCAATGGTAAAAATCTAACATGATATGCAGCGTCAACTCAGTTTTCAACCCTGAATACATCGACACAATCTTTCCCAAGTCGGCAAGGCATCGTAACAACTTCTTGTCTGAGGCTCGAGCTACCAACTATGGCGTCGTAAGGCTGAATCTCATTGAAGAAATGTACGAGCGCCAATACGAGCAAAAACGAGAGCTTGGCCCCAACGAGAAGGAGTGGCCTCACAGAATCATGGGTGGCCGACAGATTACAAGCATTGAGCCGCGTGAAGACGCCTTGGAGCTCAAGATCCAACACATCTCGGACAGCGAGTTTGAAGGATTTGTCGACCTCGTTGATGAGGAGACGCTTGAGGTAGACCTGCTAATCGCTGCTACGGGCTACCAGCGCAATGCGCACGTCGGCATGCTCCGCGATACGTGGGACATGCTGCCCAAGGCCTCGCCAATTGGCCAGGAGTACCACAAGGGAATCACCGGATGGAAGGTCGAAACTGACCAGGGAGAGCGCAAATTGGCCGTCTCTCGAGATTACCAGGTGCAGTATAAGCCTGGGTCTGTAGCGAAAGACTCTGGCGTATGGCTCCAGGGCTGCTGCGAAGGGACCCACGGGGTAAGTAGACGCCTTTTTGATCAGAATATCTGAGGAGCAGTAGCGCTAACAGTGAGCAGCTAAGCGACACCCTCTTGTCGGTGTTGGCAACGAGGTCGGCTGAAATTGTGAATTCAATCTTTCCCGGCAGCAAATGAGGAGTGAGAGATGAGATTGAATGCAAGAGCCATATACCCATGAAAATAGTCTGATGCAGCCGAGACTTAAGACGACTCTTTCGAGCGCTGTCTATGGCATAGCAGATGGAGAGTTCCGAGGAGATTCGCGGCGGAAAGCTGCGATTGATTAGCGACTGACGCGCAGTGCAAGTATGTAGCCTCCAATTACCCGAAGCAATAACAAATAGAAATAAATAAAAAATGTCACCTTTGCTACGCTTTTTTTCTCGTAGTTCTCGTCTATAGCCATGACTCTTGCAATGTGTGTGCGCTCAGCGCCAGGGCAAAAGTTCCTCGCCCAGTTTTTTGGGATTCAGGGTAGGACGTGATGCGCGACTGAGCAAACTAACAGCGAATAGAGCAGTCGACATCGTCGGTCTGGGCATTGAGGTGGTAGATGTTTGAATTGGCCAGAGATGAAATAGCATGGAAAAGTTCATAATACCAGACAGCTGAAGGATTTTGCCACCGCCTGGATATTCCATTTCCGCCGATAAGCAGCTGAGAATCTGGCAAGTGCTCGAGTCGGTCTTGGCAGCTTCCCTCATTTACACTCTACGGTTGTACCTGCGATGCAAAAAGTGCAGGCCGGGAACTTTCATCTAATCACGACCTTGTAGTGGAATCACTGCTGTTTGTTTGCATGAACGAATCCTGCAGCAAGCATGAAGGTAAGCTTAGCAGATAAACGTCTAATAGTTCTGACGCTTGATGCATGGCGC